GGGGTTGATTTTTTTGTATCTCGCTCAGACAGTGGCGCACCCAGGGAGGGGGGCTATCGGGCCAGGGTCCCCCCCAGGCCACCCTTGAAAACTGAATTTTTACGTTTAAAAAACGAAGCAACATCAAGGCGTGGCACCCTGATACCTTAATTTTTTTTTTAGACTTCCATTAACAAGCACATCCTATGTAGTCCCCCCCCCAAACATATTTTCTGGGTACGCCACTGCGCTCAGAAATTGATGTTTGCTATTAAAGTGTCTAAATTGGACAACCTTGCCCATATCAAAAACAAATGAAAATAGGTACCTATTCCAAATAAAAATATAACACATTTTTCTGATAAAAACAAACAATAAATTTGACAATAATGTAGCTTGGAAAATTTTCCAATAACATTTTATTGGAAAATTTCTCCATGAACTTTTATTGGGAAATTCTTTTATACATTTTTTCTATCTATGAGTTTTTTAAAAAATTTCGGTAGTTTTTGAGGCTCACAAAGGGGGGGGGGGGCGCGCGCCCCCCCCTGGATCCGCCACTGAACATTCACGATTTTTGCTTTGCCAGTTTTCCAGAAAAAAATTGAAATGTGAAAGGATGACTTTCCTTGGAGTGATTTTTCACTAGAAAATTTTAAAATTTTCCTATTATTATCCTGGAAAAATTTCACAAATTTTGCTTTATTCGTTTTCCAGAAATAAAATGAAACGTGAGAGGATGAGTTTTTCTCAATTTTACTTGAGAAAGACTTGAGAATTTTTCCTCGAGCGATTTTCCATTGGAAAATTTTGAAATGTTCTTATAATGAGCTCCTGACTTTCCTTTTTTTCCTCTTTTGCCAGTTTTCCAGAAAGAAATTAAAATATGAGAAGATGGATTTTCCTTAATTTTACTTGAAAAAGTCAATTTTCCAGAATTTTCCCTGTAGTGATTTCTCCCTGGAAATTTCCCTTGTGCATATTTAACTGGAAATTTACCTCGTAATTTTCAAAAATTGATAAGTGGAAATATCCCTGGTGAAGAGGGATATTTCCGGGTGCAATTTCCAATGCGACAATGCCGCCTTTAGGTTGTCATTTTTGGCATTGAGACCAGTTTTTTCCATTTAAAACGCATTGATGTCAGAAATCTGTCAAAGTGTATATTTTTTGACAAACGCAATTTAAATGGGAAAGATCAATAACAATCACCATTACAGAACACATCATCATAATTAAAATATTCGGCACAACTTAAAGTAAATAAACTTCAAACTCGGGAAATTTCCTATCAAAATATAACACGTGCATAAAATATTTCCTAAGGGAAATTTTTGAAAATTTGGTCTTTAGTCAATTTTTTTAAACAAAACCATTCGTGCATAGCGCCAGTCTCGTATTTAAGAAGAGACTTTAGCAAAATGTACAGAGTGATCCAGTATAAAGTGAACACCCCTTACCTTTTCGCAAAAAAAAAAATCAAGATAGCCATTTGGTGTATTTTGTTTCTAGGTGTTTGAGAATGTTTTTCGAAATTTAATTAGATTTTTCGTTAAAGCGCTGTGACCAAAAACGTATTTTTTTTTAAATGGAATAACCTATATTTGAGTCAATTTTTTAAACGTCCCTATTTTTCTCATTTCAAATATGTAGTTGGTTTATCTTTATTCTAAAAATTTGCGATATATTCTCACTTCAAAATTCACATAAAAATAGCCGAAAAGGTATCATAAAACATAATCACCAGCAGCTTTATTAAAGGCAATGTTGCCAATCTGAATTTGTAAAATCACACGATATGCTGATCAAATTACACGTTTTTACACGCTGTCAGTCTCACTATTACACGATTTTTACACACGACCTTGGTACCCATTGTGTATAACGTCAAGAAGCAAGTATAATTTTTTTTTCTGATTTATGATTTTGGGAAATGGGTAAAATCCAGTCGAATCTGAGGCTTATGGCTGTTTCCACCAACTATTTTGGGAAGCCCTAACGATAAGTATTCCCTAAAATGACATTTTTACATGAAGAAATGTCAATTTAAAGCATACCTATCGTTAGGGCTCGAGGGCACTGGCGGCTAGACATAGGATCGCGATCCAATGTTGCCAAATCCTCCTTTCATAAAGCGCCAAATTTAAAATAGATTGCGGATAATGTTACAATAATAATGAAAGGTTAATTTCTGTTATACAACAAATAAATTCTCGCATGATTAGTAGGTAATAAATTAATCCTATTATAGATATTTATGTTATAAGGATCATAATCACAATCATTATGGTATTAGCGGTGAATATTATCAGACGAGGCGTCAGCCGAGTCTGATGATAACACGGCGTGTTATGATCCAAATGTCATACAATATTTTATATTCCAGAAATTGTAAATAATTACCTATTTTAATGGTTAAATGTTGTCTTCAATAAATTTTTCATATTTTTGCCTACTAAACCTACTTATATATTTTTCTCATTATAGTAGGTACTTATAATAAGATCTCATTATACTACTTAGTACTCTAATGAAATCGCATTAAAGTACTCAATCCAATAAATTATGTCATTTTGACACTACAAATGAGATCCATAATAATGTCATTTTGACAGGCCGGAATAAAAAATAGAAAATAAGTAATGGTAATAATAGCCGGAGAGCCAGCGCCGAAAAAATTCTCTGAATTTACTAAAGCCAGTTTTTGGTCAGTTGATTACAGTATTTACGTACATAAACATACCTCGATCAGTCAAGCGAAACTTGGGACAAGGACCTAGGGTGTCTGGTTAAAGTTGTCGAGATAGCTATATGGTATATTTTTTCATTGTGAATTTATATTTAGGTACTTATAGTTATTCTAAAGAAAGAAGCGAAAGTATTTAAAACTAAAAAATAAAAGGTCAAAGTTCTCTAACTTGAAGTTAACTTTTCGAAATACATGTAATTCCACAAGTTAACTTCAAGTTAACTCTCAAAGTATATAGTTTTATAATACCCGCCCTGACAGAGACAGCCAAACTTGGCTCAATGGGGTGGGCGGGCATGCGCCTAGCATCGAAATCATTTTGGCAACGTTGGATCGCAGTCCTATGTTTAGCCGCCAGTCTCGAGGGCTCCCCTAAAATAGTTAGTGGAAGTGGCCATTAATGCTCCTGATCATCGCTCAAATTCAAAATAAATTCTTGAACCTTAAAATCTTGTTAAAAATCACTTTTTCTACATTTAAAATCGACGAAAAAACAAGCACAACCTGAATCGCAAGTATACCATCGAGGCCTGCGGGTGACGTCACCACTATAGGCTGCTAGAGTAGAAATCAAACGAGAAGAAGCCACACGCGTTATCGTTTGTCTCACTTTAAATAGGAGGGACTCAGAGAAAAGGAAATCTGCTTTCTTTGTCAGCGCTAACGACAGTGGCTTCTTCTCGTTTGATTTTTACTCTATGTTCCTAATACTGGTGACGTCACTCGCAGGCCCTGCCGATTTGCGAACGTACGCCCCATTAGCACAATTCCTGGGGGTGGGGGCAGTGGCTTTGAATTGGAAAGCCGTGAAACAGAACAAAAATAAGAGAATGTCAAATTTTTCAAATTACACACAAAATACACGCTTTTTGTTTATGTTTGAAAAATTCACGCAAGTCAGTCAAAATACACACAAATCGTGTAATTACACGCTAATTGGCAACACTGATTAAAGGTAAAATTATTTAGATTTACCTTGATACCTTTTCGGCTATTTTTATTTGAATTTTGAAGTGAGAATATTTCGCAAATGTTTAAAATAAAGATAAACAAACTATATATTTGAAATGAGAAAAATAGAGACGTTTAAAAAATTGATTTAAAAATACTTTTTTGGTCACAGCGCTTTAACGAAAAATCTAATTAAATTTCGAAAAACGTTGTCAAACACCTAGAAATAAAATACACCAAATGGCTATCTTGATTTTTTGAAAAAAAAAATTTTTTAGCGGTAGGGGGTGTTCACTTTATACTGGATCACCCTGTACAATATTCCCTACCTGGAGGGTTTTTTGGAATGATCGGTCCAATGGTGGTATTTGTAATGTTGCCAAGTTTACCGTTTATGAGATGCCGTATGTAACTTGATTTTAAATGGATGCCCCTACAGGCAGTTACATACGGCATCTTAGAAACGGTGAACTTGGCAACATTGCAAATACTACCATTGGATCGGGCATTCCTAAAAACCCTCAGGTATGGAATATTGTACATTTTGCTAAAGTCTTTTCTGAAATACGAAACTGTTTCCATACATTTTAACAAAAAATCTGTGTTACCATTTTTCATAAACCAAGTAAAATGGAGTTTTGGCATTTTGGGGTTTTAGTAATGTTGGGACGCTGAATTAATTACAATAAAAATAAAGAGGGGCATTCATTTAAAAAAATCAAGTTACATACGACATGTTAGAGACGGTAAACTTGACAACATTGCAAATACCACCATTGAATCGGGCATTTCCAAAAACCCCCAGGTAGGAATTGCGGACGTGCTCTATGAATTTATCAACGACAAATACTTTTTTCTAAATTATGACGTCATCGATGACGTAAGTAAGTACAAAAAAAATAAATAATTTGGTTGCATTGATTGTTTATATTAGTTTTAGGTAGTGCCACTGTAGGTAGTACCTACTATGGTGGGATACCGAATAGGCGTGCTAATTTTTGCTTTAGGGGTGCTTAGCACCCCCAAGCACCCCCCTAGTTGCGCTTATGAATTTCGAGGCAGTAGTCTTTATACATCTTGCTACCACCATTTTCAATAATTAAAACGATTTAACAATCCAATAATTTAAAAAAATACCTTTCGCCTTTTGGGCATAATCAGACGGAATTATTGTCTTGTTTTTGAATCAATATGTGCTTTCACAGATATGTAGAAGTTTATAATTTAATTAAATTAGACTTATATGGAGTCAATTGTTAATCAGCAATTATAGATTCCTTACTCCCATAATTTATTGTCGTTACTAAAAACTGGAAAATTCTCATTCGTCATCTTCCATTACATCGTCATATGAATGATACGTGGGACAGCACAAGCCCTCAGAACCGTCCGGCCTGATGCAGAAAAGTAAACTTTCCGCTGTGGTAGTTTCGTGAGGCATTATGCCGTGAAAATCTTTCAATTCGCTAGCCGGAAACCACGCTTTCTCGTTGTCGTCTATCAAAACATACCCAAAAAACCTAAAACAATCGCTAAAGAATTTCAATAAAAAACTAGAAATTGTTACCTTGCAATCGCAACTCCAGGTATCCACAATATGGAAATCAGCACCAAAGTGGATATGAGAAAAATGGCCCAAACTGGCCACTGATGCTTTTCAGTTTGGCCTTTTTCCGCCACCCAGGCATCGTATCCAGAACCATCCACAGCAATCTCCACAAAACTTGCAACCAATATAGACAACATCGCCAGGGGTGACAAATATTTCCAGCAAATCAACCAATAAAGTCCAGGCCTGGAACCCGTCATCATTTCAATATCATCTGCAAACCTTTTCAGTCCATAAACATAAGCAACTCCGACGCACTCGAAAAAAGCAATAATCAACAAAGGAAAATTGCCGCTGAAATTATCAAACAAAACAAAAATGTAGCTTCCCGCTCCATGAGCAAAACACATGGATAAAGTGCAACAAATCAAACATAAACCTCCAGTGAGGATTTCCTTGGGCAAATTGGGCATCAGCTTCAAATCCACAATGGAAGTGACCACACCTTCGAGGGTGCCGAATTGGGAATCGATGCCCAACGTGAAAAGCATGAGGAAAAAAAGTATGGACCAGAATTGGGCTCCTGGAAATTGATTGATTGCTTCTGTGAAGATGATGAAGGCTAAACCTGTACCAGAAGCAGACTAAAATCAATAAAAAAAAATATTTATTAATAATATAAGCATTATAAAGAATATTCTTAGATGAACTGACATATTTTGCTGGTGAATATCTCTAAAACGAGATTTGTTCTGGAAGGAAAAGGTTTTTTTAAAGTTTTTTTTCACAGTATTGCCGAATCCTGAAATTTGGTATTACGTGAACGTTTATCCGCTAGCGAACCATATCGCGAAAAAAACTTTAGAGTTCTACGACAAAGGTAAGTGCCTATAGTCACTTTTAGTGATTTTAGTGTTAATATGCATCATTACATCTTTTTATTACTGTAAGCATATATATATGTCTGAAAAAACCCCAAGTTCTAACTCTTACTGACTCGAACAACTTACCTGTATGCCATTCTTTCAATTGAATACTACGAAACGATCAAAACTCAATTTTATTCCATCCAACTGGCGCCCAACACCGTTTCCCGAGTACGGCTTCCTATAAAGGAAACCCAGGGTACGATTCTTCTACAACCACAACAACAACAACAACAACAACAAACAAAACAACAAAATAAACAACACATAACCGATGAAGAACTTCGGAGAGTTCTGATCAGTCCAGTGATCAGCACACAGTTGAACCTGGATCAGTTTCATATCTACACCACGGATCTAATTTCTCAAGAATCTCTGTCAGCGCATGGCAAGATTCCTGAAATCAGAACTTATCACCTTAATTCAGAGGAAGAAAAAGCAATACAAAATTAATGTAGGAAGTATGCAGACATTTTCCATTATCCAGACATGTCCCTGAACTTTACAAACCAGATCAAACACCATATTATAACAAAAGATGAGATTCCAGTGTACACTAAGTCATATAGATAATCAAACATATTTATTTAGAGGAAGTGAAAAACCAGATATCTTCCATGTTGGATAAAGGAATTATCAGACCTTGGTCTTCCCCGATATAAATAGCTCCAAAAAAAACAGACGCCTCTGGAAAAATAAAATGGCGGATAGTAGTGGACTATCTATAGGAAAGTAAACGAAGAAAACTATCGACGATAAATAAATACCCAATTCCAAACATTACAGACATCTTGGACAAACTTGGTAGATGCCAGTAATTCACCACTTTGGATCTGGCAAGTGGTTTCCACTAAATCGAAATGGCTAAGGAAGATATATGCAAAACTGCTTTTAATGGCCATTGTGAGTATGACCAGATGCCGTTTGGACTAAAAAACGTGCCAGATACGTTCCAAAGGGTGATGGATAATGGTGATGGAGATTCAAAATTCAAATGGACAAATGTGCGTTCCTGAAAAAGGAAGTTGCCTTTCTTGGACAAATTGTTACGCCAGAAGGAATAAGACCAAATCCAGCTAAAATCAATGCCATACTTGACTATCCAATACCACGAAGGAAATCCGAGGATTTCTAGGCCTCCTTGAATATTATAGAAAGTTTATCAAGGACCAGTGATGCCAGGTCTGGTGAAATTTCACCAGATCTAGTGATTTTATGAAAAATCTGGTCATTGAGTTTGAACATTTTTAAATTAAAATCCAAAGGGGTTTAACTCTAAAAAAATTGAAATTTTTATTTTTTCAGATTTTTTGAATTGTGACTTTTCCAATCGATAGAGCGGGTCTAAATTAGTAGAAAAAAACTCTAACATCATTACAAAATCTTGATTTCAAGACAGAAAAAAATTAAAAAGAAAATCTCAATTTTTAGATTTAAATTTTTTTTTGAATCCTGACAAGGTTAGGAGCAATTGCCAATATTTCCATTAAATTTTGAGCAAATCAAAATAAATTATATATGGTTGGGAAGAGCATCAAATTCTCTATAAATCAGTGCTAAATTGAGTTGGATAACTCAAATACTTTTAGAGCAATTGAGCCTTAAAGTTGGATTTTAGTTGAAATCTGGTCAAAAATTTCAAACTGGATTTTCTCAAAAACCGTAAATGCCAGTGACTTCAACCAAATACCGTTTTGAAGCCCTCATCAAGGGCTACAATCTCCAAAAAAACTGATCCAAAATCTTTGACGCGTTTTGAGAAAATTGAGTTTGAACATTTTTAAATTAAAATCCAAAGGGGTTTAACTCTTTAAAAAAATTGAAATTTTTATTTTTTCAGATTTTTTGAATTTTGACTTTTCCAATCGATAGAGCGGGTCTAAATTAGTTGAAAAAAACTCTAACATCATTACAAAATTTTGATTTCAACACAGAAAAAAATTAAAAAGAAAATCTCAATTTTTAGATTTAAATTTTTTTTTGAATCCTGACAAGGTTAGGAGCAATTGCCAATATTTCCATTAAATTTTGAGCAAATGAAAATAAATTATATATGGCTGGAAAGAGCATCAAATTCTCTATAAATCAGTGCTAGATTGAGTTGGATAACTCAAATACTTTTAGAGCAATTGAGCCTTAAAGTTGGATTTTAGTTGAAATCTGGTCAAAAATGTCAAACTGGATTTTCTCAAAAACCGTAAATGCCAGTAACTTCAACCAAATACCATTTTGAAGCCCTCATCAAGGGCTACAATCTCAAAAAAAACTGATCCAAAATCTTTGACGGGTTTCGAGAAAATTGAGCTTGAAAATTTTGAAATTAAAATCCAAAGGGGTTTAACCCTTTAAAAAAATCGAAATTTTTATTTTTTCAGATTTTTTGAATTTTGACTTTTCCAATCGATAGAGCGGGTCTAAATTAGTCGAAAAAAACTCTAACATCATTACAAAATCTTGATTTCAACACAGAGAAAAATCAAAAAGAAAATCTCAATTTTCAGATCTTCATTTTTTTTAAATCCTGACAAGGTTAGGAGCAATTGCCAATATTTCCATTAAATTTTGAGCAAATTAAAATAAATTATATATGGCTGGAAAGAGCATCAAATTCTCTATAAATCAGTGCTAGATTGAGTTGGATAACTCAAATACTTTTAGAGCAATTGAGCCTTAAAGTTGGATTTTAGTTGAAATCTGGTCAAAAATGTCAAACTGGATTTTTTCAAAAACCGTAAATGCCAGTAACTTCAACCAAATACCATTTTGAAGCCCTCATCAAGGGCTACAATCTCAAAAAAAACTGATCCAAAATCTTTGACGGGTTTTGAGAAAATTGAGTTTGAACATTTTTAAATTAAAATCCAAAGGGGTTTAACTCTAAAAAAATTGAAATTTTTATTTTTTCAGATTTTTTGAATTTTGACTTTTCCAATCGATAGAGCGGGTCTAAATTAGTAGAAAAAAACTCTAACATCATTACAAAATCTTGATTTCAAGACAGAAAAAAATTAAAAAGAAAATCTCAATTTTTAGATTTAAATTTTTTTTTGAATCCTGACAAGGTTAGGAGCAATTGCCAATATTTCCATTAAATTTTGAGCAAATTAAAATAAATTATATATGGCTGGAAAGAGCATCAAATTCTCTATAAATCAGTGCTAGATTGAGTTGGATAACTCAAATACTTTTAGAGCAATTGAGCCTTAAAGTTGGATTTTAGTTGAAATCTGGTCAAATATTTCAAACTGGATTTTTACAAAAACCGTAAATGCCAGCGACTTCAACTAAATACCATTTTGAAGCGCTCATTAAGGGCTACAATCTCAAAAAAAAACTGATCCAAAATCTTTGACGGGTTTCGAGAAAATTGAGCTTGAAAATTTTGAAATTAAAATCCAAAGGGGTTTGTTTAACCCTTTAAAAAAATCGAAATCTTTATTTTTGCAGATTTTTTGAATTTTGACTTTTCCAATCGATAGAGCGGATCTAAATTAGTCGAAAAAAATGCTAACATCATTTTCAAATCTCGATTTCAAAAGGGAAAAAAAATCAAAAAGAAAATCTCAATTTTCAGATCTTCATTTTTTTAAAATCCTGACAAGGTTAGGAGCAATTGCCAATACTTCCATTAAATTTTGAGCAAGTCAAAATAAATTATATATGGTTGGGAAGAGCATTAAATTCTCTATAAATCAGTGCTAGATTGAGTTTGATATCGCAAATTCTTTTAGAGCAATTGAGCCTCAAAGTTGGATTTTAGTTAAAATTTAGTCAAAAACTTCAAACTCGATTTTTTCAAAAACCGTAAATGTAAACGACTTCAACTGAGTACCATTTTGAAGCTCTTATTAGGAGCTACAATTTAAAAAAAAATTGATCCGAAATCTCTGACAGGTTCCGAGGAAATTAAATTTGAAAATTTTGAAATAAAAATCCAAAGTAAAAAAAATTACATTTTTTCGTTTACAACTCGTAATATAGCCTGAAAAATCAACTTTTAAGATTTCTGGTGATTTTTTTTTTTTTAAATCTGGGTATTTTTCATTCCAATTTCTGGTGAATTCAATTTTTTTGATCTGGCAACAGTGTCAAGGACTTCGCTGAAATTACTAAACCTCTAACTTCCTGCCTCAAAAAGGACACTTGAATAGAAATAACACCAGAATTTTTGAACTGCATTAGAACTTGCAGAAATTTACTAACAAATCAACCTCAGCTTTTAATCTAACTATTGATGCTAGCATTATACAATTGGAGCTATACTATCCCAAGGACCAATAGGCAGCGATAAGTTCATTGCATAAGCTTTAACTTAAAAACTAAAAAAAAATCTTATTCTCTCGGAACAAAGCGCAAAATGTGTCAGTTTATCTAAGGATACCCTGTATAAAAATTATTCTTACATTATCCAACTCTTTTTCTAGATCGCACACTGGTAGTTTTGGAAGTAGGATACTTCTAAAGCCGCCATTAAAATCTGTGTAATTGAAAATTGATCCAGCATTCACTGGAAAAGCTATATCGACGTCATAACTTGGTCCAAATAGATCAGTCAAAGACTTATTACGGTCCTCTAAGCATTTTTCATACGTCATTGTTGCCTTGAAGCCTATTATGGAAAATACTACAATGCCAGCAAACATTGAGGTGAAGCAATTGGTCATTGAAACCATTATAGCGTCCCTATAGCAATTATTGTTAACCTGAAATATTATTAATTTGAAACAATTTTTGTACATTGAAAATTTACTTACAGGATTGTAAGATGAAAAAGCTATAAGGCCACCAAAAGCTAAGCCCAACGAAAAGAAAATTTGCGTGCCAGCTTCAAGCCAAACGACTGGATCCAGAATCGTGTGCCAGGATGGTGTGAATAAATGTCTGAGTCCGTCCGATGCTCCTTTCAAAGTTATACCACGAAAAAAGAAAATAATTAGCACCAAATATGGAAAAGTTGCCGTGAAATAGACCACTTTTCCAGACGACGCTATGCCTTTTATCATGCACAAATAAACCAATATCCAGGCCACCACCAAAGCCAAAGCTATTTTCCAGTTGAAAGCTTCCGGAGTGTTGATGTCTTCCGATACCATTAGCGTTGTTCTGTACCAGAAAAATTGAGTTGGACTGCTTGCCTGGAACAAATCTATTTGTAATTGTGAATCCAGAATTATTTGAAAGTACTTACAAGGCATTCAGGTTCTGGTGTGTAAGAGCCGTTAGGAAAATAGAGGTTGGGGCATTCGGCCCAAGGCAATTTCGATTGGAAGCTCTGCATGAAGTAGAAGAGGCACCAAGCGATTATGGAATTGTAATATAGAGCCACGTTGAATGATACGAAAGCGCTACTAATGCCTATACCTGAAAAAAAAATCAATTCATTTGTTAGCAATAATTATCTATAATTTTACGTTTTGTTTTTGTTAATGGATTTCCAAATTTATAGGCAATTTCCTAATAGGTACTTATTATGAAAATGTTTTTTTGAATAGAATGAAAACATTTGAGGAAAATTGATAGATTGATGATTATTGTTTTTCTATTACAGGCCTTCGAGTTTTCTCTAAGGCTTCAAAATAATATATATTTAGCTGGAATCGCTAGCGTTTACGGTTTTTGTCGGCTAAATTTCAAATTTCAAGCTCAATATCTTGGAAACTCCAAAAGTTATGGAATCTAATTTTGTAAGGCCCTATAGAGAATTTAATGCTCTTTCCAATAATATATAGTTATCATTAATTTGTTCAAAAATAATTGAAGATACAAGCAATTATTCATAAGCATTTCAAGATTTCAATGAATGTCTAGTCTAGAGCCAAAAATGAGATTTTTTTTTCTAATTGAAATTTCCAAATGTAATTGATGTTAGAGTTGTTTCTGACTAATTTGGACTCGCTCTATCGATTTCTGAAGTCAAAATTGAGAAAAATCTAAAAATAAAAATTTTCAATTTTTTGCACTTTTTTCTAAGGTTATCTATCCCCTTTGGATTTTTATTTGGAAATCTTGAATCTTAAATATCTCGGTAACTAAAAGCGGTACTAGAACAAAATTTCCAGGAATTGTAGATCTTGGAAAGGGCTTTCAGATAGTATACAGCTGAAATCGCTGGCAGTTATAGTTTTTGAGAAAATCCACTTTAAAATTTTTGACAAAATTTTAACTAAATTTCCATTTTGAGGCTCAATATCTTGGAAACTTTATAAACTACAAAAACTAATTTTACACGAGCTAATAGAGAATTTAATGCTCTTTTCAATGATATAGAGTTATTATTAAATTGCTCAAAAGTAATCGTAGATATAAGCAATTATTCATGAGCATGTCAAGATTTTAAAAAAAAATTTAGAGCCAAAAATGAGATTTTCTCTTGGATTTTTTTTCTCTTTGAAATTTCCAAATGTAATTGATGTTAGAGTTGTTTCTGACTAATTTGGACTCGCTCTATCGATTTCTGAAGTCAAAATTGAGAAAAATCTAAAAATAAAAATTTTCAATTTTTTGCAGTTTTTTCTAAGGGTATCCCTTTTGGATTTTTATTTGGAAATCTTCAATCTTGAATATCTTGGTGAACAAAAGTAGTACTGAAACAAAATTTCCAGGAATTGTAGCTCTTGAAAAGGGCTTTCAGATAGTATACAGCTGAAATCGCTAGCAGTTATAGTTTTTGAGAAAATCGACTTTAAAATTTTTGACAAAATTTTAACTAAATTTCCATTTTGAGGCTCAATATCTTGGAAAATTTATAAACTACAAAAACCAATTTTACACGAGCTTATAGAGAATTTAATGCTCTTTTCAATGATATAGAGTTATTATTAAATTGCTCAAAAGTAATTGTAGATATAAGCAATTATTCATGAGCATATCAAGATTTCAAAAAAAAATTTAGAGCCAAAAATGAGATTTTCTCTTGGATTTTTTTTCTCATTGAAATCTCCAAATGTAATTGATGTTAGAGTTGTTTCTGACTAATTTGGACTCGCTCTATCGATTTCTGAAGTCAAAATTGAGAAAAATCTAAAAATAAAAATTTTCAATTTTTTTGCAGTTTTTTCTAAGGGTATCCCTTTTGGATTTTTATTTGGAAATCTTCAATCTTGAATATCTTGGTGAACAAAAGTAGTACTGAAACAAAATTTCCAGGAATTGTAGCTCTTGAAAAGGGCTTTCAGATAGTATACAGCTGAAATCGCTAGCAGTTATAGTTTTTGAGAAAATCGACTTTAAAATTTTTGACAAAATTTTAACTAAATTTCCATTTTGAGGCTCAATATCTTGGAAAATTTATAAACTACAAAAACCAATTTTACACGAGCTTATAGAGAATTTAATGCTCTTTTCAATGATATAGAGTTATTATTAAATTGCTCAAAAGTAATTGTAGATATAAGCAATTATTCATGAGCATGTCAAGATTTAAAAAAAAAATTTAGAGCCAAAAATGAGATTTTCTCTTGGATTTTTTTTCTCATTGAAATCTCCAAATGTACTTGATGTTAGAGTTGTTTCTGACTAATTTGGACTCGCTCTATCGATTTCTGAAGTCAAAATTGAGAAAAATCTAAAAATAAAAATTTTCAATTTTTTGCACTTTTTTCTAAGGGTATCCCTTTTGGATTTTTATTTGGAAATCTTCAATCTTGAATATCTTGGTGAACAAAAGTAGTACTGAAACAAAATTTCCAGGAATTGTAGCTCTTGAAAAGGGCTTTCAGATAGTATACAGCTGAAATCGCTAGCAGTTATAGTTTTTGAGAAAATCGACTTTAAAATTTTTGACGAAATTTTAACTAAATTTCCCTTTTGAAGCTCAATATCTTGGAAACTTTATAAACTACAAAAACCAATCTTACACGAGCTTATAGAGAATTTAATGCTCTTTTCAATAATATAGAGTTATTATTAATTTGCTCAAAAGTAATCGTAGATATAAGCAATTATTCATGAGCATGTCAAGATTTCAAAAAAAAATTTAGAGCCAAAAATGAGATTTTCTCTTGGATTTTTTTTCTCATTGAAATCTCCAAATGTACTTGATGTTAGAGTTGTTTCTGACTAATTTGGACTCGCTCTATCGATTTCTGAAGTCAAAATTGAGAAAAATCTAAAAATAAAAATTTTCAATTTTTTGCACTTTTTTTTAAGGTTATCCCCTTTGGATTTTTATTTGGAAATCTTGAATCTTAAATATCTCGGTAACTAAAAACGGTACTAGAACAAAATTTCCAGGAATTGTAGCTCTTGGAAAGGGCTTCCAGATAGTATACAGCTGAAATCGCTAGCATTTATAGTTTTTGAGAAAATCGACTTTAAAGTTTTTGATAAAATTTTAACTAAATTTCCATTTTGAGGCTCAATATCTTGGAAAATTTATAAACTACAAAAACCAATTTTACACGAGCTAGAGAATTTAATGCTCTTTTCAATGATATAGAGTTATTATTAATTTGCTCAAAAGTAATCGTAGATATAAGCAATTATTCATGAGCATGTCAAGATTTTAAAAAAAAATTTAGAGCCAAAAATGAGATTTTCTCTTGGATTTTTTTTCTCTTTGAAATTTCCAAATGTAATTGATGTTAGAGTTGTTTCTGACTAATTTGGACTCGCTCTATCGATTTCTGAAGTCAAAATTGAGAAAAATCTAAAAATAAAAATTTTCAATTTTTTACACTTTTTTCTAAGGTGTTAGATTTTTATTTGGAAAACTTCAATCTTAAATATCTCGGTAACCAAAAGCGGCAATGAAACAAAATCTTCAGGAATTATAGTTCTTGAAAAGGGCTTTCAGATGGTATTTAGCTGAAATCGCTAGCATTTATAGTTTTTGAGAAAATCGACTTTAAAGTTTTTGACAAAATTTTAACTAAACTTCCATTTTGAGGCTGAATATCTTGGAAACTTTATAAACTACAGAAACCAATTTTACATGAGCATATAGAGAATTTAATGTTCTTTTCAATGATATAGAGTTATTATTAATTTGCTCAAAAGTAATCGTAGATATAAGCGATTATTCATGAGCATGTCAAGATTTCAAAAAAAAATTTAGAGCCAAAAATGAGATTTTCTCTTGGATTTTTTTTCTAATTGAAATTTCCAAATGTAATTGATATTAGAGTTGTGTCTGACTAATTTGGACTCGCTCTATCGATTTCTGAAGTCAAAATTGAGAAAAATCTAAAAATAAAAATTTTCAATTTTTTGCACTTTTTTCTAAGTTTACCCCTTTTAGATTTTTATTTGGAAAACTTCAATCTTGAATATCTCGGTAACCAAAAGCGGTACTAGAACAAAATTTCCAGGAATTGTAGCTCTTGAAAAGGGCTTTCAGATGGTATTTAGCTGAAATCGCTAGCCTTTATAGTTTTTGACGAAATTTTAACTAAATTTCCATTTTGAGGCTCAATATCTTGGAAACTTTATAAACTACAAAAACCAATTTCACACTTATAGAGAATTTAATGCTCTTTTCAATGATATAGAGTTATTATTCATTTGCTCAAAAGTAATGATGATGAGCATGTCAAGATTTCAATGCATGTCTTGAGATTTCCTTTTAGATTTTTTTTCTAATTGATATTTCCAAATGTACTGGATGTTAGAGTTGATTCTGACTAATTTGGACTCGCTCTATCGATTTTTGAAGTCAAAATTAAGAAAAATCCAAAAATAGAAATTTTCAATTTTTCTAAAAGGCACCGCAGAACTCTTTAAACCAAGTTAGAACATTTTAGATCTTCAATAAGCCACTGTCTAGCAAAATTTTAATTAAACAATTTAAAAACCTCAGAATTATTCCAGAGAGCCTAGTGCCTGGAATAGACAAAAATTGAAAATTATAATCAATAAGGTTTGTTCCAAAACCGTCCTAAGAACGAATTCGTAGCCACTCTGTATACAAATATTAGGCTTTGCACAGAATCTTGACGGTACATTGTACAGTTTTGTGCTTTGTTGTAACTTTTGAAAAAAATTTAACACTTATACGGTCCTGTAACTAACTAGAAACAGGGGATTTACACACTTATTTGCCGTCGGAATAAGGGATACTAATCTACTACGCATTAGTTTTTTTGTCCATCTCACACTCATATTTATTACGTTATCTGTTTACCTTATTTTTTTGGGGTTTCGAGATTCGGGATTTAGTTTAGTTGAGTTCCGATAGCCGCAAGATGAAGTACTGCCAAGTCGCCTCCAGGGATTATTGATTTTTGGCATCAACAACTCATCAAAAAAAAAATCCGCGAATTATCCAGAGTAGGTACATACAACGTTGTTCCATGGATATACCGTTTTTACACATTGTCGTTTACAACGTTGTTCAATTATTTTGCTAATGTCATAAGAAAACATCTTGAAAGAATTTCTTCAACTAAAGTTATTTACCTGCTAAAAATGGCGAGACCTGATTCCAAACTCCAATGGCGCCTTTTCTTAACCGTTGCCCAATTGCCAATTCCAAATAAAAAATTGGAATCCCTTCGATGGCCAACATAACGAAATACGGTATCAGAAAAGCCCCGCCGCCGTTTTTCTGAGCCAAATACGGAAATCTCCAGACGTTGCCAAGACCTACGGCGTAGCCCACAATCGCTAGAAGAAATGTCAGTTTACTGTCCCACGATTCGCGTTCTTCCTCAACGCAATCCGGTTTGAAGACACCTTTGCCGTCCTGTTTAAATCAAAATATTACAGCTTTAATATCATCAATAAGTATTGAATTTACCTGTTGTAATTCTGGATCAACTGGAGAACTAGATTTGTGTTTAGTTCCAGGACTGGTGTCTTCAAAAGCGATATTTGTAGCACCATAGCTGGAGCCTCCATTTTCAATTGGCACTAATCGTCCTTTCATTTCCTTCAATTCCAAACGGTCTAGTGATCTTGGTACGTGTAGATCGCGTGAACTTTGTCTACGGACTAAATGCGCTGTGTTCGCCATTGTTTGGTGGGATGATTTTCGAGCTTTTATGTGGTTGGTTTAGATGAAAGGACCATTTTTGAACTAGAAAAAGATTTGTGAAGTTATTGAATTGACTCGAGATTGGAAAATGTATTGCTCAATCAATCAGCTCAATAATAATAGAGCAGTTCTTTTGAAATGCTTCAAAACACTTTAAACTAAAACATTCCTAAAATGATTAATGATTGGAACGTTGGAAAAAGGTTTGTTGAATGTCGAAAAATATTAGAACGAAAAATTAAAAATATTTATAAAAATGACATAGAGAAAAAGTAATTTTAATTATATAAAAACTCTGGCATATCAGCTTCTAAAAAACATCATCAGAAAGGGGATTTGAATCATAGAATCTCATATTTTACAAACTCATGTAAAAAATTACGTACCTTTTGAGTTTGCGAAGGACCGAACCAGCGTCTCGACGTAACACCAGCACGGATACGAACTAGTGGTTTCAAAGGGGGTCGAATCAATACAGACGCCGACTCCGTGCGTCGGTTTTAAAGCAAAATTCACCCTTGTGGACCCCCATTAAAAAACAAACTCCACGCGTCATTGAAAACATCTTTTTATCAATGAATTGAAAGTTATTCTTCAGAGGTATCATTGGGTATCATAGATTAATCTTGAATTGTCTCAGCATATTCCAGCGTGTTGCTAAATTCAGCTCGTCTAATTACAAATTAGCCATTTTTTTTCAAAGGACCTCGCACACTTATGGGATTTCTGACCGCGGTCAAATTTAACCGAATTTTAGTATGTTATAGATTTGATTTTTCTGATCAATAACTATCATGGCTACAACTTAATCCTATGGCTTGTTTTTGAGATACAGGGTGTTCAATATGTGAATGTCCGATATGCATTATGACATCTCATTCAATCAGCCAAATGATATTCGTGTGAGAATTCAGTCAAGGCACAGAAATCAAATGAAATACCAATAGTTATTTATGCTCGTACCATAGAGGCATAATTTCATGTACAGGCGGGTGTTCTATTTTGGTATACATAATAATTAACTCTGTTGATATTGGAGTTGGAATAATGAGGTTTTCGTGAACTTTGACTGCTTTTCTGTCAAACGGAAGATGGCGCCAAAAAATTTGTCATCGCCCTTTTGGGTTTTTCAGATACAAGGTGTTTTTGAAAAAATTGCATTTTGGGACAACCCTTGTATCTCGGTTCTCGAAAGTGATCGAAAAGGTGACAACGGATTCTTATAGATATTTTCACTGAAAGTTTTTAAATTAAAAACCATACATTTTTTTTAAATGAGACTCCCTGTATATTAATAGCTCATAGGATAGATCTGCTTCTGCTGATTTCAATGATATAACATTCAATAGGTGTATCTCTAGTGTTAAACATTCTAATAGCTTTCCTGCCATATACATATTTCTCTCGTTGATGGCTTCATCTAGAGTCCTGTCATTTGTTTTAGTTAGACTGATGTAGGTATTTGTATTTACTTCACGATTCTAGTGTGCGTCCATATCCTGCTATGTTCCTCCTATGCACATGTCTTCAGTTTTTGTTATGTGCCTTCTAGCCCCCACCTTTCATACTCTTCAACAAGCTTTCTTGTCATAATATATTCTAGATATTCCATATCCTGTGCCAGTTCTATTTGGTCGTCTGCAAAACTCAATGTATATAGAATATTTTCATTTAGGGGGATGCCCATCCCTTTGCATTTCTATTTCCATTTCAATAGCGGTTTTTCAAGGAAGATTTTAAAAAGTGTAGGTGAACAGAAACATCCCTGTTTTAATAGTCCTTTATTCGGGGAAAAAGCTTTTGTGACATTGTTGCCGATTTTTATTTCTATATGACAGTTTTTATGTGTATAGTTGCTGGATCGCTTTTATAGGTTTGTATTTATGTTTGTAGTTTTATAGAGATTTCTATAATTTGGTTAGAGGGACACTGTCACGGGCTTTTTTCAAGTCTATATAGAGGAGATGTAATTCCTTATTCACTGCTGTCATTTTCTCGCTAAGTTGAGTAATACAGAATAGATGGTCTACTGTGGATCTTCCTGCCGTTGTCGTTCGATTTTTCCCTCTAAGATTTTTCCGTATATTCTGCTAATTGTGCTCATTACTGCAGTTCCTCTGTAATTGTCACACATCTCTTTGCTACCTTTTTATGAATGGTTGACATAAAGGACAGTTTCCATTCGGATGGTACTTCTCCGCTGTTCCAGCAGTTTTGGAAGAGTCTCGTTAGATTTTCAATGAACTTATGCCAAAGCGTAATAATAATAGAATTGTATATGTCGTAGGTGGCTCCAGAAATAAAAATCCCTCCAAAAAAGGTACGACGAAAATGGAATTGTTGCGTGTCGGTGCCGGATAGTCCGGACGATCCTCACAGTCCGCAGTGGCGGCTCGTGACTATTTCAAGTGAGGAGGCTAAAACATTTCAAAGATTTTCAGTGATTTTGAGTAGATCTTACGAGTTTTTCTGGGACTTTGACCAATTTGTATACAAATTTTCTGAAAATTTGTATAGAAATACAAAAAAATATGAAAACTTTTCATATAGTTCTGGCGTGCCATGCTTAACTAATTCTGCTAGTATATCACCGGGTCCTAGGGCCTCGCTCCTCCTATATAACAGTTTAATCCGAGGTTTAATCTACTATAGTGTCTTTCCCTTGTGTCGGTTTTATTTTGCGTGATCATATTACGTAGTTTCCTTTGTGATAGCTCATATAATTGACCAAGTTTCTAAATTCACCATTTGCTTATGCGCATTTTTCTTGATGAGCAACTTATCCTTGTTTTGCTGCTGTCAAATGACAATGGGGATAAAACTCAAACAATGCTGTTTTCAATGCTAGATACTCAGGATTTCACAAATTCACCTGAAGTGAAGTTTTTGGGTCATTTTGGGATTATATATCTCGATCCAAAACTCATCACATGGGATGTGCATACAGATAATATGTCAGGAAGGCTGAGAGCAGTGTTTTCTTGCTAAGGAATCTTTGTGACTGTATCTCACACACAGTGCTGAGTGCTTATTATGGCATGTTTCACTCTGTTATGACATATGGGATTCTAGCATGGGGTGGAGCCCCTTCTGCAGCCCGAATCTTTGGGCTGCAACGTAAGGCTGTTAGAATTTTGTCGGGTGGATGACTGTAGGCCTGCGTTTGTGGAACTCAACATACCGACTCTTTCATCAGCTTATATTATGGAATGCGTGCTGTATGTCAAAAGCTTTGAACACAAATTCTTGACTCATAGTGATATCCACGACTATAAAACCAGACACTGCAGCAATATTGTGCCGTCTCATTGCCGATTGTCAAAGTGCCAGGGTCGCCCGGAGTTTATGGCGGTCAAGCTATTTGATAAATTACCGATAGACATAAAAAAATTGCCCATTAACCTATTTAAAGAGACAGTTAAGAAACTAGTATGTTCCAAGGCTTTTTACAGTATACAGGAGTTCCTCCAACACTTATAGTCATTATGTTTGAAATGTGTATTGTATATGTCTCAATTTTAAACTGTTTATATCTGAATTTTACACTATCTGTATGAATTTCAATCTGTATTTGTTTATTCTCTTGTTTTCTGTTTTGATTTGATAGATAAACAAAAGTAATAATGGCTAGTTCAGCTACTGACCTATGCTATAGCCTTAAGATTATTATTTTATTATATTGTTGACTTGTATAAATGCTTTGTGTACATTGACATCAATAAATTACTTTACTTTACTTTACTTTACTTTACTTTACTTTACTTTACTTTACTTTACTTTACTTTACTTTACTTTACTTTACTTTACTTTACTTTACTTTACTTTACTTTACTTTACTAATGACTCTTTTGCTGCTTCATGCAAGCAACTTTTGATGTAAACTAAAATAGCGTAAAAATAGCTGAACCAAATATCAACATATATTTGGAATCAGAAGGAAAACATTTAGCCAAAAATATACAGGGTGTTCCATTTGAAAAAATGCAAGTATTTGTCATTATGACAGTTGGCACCTGTCATTTGCCCGTTTTGACACTTGCAAAAGATGATAGAGACAAAACCCTACAACTTTTGTATTGAACTTTTTTCCAAATTATTTTTTGTTTAAACTGTAGAAATTATAAGGAACAGACCCGGTACAACCAAAATGGGACACCCTGTGCATGAACCTATGGTTCGAGCACAAATAACTATTGATATTTTTCTGTGCCTTGATCGAATTCTCACACGAATATAATTTAGTTGAGGTTGTGGCCAGGATCTTAACGGCTTGGTAATCTTCTTGTGTTGTTAGGACAATTTCTCCATTACCAAATTTAAAGATCTTCATGAAAGGATCAAAAAAGAAACTAAAGTTCTGTGCCTGAAGACAATTCACAGAAATGTTACAAATCAGAATTGGCTCAGAAAATTATTTCAAAAATTTGTATATAGATTTTCATTTCAGCAATTCTTGCAGCGACATCTCTGGTCCATTCTCGTGTTGAAATTAATAAGCGCGGAATTAATTAGCCGGTATTTTAGAGGCAGGCCGCGAGGTACCGTTTCGGCGGGTCTTTGCCAGCGCAAAAGTGAAATTATTGACCGTTTTCCGCTATCCCGCTTTCTTCGGTAGATTTTATTCGTCCATGTTGCCGTTGTTTTCAGAAACTAACAGAAAACTGAGATTTTTTTTGAAAAGTTTTTCGATTTTTCTTGAATTTCTGTAGCCAAATGCGTAGCTTCTGAGTCAAATGATTGCTTTCAATTACTTGGAAGATAGAAATAGCATGAAAATTGAATTAGTTATGCAAAAAATATAGCTGTAGATGATTTTGTAAAATTTGATATCTTTTAAAGTTTTGGTTTTAATTCAAAGTACTTCAAATAGAGAATTTTTGGTCAAAGTTTTAACTTTGAGGCTTAGTAAAACTCGCTTAGTAAGTACACCAAATTTTGCTCAGTTTATAGAGAATTCAACGCTCTTTCCAGAAATATATAATTTAAATCAAATTGCTCAAATTTAATTGATGTAATGAGCAATTAATCATGTGCAAGTCAGAATTACAAAAATATCCAAAGCAAAAATGGAGTTTTCCTTGTGATTTTTTTTTTCTCATTGATGCTGTGATTTGGAAATGATCTTAAAAACTTTTTTGACTCACTTATTTAGACCCGCTCTATCGATTGGAAAAGTTTTCTACTAAAGTTTAACTTTGAGTATCTCAACTGCTGAAAATTTTGATTAAAATTTAACTTTGAGGCTCAATAACTTGCTTAATACAAAAGTTACTGGTACCAAGTTTTGCTCAGTTTATAGAGAATTTAATGCTCTTTCGAGCCATACCTAATCTAAATCAAATTGTGGTCTTTAAAAATATAGAACCAAATATAGGGCATCCCATTTGAAAAATCTGAAAGCATACAACATTTCACATTTCTGATATTCAATTTTTGTTTCTGAACATGGATTCTAAAAGTTTAGCCAATACTGTATAACTTTTGTATTTACACCTTTCATCTACTTGTAAAGGTGAAGGCTGTAGGTGAGGTATCAATATATAAAAAAAAACACCCTGTACTTGAACAATAACTTATTATATAAAGTTAAAATTTGTAAGATTATCCACTTTTTTTCAATTTCCCTTGCAACAGGAATCAGTAATGTTACAAGTTAGTCAAGTACAAAAATGAGTGAATTGTTGTGGAACTTATGGGTGGACCTCTGCGGGACGAGCGCAGCGAGTTCCGCAGCCATCTATTCATCAATATGTTGTGTAATTATAATACTAACCTGACTCCACTCAAATATAAATTATTTTCATTAATTTAAAAAGTACACGTTTCTGGTGAGTGTCTTATTTGAACAGTTCAACAGTATATTGGTGAGTAGATGGCTGCGGAACTCGCTGCGCTCGTCCCGCAGAGGTCCACTCATAAGTTTTGCAATAATTCACTTATTTGTACTTGAACAATAACTTATTATACAAAGTCAAAGATTGTATGATTATCCACTTTTTGTCAATTTCCCTTGCAACAGGAATCAGTAATGTTACTTTACCAAAGTAGTAATATAAAGTGACAAGTCAAGTACAAAAATGAGTGAATTGTTGCGGAACTTATGGGTGGACCTCTGCGGGACGAGCGCAGCGAGTTCCGCAGCCATCTATTCATCAATATGTTGTGTAATTATAATACTAACCTGACTCCACTCAAATATGAACTATTTTCATTAATTTAAAAAGTACACGTTTTTGGTGAGTGTCTTATTTGAACAGTTCAACAGTATATTGGTGAGTAGATGGCGATACGATACTAACCCGACTCACTCAAATGTGAGTTATTCTCATTATAACTTAAAAATTACACGTTCCAGGTGACTGTCTTATTTGAACAGTATATTGGTGAGTAGAAGTCCACCTATAAATTCCGCAACAATCCACTTATTTTTACTTGAACAATAACGTATTATAAAAAGACAAAATTTGTAAGATTATGATTATTCACTTGTTGTCAATTTGCCTCATTATAACAGGAATTATAACCGTTTCCACCAACTAGTTTAGGGAAACCCTAACGATAAGTATTCCTTAAAGTGACATTCCTTCATGTAAAAATGTCATTTTGGGAAATACTTATCGTTAAGGCTCCCCTAAAATAGTTGGTGGAAACGGCCATTAGTAATGTTACTTTACTAAAGTATTCAGTAATATAATGTGACAAGTTATTCAAGTACAAACGAGTAGATTGTTACAAAACGTATGGGTAAAGAATGTCATTATCAATGGACAACATGTTTTCATGAAGGGAAGATCCATCCAGCCATCTATTCATCAAATTACGTACCTACCTATACGAACGATTTACAAAAAAATAAAAATGACATCAGATATTTAGCCTGTTTCGTTCTAAATGGTAGGTACCTATATGTACTCTGTATGTATTCGGATTATCCGAGTTTTCAGTTATCCGAGGTGGGTATCCCCCATTACCTCGGATAACCGGGGTTCTACTATATATCGATTAGAAATGTAAAAATTGGAAGTAGGTACCTGCTATTTACTTATACTTGGAAACTGAAAATTCTGGATTTTTATTATAACTGATATAATATACCTATTATCTAATATATAAATTCCAGATATTAATGGATCAAAAATGTATTAATTAGGTATAGAGAAAATTTTAAGTATAGGTACCTAAAAGCTCAACTTTGAAGATGCTTTAAAGCTACTAATATACATAGATACCTACCTACCAAATTATGGCCATCATTTTATAAAGAATTTAAAGATACTGCAGGAAATAGTTTTTCTATTTTGATAATGATTTTTTTTTTCTGGAATATCCAGGATTTAAATCTCAACTATCCTTTCAGGATTCTCAACTTTCCTTTGTCAGCACAATTTATCTAGCATATTGTTTTACATATAAAATAGTACTTTCCACTGACAAAAACAAGCATCTAAAAAACATTAATCCAGCATCATCTCTAGCTAGAAGTTAAACTATTGCCACAAACTACCTACTTTCTGAAATAAAATTGACAATTTCCTAAAGATTTTTCCCAACTCCAAGCCGACAACCTCGCATTTCAAGTCGAACTTGAAAACATACGCAGGATTTTTCCTCCTCCACACACACTAAAAGGGGGGAACTCAAATTCATTCAAACCTGAGCTCAAGAAAAAGCTTTTCTCTCGTAGTAGTTTTAGTGAAAGAATGACCCTGTGAATGATCTTAAGTTGGTGCGGGTTCTTACGATGAACGCAAACTTTGCTGTCGGCGGTATTTCTCAAGTCGAGTGCCACAACGACACTGAACCTTTATTGAACCCTTTCGTACACCATTTGGAATTGAACACAACTTATGAGAAAATTAAAGTAAGAATTTTAACGACTCAGAAATAAAAATCTTCTATTTGCGTATCAGAAATCCAATGTTCCAATTAATTATAATAAACAATCATCAATCAAAATATTTATTTCTTTTATAAACAGATTCCGTTATAATAATAATATTTCTTATTTTACTCGGTCAAGGTTTGCACTTTCTTTTAATTAACATAAATTCACAATCTTAAGAAATTGGGTGATTGAACTTTTTGATTCATTAATATCGGATTGAAACTTTTCATGTAGATTTATTAGAGAATAAAACATTGTCGTCTTAAATATTACAAACTAGTGACTGTACTTTAACAGTTCTTCTCCTCATGGTATTCTCGGTATGCAACAACATGCAAGCCATAATAGAGTATATAACTTGTTTACCATCCTGTCTGCAAAGTGCAAGTTCAATATCCTTTGATTTTAAATGTTAAAATAAAGTACGCCTTAGAGTTATGAGCCAAATTTGCACACATGGATGATAATAATATAAAATTATTGGCCAATGACATCGTGTAACTTTCTATTTTCAATTTAATTCTATTGTCATTCGATTGATTTCGCAAAACGTGATATTTGTGTTTTTTTATTTTAGACTTGCATTGAAATACTCGATAAACTCTTGGTATTTTCAAATAAGTTTCTCAATTTAGGTGAGATAAAGCTAAAAGAATGATTTGAAAATACCAATTAAATTTAAGCTGCGTTAGTCAAACATGAGTTTTCACAATCGCTCTCAATTAACTCTGACTCTCAAATGATCAAAAATCATAGTTTTAAACTCCTTTAGTACAATTTTTGTAATTAGGTGCGCCGAGAATAGAAACTTTATTAGTACAGCAGGCAAGTACTTTCTGTTGGAAAGTCATTTTGGTATATCATTTATGAGAAGTCTGTGGAGTGAAATCTGAGTTTTTGACTTCGAGAACCCTGTGCCAGCTTGCGGGGAAGTCATAAAACCACGAAATTTTCGGACTTTTTCAATTTTTTGCTTATATATTTTCTGAACCATGCGTTTTAGCAGAATACACCTAGTTATTAAGTTGAAGAACATTAAATTTCCTTCAAATTTCACTAGTCAAACCTATTATTTAACGCAATAGTAACCAAGATACAGTGGCTCAAATATACAGAAAAATTCTCAACATATTTTATCCTCATCTCTTTCACGTCCACCTACAGACGACACATAAGTAGATAGATGTCTCCTATATGCACCTGAATTATTTTCCGCATTAACTGTAACTAATAACTCGAAATTATCGGACTTTTCCAGTTTTTTGCTTATAACTCCTCAACAAAGTTTGAAGAACTTCAAATTTCACTGGCCAAAAGTATTCGATCCAATGGTTACTGAGATATATAGACTGAGATATATAGTGGTTTGAAAAATTCAAGTTATTTCTCAGCTTATCAAAAATAGCATGGAAATGCAGGTTTGTGCCCTATAACTTTGGAAACTCAAACTTTGCCTTTCTCCGGTGCTGATCTTGTGCTTGCTGCTATAGTATTTTCCATACTATATGAGCGGTGCTCAGCACAATCACTTTCTGAAGTGTCATCAGGTTGTGGGTTCCGGGAAGTTGTTTTACCGCCTCACAGGTGAGATTGCTACGTCTATTAGCATACATGTGTTTTGTTTCTTGTCCTTCACTATGATGTTAGGCTTTGTTTGCTAGTATGGTTCTGTTTGTCCCATATTTCAGGGCTGTGTTTGTACCATTATTTATGTAGGTACTTTTACTCCATACTCTTTGCAGATGTTCCAGTGCAGGTGGGCTGCGACTGTGTTGTGACGGTTCAGGTAAGCTTTCTTCGCTAGGATAGGGCATCGTGACACTATATGGTGGATGGTTTCGGCATGGGCGTGGCATAGTCTACATTTTATTATCTTCGCCTTCAGATAGTTGGTGGCTATAGTTTACTCCTGACATATAGTTACCAGTGCTTCGGTTTCTATTTTCAAATTTGTATGGGTGAGCCACTTCCATGACGCAGCTGAGTTGATGGTGTCCTTTTCCGACGCCTTTGCGATTTCTCTATGTAGGGCCTCCACCTTGTTGTCTGTTCTTTTCTCTTCTGTTGTTTCAATTCTTATTTAATTTGTTTGACTCTTCTGTTGCAGTTTTCCTTGTTTCGCTCTCTTTGTCGGTTCACCTTGCACACCTTCAGGGTTTGTCTGTCCATTTTTCTGAGTTCTGCTAGCGTCCACTTGATGATTCCGAAACTGTATTGTATTTCAGGGATTGCTAAGGTTGTAATGGCAGAGCTCTTGTTTTTGGCGTTCAGTTCGGTCTTGAGTATTCCTGTGGTTCTTCGCTGTAGTATTCCTTTTCCAGTTCCACTTTCATCTTCTTCTGCTGTATTTCGTTATTCTCGTCAATTCCCAGGTACTTGCAGTGACATTCTCGGGCCTGTAAGCAAAAAATCCTACCGGGCAACCTTCGGAAGGAAAACCCCTCAGGAAAACCCTAAACAAAATTCTAGAGAGAATCTTATATCATCTGTCATATTTGTATAAGCATAATAACTTAAATCAGCAAAATTCAAAGGACTTAAGGAATCAATTTTATCAGATGACTTCTCTATATCAGATTATCAATGGTAACAGCAAATAATTCCTGAATTCTATTTGTGTCATCTAAGGTTTGAATATTATTCATAATGGGAAAAGATTAAGACTTCACTGAGGTAGTTATAATGAAAAGACCCTTCAATACATATTTGATGGAATTTGGTTACCTGTGGACAAACCCATGTAAATATGACAGGGAGGCGTTGTTAGCTGTCAAATATTTGAATCTAATATCCAAAAACAGAGTAACTATGGCAGATTTTGATAAACAAAATATTGGTTTCTACGAAGTCTATCAAAGTAAATTGAAAAATGTCAACCATTTTGTCACCTGTCAAACGGCAGCGCTCATATTTTTCAGTATTCAATATTTTGTGATATGACATTTGACATTTTTAACTTGGATGTAAATTCTGAGTTGAAAATTATTTCAAGGTAGTTTTTCGATGATAAAACATTAAACAAAACAAAGTTCATACACGTCATATTTCGACAGCTGTTAGAATCTGTCAATAACTTTGTTTAATGCTTTATATTACCAATAAACGAAAAAGAACCAGATTGGAGTCTTTTTTTCTAGAATTTACATACAAGCTAAAACTGTCAAATGACATACTACAAAATATGGAAAACTGCACAATATGAGTCCAGAGTCAAAATGGTCGACATTTTTCGATTTTTCAAAATGGTTGACATTTTTCGATTTACCTTGGTCGACTACGTAAAAATCGATATTTCGTTCATCAAAATCTGCCATAGTCACTCTGCTTTTGGATATTTGATTCCAATATTTGACAGCTAACATCGCCTCACCTGTCAGAAAGTTACATGGTTGGGGCCATGGTAAAAAATGTTGCTTAAGCTGAGGACACAAGATACAAAATTCAAAAAACCCGAAAATTTGTAAATTTAATTCAGAAAAAATTAAATTGTCTCCTGTATCCTTTATTTTGGGTTACAGTAGTGATGCATGTGTTATTATATTTTTGTCACTTGTACCTTGTATTTTTGTCATTGTATCTTCAGCCTTACGGCATCCCCAAGATAATTAAATTTCATCCAAATATCACGGGGTGATTACGGGTAGATAACCAATTTTCATTTAAATATTGCGGGGTCCTTTGTTGATCAGTTCAAATTTGTACTCGTAGATTAATCACAAATTTTAGGGGTTTCGAGGTTAATTTAACCAAATTAACCCTAAACTGTCGATTTTCTGCATCTTTTAAACCTATTTTTTTCTCCATTTTGCAGGAATAACTACCTACTACGACAAACGACAATAATTATAAACTATATAGGTACTGGAAAATTTGAAATACACAACGCATGAACTCAGAACTAGTGATGACCAGTATTCAGTAACCAGTTAAGAAATCGAGTTGCCAGATTTATCGAAAATATGAACAACTGGAGGCCCGTAAGCGTTGTTTACTCCCGGTATAGGATAGCTACGCTACTAGGTACTTGTACACTTTGTGTTGTTGTAATGCCTTGATGGTGGTGTTCTCGTCTAGTACCTACTATGTTTTCCTTCGTTTGTAGCTTTTCTTTAGTGAATGTAGCCTGTGAGCATTTATCTAATCCAAATTACATCTGTGTGTCTCTGCTGAATTCGTGTACTTTTTCTGGTTTTTGCGTTATTTCGTCTTCGTTTTTAGCTATTAGCTTCAGATATTCAACGTATAGGAGGTGATATTTTTTGCTTCTCGTTTTTACAAGTGTATCCTGTACCTTTTAACAAAACGGCCCTAGAAATCCTGATTGTGTCTTAAAATACGACGGCATGTTTTGCGACCGATAAGAATCTCAAAAGCGTCATCAAGCTGCCAATATGAATAAGCCAGTGAATCTCCTAGATTCATTCAGTTCTGTAATAAAGTTCTGGTGTTTAGTGTTGACGTCTTTCTGCTGACTCTCATTCCGAGACCTTAGGTAATGTTTCAATTTCAAGTATTTTAATTTATTCACCATGATTTTTGTTTTCTGTCTATTATTTATTTTCTCCCCTGTGTAAAGAAGCTTCATAACTCAAATCTCTTTTCCAACATGTATCTTACCCTGAATAACAAGGCCGTTTTGTCATTCCCTTGTCGAGGACGCCCGTGACTTTTACCCACTGAGAATTATAACCTAGTTTTTATTTTCTGTATCTTTTAATCTTTATTTTCTCATGTAACTTATACCATCAAGGAACGCCCTAAACAGGACGCTCATTAATTTCACTCTCTATCATTCCAAAAGCTCTGTATGTATTTTCGTACAGCTCAGGTAGCAAGAACCCGCTCAGGTAGCAAGAACCCGCACTGGAAGAGGCAATCTATTCAGATTACTAAATACTAAAAAGTATCCGTTCAAAGTTACCTAGATTTTCAGTGGAACTTTGAACAAAGTCCCTGGTGGCACGCTACCGCAGTACAAAAAAGGCCTTTACCAGTGCTAAAATAAAGTCTTCCTTACCCAACCGTCGCAATCAGGTGGCGGTGATAACACCTGTGCTGTTAAGAATGGTACTCAGGACGAACAGGGACAAACAAAACAGTAGCGGTGACAGCGAATCTCCCTGGTAAATGCCGATCTTGATGTTGACTTCTTTGATTGTGAGGGTTGTTGATCCGGTTGACAGGTGTAGGTCAATTTTCCAAGTAGTCATGGTTGTTGTGATGAAAGCTAGTATAGTAGCCAGCTGTAAGGTACACTGTCATAAGCTTTTTTGTAGTGAATCGAGGTTAATGAGAGGTTTTTGCGGTATAGAGATATGATAGATATATGAGTAGAGTCTGATATTATCTTTGTTAGGATTTTGTATACATTGTTCAAGCAGGTTATAGGGCGACATGATTTTGCTTTTTCAGTGTTAACCAAGCGGGTATCTTCTGTTCATCTTCTATCATGTCGTTGTAAGAATTTGTCATGTATTGTTTCTAGTTTCCTCTATCAGAAATTTGGTATAAAGAAATTTGGTATAACATCTATTCCTATTGCTTTCCAGTTTGCTGTATCATTGGCTGCTAGCTTGAGTTCGGCTATAGGCTTATGTCAGGCCATTCCATGCGTTTTATTTTAGAGGGTTTTTTGTATTCTTTCTGAATCCAGTGTCTGATGGCTCTTTCCCCATATGTTTCTCCAATACTATTGTATCTCTGTTTCGTTCGGCGACTCTCTGAGTGTGTTTTTCATCAAAAACCACTAAAGCATTACTCTCAAAGTGTTTTTGGACATAACCCACGTAATTCTGGCATACCAATTCAAATGTCGTATCTCTTGATTTGCTCCACATAACCTTATGTAGCCATGATTAATAGCGGCCGCAAAATCGCTTTAAATCTGAGATCTTGTCACAGACACAGTAAATAATCCCTCGAAATTTTTCCGAAATCATATTTTTCACTGGAAAAAATTTGAAATTTTGGGAAAATGAGCCTTTAACCTTTTTCCTCACATGCAAAAAGTTTCAAATTTTTGCCTTTGCTAGTTTTTTAGGAAAACATTGAATTATGTGAGACTGTGTTTTCAATTAATTCAGTTATTGTAAATCGATTTCCAAGATTTTTTATGTTGTTATTTTCTACTGGAAAAATTTGAAATTTTGGAAAAATGAGCTTCTCGCCTTCTTGCAAAAAATTTCAAAATTTTTTCCTCACTAGCTTTCCAGGAAAACTTTGAAATGTCGGAGACTGTATTTTCAATTAATTCATTTATTGGAGGTTGATTCCCAAGATTCTTCATGTTGTCATTTTGCACTAGAAAAATTTGAAATTTTGGGAAAATAAGCCTCTGACCTTTTTCTTTACATGCAAAAAGTTTCAAAATTGTCCCTCAATTAGTTTTTTCTCGAATTTTCCAGGAAAACTTTGAATTGCGTGAGACTGTATTAACAATTATTTCAGCTTTTGTAAGTTGATTTCCAAGATTCCTTATGTTGCTATTTTCCAATGGAAAAACTTGAAATTATGGGAAAATGAGTCTCTAACTTTCCTCTTCACATGCAAAAAGTTTCAAATTTTTCCGTTCACTAGTTTTCCAAGAAAACGTTGAAATGTGTGAGACTGTATTTCCAAATAATTCAGTTATTGAAGGTTAATTTCTAAGATACTCCATGTCGTTATTTTTCACTGGAAAAATTTGAAATTTTGGGAAAATCAACGTTTAACCTTCCCCCTCACATGCAAATTTTTGCCTTTACTAGTTTTCGAGGAAAACTTTGAATTATGTGAGACTGTATTTTCAATTAATTCAGTTATTGTAGGTTGATTTCCAAGATTCTTTATGTTGTTGTATTATGTTGTTAATTTCGAAATTTTGAGAAAATAAGCTTCTAATCTTCCTCTTTATATGCAAAAAGTTTCAACTTTTCCCCCAATTAGTTTTCCAGGAAAACTTTGAAAGTGTGAGACTGTATTTTACAAGAGGCAAAACCATCTTGGAATTTTTTGTTAAAAACTTGGGGAATTTATAGGAAATTTGGAGGATTGTGTTCGATGTTGGTCAAATTCCAAGGAATTCTCGTCGAATTACACCTACATGGAATTCCTTGAAATCTTATTGTGGAATTCCAGTGAAATTATATCGAAACCGAAAAATTCCCTTGGAATTAAACAGAATTTTCGTGGAATTTCCATGGAATCACGAAAATTTTCGGCGGAATTCCGAATACTTGAATTAAATTTTAGTGAAATTCTGAGTAATTTCTGTCGAAATTTCATGAAATCTTCTACTGTAATTCCGAGGAATTTTTGTACAAGAATTCCATTGAATTTTATGGTGGAATTCGGAAAAGTGTTATGAAATCTTATGATAAAATTTCTAGGACTTTCTGTTTTTCTATTCAAATTTGTCATTTGAATGGAATTTCGAGGATTTCCATAAAATCTTTTAGTGAAATTCTGAGGAATTTCTATGGAATTAACAAAAATTTTCGCAGAATTCCCATGGAATATTTATCGTTAAGGCTCCCCTAAATTAGTTGGTAAAAACGCCATAAAAACCGTTTCTAAATTCCCTAAAATGATTCAAAATCCCTAAAATCTTATAAATCTAAAATCTTTTAAAATTACGTGTTTTTTAAAAATCCTTAAAATCCTACAAAATCCATAAAGATTCAATTATGTACACATTTTATGGAGTTAACTAAACTTCAAGCGGTTAATTGATGAAAATTTGTATACAAGTTGGTCAAAATCCCAGAAAAACTCGTAAGATCTACTCAAAATCACTGAAAATCTTTAAAATCTTTTAGCCTCCTCACTTGAAATAGTCACGAGCCGCCACTGCCTGTGCCCATTGAGATCTTTGGATCTAGGAAAGGTGGATGGTCAGTAGATAGGCGAGTTCAGTACGAATGACGTTAAAATCAAAATCAAAAAAGGTTTATTTTCTAAAAATAATTATTAAAATAGGATACAATAAAAAAATAATTCAGAGGCACAGTAGAATGTGAGTTCACGTGAAAGAGACGAGGATAAAAGATGTATATATTCAATGCTTGGTTTAAATTATGTTTGGACGGGAAGAAATTGTTGAAAAGTTGAGATCTTTGAATCACTGTATCTCGGTTACTGTTACGTTAAAGAATACTTTTGACCAGTTAAATTTGAAGGAAATTTAATTTTCTTCAACTTTATAAATAGGTGTATTTCGCTTAAAACGCATGGTTTAGAAGTTATGAGCAAAAAATTGAAAAAGTTCGAAAATTTCTAGGTCTTTCGACTTCCCCCCAAGGTAGCACAGGGTCCTCGAGGTAGAAAATGTAGATTCTAATCCACAGACTATCCACAAATAAAGTATTGAAAACTTCGGAATACTTTCCCTTTATTTATTACTTGCCTGCTGCCTTTCTAGTTCAAATAAATACTCGAAAATCAATTACAAAATGCAAATAAAACCAAATTTGGAAATACCAATTAAATTTTAGCTCTGCGAGAGTCAAACATGAGCTTCCAGAATCGCTCTTAGTCAACTTTGACTCTCGAATGAATATAAATTAAAGTTCTTTAGTAACTTTGGCATTAGGTGCACTGGAAATAGGAGCATTTTTAGCTCAAATTTCAGCTCTAGCAAAACAGAGAATGAAATTTTCGCAGCTCTTAGCTCAATTTCATTACTTGAATGGTAAAGAATCAAACTTTTACCATTTTCTAGTGCAATTTTTAGCCTTTCTGTTACTTTAAAAAGCTGCTGGCATTAAAATTTCCAATGTACTGTTTGTAGCTCAATGAGTTTTTGCTTCAATTCTTCTATACATTTTACTCATTTGCAGTTTGCAAAAAAAACAACAAAAATACATACTATTGCTGCTAACTGATTTTTCTTGTACATAAGCTTCTAATGCATTTTTTTTTCCTTATGCAGACTATAATACTAACATTAATTCTGGTACCGGTAAGAGTGGGCCTGATATGTTTTTTCGTCGTGACAGCATGGATGTTGGCCACAATCGGTTTGTACGGCGTAACCGAACAAGAACTACAAGACAAACCATTAGACGGATGGAGAAAGTAAGTTTTTTTTTTTTTCACTCATCAATCAGTTTATTGGTGGCGGTCTTTTCAATCGTAGATCACTAAAGCCCCTCATTGCCAAACTAATTTTCTGCATTTACACGTTGGGCGGCGTAAGGTTAAAGATAATTGGGCGACCGTCGAGTCGCGCTGAGGCGCCCTTGGTCGCCCTGGCGCCCCATTCTTCGTTCATGGATAGTGTGGCGATGGTGTACTTGGGCGGGCCATCGATTGTCGCCAAGGGCGAGACCGCTTCTCTACCTTTCTTTGGGAGTAGGTTTCTATAATGATATCGAGAAGTTTTAAGCTTGGTCAATTCAATAGTTGGCTTGAAAAGTCTCGAAATCTTGTGTTTGTGTAATGAATGCATGATGTAGTTTTGTCTGTTTTTAGTTGAGTAGTTACGCTGGGATGTTTTTGTAATGTTCCTGGGACGTGAGACGTTTTTGTAGCCTGTTGTTGTTGGAATTTGTCTGGATCTTTATGTTTTCTGTTCAATTTTTTTAGCTATTCCCGGCTCTTGAATTTCTGTTTTTTTCAAATTTCTCTGGATAAAGAGAATTCAAGAGCCTGGAATAGAGGAAATACCTACTCATGTTTGTATATGTCACTCCAGTTTCTCCTTTATTATCATCAAATGTTTCAATTTTTGTCTATTCCCAACTTTTGAATTTTTTTTCCAAATTTCTCTGCATAAAAAAAAGAATTAAACAGCCTAGAATAGAGAAAATACTCATATTTATATATGTCAATTCAGTTTCTCCTTGAATTCCTCTTTCCAGTTCTCAATTATGATCAAATGTTCTCCAGATTCAATTTTTGTTTATTCCCAGTTCTTGAATTTCTATGTTTTTTTCAAATTTCCCTGGATAAAGAGGATTTAACAGCCTAGAATAAAGAAAATATACTTATATTTATACAAGTCAATCCAGTTCCTCCTTGAATTCATCTTTCCATTTCTCAATCATCATCAAATCCAGTCTCAAATTTTGTCCATACCCGGTTCTTGAATTTCTGTTTTTCCCAAATTTCTCTGGATAAAAAAGAATTAAACAGTCTGGAAAAGAAAAAATACTCATATTTTTACATGTTAATCCAGTTTCTCCTTGAATTCCATTTCTCAATTATCATCAAATGTTCACTGGTCACTGATGTGAAGTTATCAGACAATTTTCCAGAAACAGCAGAATGTTCAATGGCGTCGCTTTTTTTTGAAATAGGCATACATTTTACCTTTGTTTTTTGTAACATCAACTTATTAGGTGCTCCCTAAGGATATCACATGAAAATTCTCAATTTTTTCATATTATTATAGTAGATACCTCCTACACAAACATATCTACAGTCATTGAAATTTTTTTGAGGGTAAAACTGTTTCTTAACATTTCTCAAAAAGAAAATCTTATTTTTAGTTCTGGAAAATGTTCAAAATCTTGACATGGTCATGAGTAATTGCCCATATCTTTATTAAATTTCAAGAAAATTGAAATAAAATATATATCATTGGAAAGAGCATTAAATTATCTATAAATCCGTATAAAATTGAGTTTGATAGCTTAAATAGTTTTTGAGCAATTGACTCTCGAAGTTGACTTTTTGTCAAAATTTTGTCAAAAACTTCAAACTGAATTTGCTCAAAAGCGATAAATCTGAGAATATTGTAAATTACAGACTATTTAAAGCCTAATAAAAGCTACAAATGCTGAAAATTTCAAGGTGGGTCCTTTCCAGGAATGTTAATGGAATGTTCGTAGAATGTCACATCAAGACAAAAATATTTCAATATATTTTTGAAATACTTCGTCTATTTTAGGAATGTTTATAAAATGTTCCAAAAATGTTCCAGGAATGTTTCAACATGTTTTTTTTTTTTTTTTAAATTTGCAATTGATATTTTAGAAATGTTTATAAAATGTTCCAGGAATGTTTATAGAATGTTTCAGGAATGTATCAACATATGTTTTTTTTTTGGAAAATTTTTGAAGAATTTTTAAAGAATGTTTATAGAATGTTACGGGAATGTTCGTAGAATGTTTCAGGAATATTCCTAGGAATTTTCTAATATTTAATAAGAATTTCGTCTAATTTTACAAGAATTTTCCAAAATTACACTGAAATTCTTATTATAGAATGTTACAGGAATGTTCATAGAATGTTCCTAAACTGCACACCAGAATTACCTAAAAATTCTTCGGAATTAGTTTCAAAGAAATTTTCGGTATTTTAACTGGAATTTTTTAGAATTCCATGTAATTTCACAAATTACTTTTTAATAGTTTATGAATATTTCAGGTCATTTCACGTAAATTTCTTTCGAATTCCACTGAAATTCTGAGTTATTTCATAAAAATTCCTTGGAATTTTGCTGAAATTTAAAAAATATTTTCACGATTTTTTTTTTGGAATTTCATAATTATTTATACGATTTTTTAAGTAGTTTATTGTGATTTTTTTGGAATTTCACGAGAATTTTGATTTACTTCACAGGAATTTCTTCAAATTTTGCTAGAATTCCAAATAATTTCATAGAAGAAGTTCAAGTAATTCTATTTCAGTAAAATTACTTAAGAAATTTCAGAAGAATTTTTTGGAATTTCGAGTAATTTTACAGGATTTTTTCGGAATTTCAATGAAATTTCAAGTACATTATTTCATGGAAATTTTATGGAATTTCTAGAATTTTTTTCACGAAAATTCCAAGCAACTTTAAAGACATTTTTTGAAATTTCACATTTTTTTCAAATTCCACTAAAGTTCCGATGTACTCCAGAGGAATATTGCTAAAGTATTAAGTAATTCCACAAGAAGTTTCCGGAATTTCACGAGAATTTCATATTATTTCAGAATTTCACTTAAATTTTGAGTTATTCCGCGGGAATTCCATGTAATTTCACGAGAATTCTTGGGAATTCAATAAAAAATTTAAGTAATTTCACAAGCATTTTATGTAATTTACGGAAATTTTGTGATTTTTTCTTTCAATTTTACGACAATTCCAAGTGATACCATAGAAATTCTTCAAAATTCCACTGGAATTACCAATAACTTCAAGGAATTTTTTTTTTGGAATTTTACAAGGATTACATGTAATTCTACAGGATTTTTTTTTTGAAATTTAGCGAAAATTCCGCGTAATTTCACGTAAATATTTCGGAATTTCACTGAACTTCCAAAAAATTCACAAGAACTATTTGAAATTTCACGAGAATTTCATGTAATTTTTACAGGAATTTTCTAAAACTCCAGGAAAATTAATGGAATTTCATCGGAATTCCACTTAATAGGTACCACTGAAATTCCAAATAATTTCACAAAATTTTTGATATTTGAGTAAGTTGTTAGTAGCTTATTACTTATTAGTTATTTCAAATTTCAATAATTATAATTAATTGATTAATAAAAATTTGCCTGAATTTTGAATGAGGCAAAATCCGCGAAAAATTCTTTTTTTTTGAAAATTAAAAAAAAAAATTGTACACCAGAATTCGAAATAATTTCTCTGGAATTCTACTAAAAAACCATGTAATTTCAAGGAAATTTTCTGTAATTGCAAGAAATTTCGCAGGAATTCCTCGTAAATTCATATCAATTTTAAATAATATATTTTTTTTTTGGAATTTCACGAGAATAATTTAAAATTTTAGAGAAATTACTCGGAACTCCAGGAAAATTATTGGAATTTCATCGGTATTTCATAATTTTACCGGAATTCCACATATTTTTGTTTTTTGGAATTTTAATAAATTTTACTGGAATTTTATTTAATTTCACACAATTTTTATGAAATTGCGCATAATTTCCACGTAATTCCGCATAATTTCAGTACAAGTTTGCATAGTTTTTATAGAATATTGCATATTTTCTATAGAATTCCGCAGAAAATCTTTGGACTTTTGCATAGTTTCTATGAAATTTCACATAATTTTTATGGAATTCTATACAACTTAAATCCACATAATTTTTATGGGATTTTGAACTTTTTGAAACTCATCGCTTTTTTTGGAATTCTATATCGTTTTCCATTTAATTTCGCTAGAATTCCGCATAATTTTAATGGGATTTGGCATATTTTCAATGAAATTCTGCATACTTTGTATAAAATTAGGCATCATTTCGATGGTATTCAGCATAATTTTCATGGAATTTCGCATAATTTTCATGGAATTCCGCATAATTTCTATGGGTTTTTATGTAATTTAATTGAAACAACGATTTTTTTTGGAATTCTACGCCATTTTCCTCAGAATTCCATTTAATTTCACTGAATTTTTGCATAATTTTATAATTCCATGTAATTTTTCTAAGATTAATTATTTTTTCTTTGGAATTCCACGTCATTACTCCTTTAATTTCACTTGAATTCCGCATAAATTCTATGGAATTTTGCTAAAATTTAAACTTTTTTTTTTGGAATTTTGTCGTCATTTCTCAGATACTGGGGGTGAAATATTTTTTTTAGTATTTCTCAAAAACAAAGTTTTTGAGAAATGCTGGAAAACCAGATTTCATCCTAAAAATTTTCCAAGGCCATTTTGGCCGATTGCACCGATCATTTTAAGGAAGCCTTAGCGATAAGTATCCCTTAAAATGACATTTTTACGTGGAGAAATGTCACTTTGTGGAATACTTATCGCTAAGGCTTCCTTAAAATGGTCGGTGCAAACTGCCATTATGGAAAAAAGATCGTAGGGGCGTGATACATTTTTTAAAAGGTTCTTTGTGATAAAAATAATGTTTGGTAATAATTTGACCCTGTTAGTACGGATAGTTTTTGAGAAATGTTGAAAAACATATTTCACCCTAAAAATTTCAAAGACAAAAGACCGTAGGGGCGCAGGGGTGTGGTATTTTTTTTTTAAATGTTTTTTGTGATCTAAGTAATGTCTGGTAATAATTTGAACCTGTCAAAACGAGAACGGACAGTTTTTGAGAAATGCTAAGAATCAGTTTCACCCTTAAAAATTTCAAAGATCGTAGATACCTACTAATAATAAGAAAAAAATGAGAATTTTCATGTGATATCCTTAGGGAGCACCTAATTCAATTTTTGTCCATTCCCGACTCTTGAATTTCTATGTTTGTTCCAAATTTCACTGGATAAAGAGAATTCAACAGCCTGGAATAGGGAAAATACTCAATAATCTCAAAGCTTCAATTCAGAATCTCATTTTTACACTTGATAACGATAATTTGTAATCAACAAAATCCTTAATACAATATATCTATAGTAAATTCTATTACTTATAAGTCCCAGGAACCGAAAAAATCGTTCTCATTATTGTAAAATAATCATAGTGCAAGTAGTTTGAGCGGAAATGCAACAAAATTACAAGCGAAAACTCAAATTTTCTTCAATTTAAATTCACCAAGCGTCATTATAGTAGAAAGCCACAAGCCAAAAATAAAGAAAGTGCCTTGGTACTCGAGAGGTCATTGGATGGCAATCGTTTTTAAATATAGACGAGCCATAAAATACTGGGTCCCTATTCTCGATATAAAAGGCACAGTTTTATCTTTGTCGCTTTTATTTAGACCTCTTGATTCTAATCTAAATATTAACCTTATTAATATATGGTAGCTTTTTTTTTTACTTTTATATTTTAAAAAATCTACAGAAAATTAAAAAACATCATCGGATTACTGGGCCAATGCAGCCTGAGGGCTGGCGGTATGCACTTTGCCATAAAAGGTAGACAAGCGACCAGAGAAGAAGCCCCCATCATGGTAATGGCCCCACATTCCACTTTCCTAGACGCTGGATTAGTTTACGTTACTGGATTCCCATCAACGATAGTACGAACTGAAAGCGTCAGCTTTCACATCGGAAGTAAGGTTATCGTTGTGTACTTTTTTACCAGAGGTTTTGGGTTAATATTTAGATTTTTATTGACTAAAAATAAACCACTAACAATTCCTGGAATATTCCAGAACTGATCAACTACACTCAGCCGATTTACGTGTGGCGAGACGATCCGGAATCCAGACAAAAGTCAGTCAAGGAAATAATCAAGCGGACAACTTCGAAGCTGGATTGGCCTCAGATTTTGATTTTTCCAGAAGGAACTTGCACGAACAGGAGTTGTTTGATCAGCTTCAAAAACGGCGCTTTCTATCCTGGAGTTCCTATCCAGCCGGTTTGTATTCGGTACCCGAACAAGCTGGACACTGTAACTTGGACTTGGGAAGGACCCAGTGCGTAAGTTGTTAGAATATCAAGAAATTTCTTATTGAAAATCATCAGTGTTGACCCTACTGAAGCCAGTTTTGTTCAAAATTTCACAGTCAAATGTAACTTTAATAGAAATCGTTTTTCTTTAAACCAACTATAATACCTATAATAGGATTATCAAACAGAGCTCGTCATCGATTCACCTCATTACCCATTTTGCCGGAAATAATTACAACTTTATACGATGTAGAAAATAATGCATTATCCAATACAAAATTTGTAGAATAAAATTGCTTTGGTTAACTCTGACCCAAACGTCGAGCAACTGCGAAGTCGAATTCCTTCCAGTTTACTATCCAAACGAAGAAGAGAAACGAGATCCGAAGTTGTTTGCCAACAACGTTAGAGCTGTTATGGCCAAGTGAGTTTTTATTTGCCCTCGAAAACATCCATTTTGAGCGTAATTTTAGGGCTCTCGGAATACCAGTGGTGGATTATTCGTACAGCGACTGCAAAATGATGACCAAAGCCAAAGAAATGAATTTGCCGTTCGCCACCAAGCTGGTCGAGGTCAGGAAATTGAGAAGGAAATTGGAGTAAGTTGTTTGAAGTTTCCATGAAATTTTTCTAAAGATATTCCAGGAACCAACTTTTTCAGGAATGTTACAAGATTGTGATAAGTTTTCCCTGGAATATTATGAACATCCTAACAATATACAATTCCTCAAACATTTCTGAAATTAGATTTTTATTCTTTCCAGTCGAATTTCAGCTCTATGAGGGTATAAAATCTAGTTCTTATAAATCAGAAATCGGAGTTTGTTACTTATCCAGCTCAATTTCAACTTTAGGAGAGCCAGAAATGAAATTTTCATGTTTCTCTACTTCAACTTTAACTCTAACATGATTCAAAACTAAAGTTCCCTATACTATAGGAGATTCTGGGAAAGAATTTTCCTTCATGTCAGTTGAATTTCAGCTCTATCAAGGACATATATAAGGGGGGGGTTTGGGGCTTCGAACCCCTCCCCATTGAACTGAATAAATTATTTTTATTGATGAAAAATAAACGTTTTTGGGCGAGGCACCCGAAAAAAAAATCGCCTTTGACGATATCCTGATGATCAAATATTTCAAAGGGCCATATTTTGGAAACCAGTGAAGCTATCGGCATAAATCTTTTGCCCAATTGTAGCTCTTGAGAAGGGCTATAAAAAAGGGAATTTGAGATTCCGAGCTCAATGGCTTCGTTTTCAAGAAAATCAGCTTTGAATCTTTTGTGAAATTTGAGACAAAGTTTTGACTTTGAGCCTCAATATCTCCAGCAGTATTTAAGATAGAGAATTGAATCTTATTCTATCTTAAAGATAATTTAATTTTGATTCAGAATTTATAATTTTACATCATATTTGTTGCAATAATAACCAAGTAATGAGCGATTTTGTGAGACAATGTCAGATTATTGAAATTTTCTGGGCCCAAAATGTGGAAAAACGGTTTTTATTTTCTAACAAGCCCTAAAACCCAAAAAACAAAGTTGCGTAAATGCTTTTCCACTAATTTTCACCTCTTCTTTCGATTGGTAAAGTCAAAAATTTCAAAATCCAAAAATTTAAAAATTCGAATTTTTCCAAAGGGGTATGCATGGAAATTTGATTTTCAAATATTTCAAAGGGCCATATTTTCGAAACCAGTGAAGCTATCGGGATGAATCTTTTACCCAATTGTAGCTCTTGAGAAGGGCTATAAAAAAGGGTATTTGAGATTCCGAGCTCAATGGTTTCGTTTTCAAGAAAATCAGCTTTGAATCTTTTGTGAAATTTGAGACAAACTTGTGACTTTGAGCCTCAATATCTCCAGAAGTATTTAAGATAGAGAATTGAATCTTATTCTATCTTAAAGATAATTTAATTTTGATTCAGAATATATAATTTTACATTATATTTGTTGCAATAATAACCGAGTAATGAGCGATTTTTTGAGACAATGTCAGATTATTGAAATTTTCTGGGCCCAAAATGTGGAAAAACGGTTTTTATTTTCTAACAAGCCCTAAAACCCAAAAAACAAAGTTGCGTAAATGCTTTTCCACTAATTTTCACCTCTTCTTTCGATTGGTAGAGTCAAAAATTTCAAAATCCAAAAATTTAAAAATTCGAATTTTTCCAAAGGGGTATGCATGGAAATTTGATTTTCAAATATTTCAAAGGGCCATATTTTGGAAACCAGTGAAGCTATCGGGATGAATCTTTTACCCAATTGTAGCTCTTGAGAAGGGCTATAAAAAAGGGTAATTGAGATTCCGAGCTCAATGGCTTCGTTTTCAAGAAAATCAGCTTTGAATCTTTTGTGAAATTTGAGACAAAGTTTTGACTTTGAGCCTCAATATCTCCAGAATTATTCAATATAGAGAATTGAATCTTATTCTATCTTAAAGATAATTTAATTCTGATTCAAAATATTAATTATACATTATAATTTGTGCAGTTATAACCGAATCCTTATAAACTCTGGACTCTGGATAACCAAATCAAACTTCAAAATTGCTGAATTCATTTAGTAAACCAAAATGTGTTTTTCAATTTTTGATGTGTGAACGTCTATACCGGCGGTTTGATGGTAAATTTCGGGAAATGTGATGGAAGTGTGAAAGGGGAGGTGACGTCATAATCCATGTGCAATGCTAAGTTCGCAGCTACCTCAGCGCAAAATACAAATAAATAAAATTAAAGTTGAAATTAATAATAAAATTAAATCATTAAATATCAAGTTTTGAATACTTGGGTATTGAATACTTTTAATTGTACTCTGTACTCGAGAACATTCTACGCTAAGTACTTGTACCCGGTAGCCGAGTACATTTTGCCTGTACTCGAAACAGCTCTGACTATGCTACGCTCGGTCGCCTGTACATCGTCTGGTCTAAAGTTGAAACCCTTTCCAGCATAGACCATGAGCGGCCATTACTGCTCTAAACCCCCCCCCCCCCCCCCATGTGAAAGCTATAGCTACGTCGTTGAGCTCTATGATGTAGCAAGGTCAGATTCTCATACCGCTCTATTTCACCTTTAAATTTGGAAAGCACAGAAATTGAAGTTTGATATTTATCCAGTTCTATTTCAATTCTAGGAGAGCCAAGAAAGAAAATTTCATGCTTCTCCACTTTAAATACAGTTCCTCAAAAGCCAATAAAAATCAGCTCTTGAGACTACCCTAACTCAATTTTAACTCTATGATGTTCCGAAATTGGAGTTCACTACTCTAGGAGTGCCTGGAATAGGATTTTCATTCTTCTCAGTTGAATTTTTGCTCCATAAGGTTTTCCACACCACTTTTTTTCGACTGCAACTTTAAAACAACCAAAAATTAATGCCTCTCAAGTTCAATTTTCAACTCTTCGAGCCTGGAATAGAATTATTATTCTTCCAACTTTTTCATTATCAACCACTAACTCTTTCAAACTTCATGAAATAACTTTTGCAAACATTTCCAGGTTAAAAGGTACAGAAAGAGAAGAAGCCCTGCTTAAATCAAACAGTTTCACTTGCAGAGACTGTAGCAAAGTAACATTTATCGAATTTGTCGAAATAATGAGGCTACAAACGAACGAGCAAGCCGCTTTACAACTTTTCAGAATCTACGACAGAGTAAGATATGCTACAATAACAAAATTAAAATCCAATAATAATTATTTGTAGAACAATACAGGATTGATCGATCTTCGAGACTATTTGCTCGGTGTTTTGGCCACCGAAGACGACAAAACCACCGAGGAAATTTTGCTTTTGGCTTTTATGATTTACGACGCCAAACGAAATGGGAAATTGACTGCTGACAATTTTTGCAGGGCCATTTGCCAGACTTTGGGAATGGGGCAAGAGCAGGCGTTACAAATGTTCGATCAAGTTGATAGGAAACAGTTGGGATTTGTTAGAATTGGTAAGAATTTTGTGTCCAGTTTTCGTAATTCTTAAATGAATTTTGTAGACGACTTTTTGTTGTGGGCTTCGAAAAACGTCCCGCAGCTGATTTATCACGGTACTGGGGAAAAACCCAACTGGAAAAATTTGGAAATTTACAAGAACCACGACAAGAAAATTGACTGATCCGCGTGCATTGTCCATATGTAAATTTGGACCTTAAACCACTTCCACAAATGATTTTTGTGAACCAATTTTAAATTTTTTTTGTACTTAAACTTGTGGACATAATTTATATTATATACCTACCTATACACGATTCTTCCTATATAGTTGCAATCTAGAAACAAAATGTTGCAACTAATAATTATTCTCAAACTGTATATATTATATAGGCACCATTATTGATGTTCTAATAAAACTATTCATATCAAAATAATAATGTACTTATGAAGTACAAAATAGAAGCTCTAAAATCATTATAAACATGCAAGCAAAACCGTGCCAAATTGCTAGTTCAATTAGGTCTATTTATCAAAATTATTATATTGGATTATAAGTATAAATAAGATTGTATAAATTATAAAAAAAGCTTTATTATTTATTTTTGTTAAGTATAGTTACTGTCTGTTATTTATTGTAAAATAGGCTTTAGGCTGCACCCATTTTCATTAAGTTATTTGAGTAATATAGTTTTATATAGAGTATGGAATAGTTTTTATTCTCAAAATAGAGGGTTTTTGACTCTACAATGGTGGTTTAACAGTTCAATTTCAAATCTAAGAAAGCCAGGAATAAAATTTTCATGTTTCTCTATTCCAAATTCAGGCCAGTAATGAGCATTTTATACTTCCAGAGCTCAATTTTAACTCAAGAATGGACGAAAACTGAAGTTAGAGCCTGGAATAGAATTTTCATATACTGTAAAATCGGGTGACTTGAGAGAATTTTCACTTTCAGCAAGCGATATTTTCGAAACTTAGCGATGACTTAAACACATCAAAAGTTGAGTCTTAAGACTCTTAAGGCTGCAACAACGATTAGAATGCTGTGCTCTGATTGGTTGATTTTTCGAAACTTGTTTTAAGTTATTTTAAAAAACGACAGATCAAAATTGGCTCAAATTTAACATAAACATTCTATAGTTATTTGAGTAATATAGTTTTATATTGAGTATGGAATAGTTTTTATTCTCAAAATAGAGGGTTTTTGACTCTAAAATGGTGGTTTAACAGTTCAATTTCAAATCTAAGAGAGCCAGGAATAAAATTTTCATGTTTCTCTATCCCAAATTCAGGCCAGTAATGAGCATTTTATACTTCCAGAGCTCAATTTTAACTCAAGAATGGACGAAAACTGAAGTTAGAGCCTGGAATAGAATTTTCATATACCGTGAAATCGGGTGGCTTGAGACAATTTTCACTTTCAGCAAGCGATATTTTCGAAACTTAGCGATGACTTAAACACATCAAAAGTTGAGTCTTAAGACTCTTAAGGCCGCAACAACGATGAGAATGCTGTGCTCTGATTGGTTGATTTTTCGAAACTTGTTTTAAGTTATTTTAAAAAGGACACATCAAAATTGGCTCAAATTTAACATAAACATTCTTTAGTTATTTGAGTAATATAGTTTTATATTGAGTATGGAATAGTTTTTATTCTCAAAGGGTTTTTGACTCTACAATGGTGGTTTAACAGTTCAATTTCAAATCTAAGAGAGCCAGGAATAAAATTTTCATGTTTCTCTATCCCAAATTCAGGCCAGTAATGAGCATTTTATACTTCCAGAGCTCAATTTTAACTCAAGAATGGACGAAAACTGAAGTTAGAGCCTGGAATAGAATTTTCATATATTGTACAATCGGGTGACTTGAGACAATTTTCACTTTTAGCAAGCGATTTTTTCGAAACTTAGCGATGACTTCAACACATCAAGAGTTGAGTCTTAAGACTCTTAAGGCTGCAACAACGATGTGAATGCTGTGCTCTGATTGGTTGATTTTTCGAAACTTGTTTTAAGTTATTTTAAAAAACGACACATCAAAATTGGCTCAAATTTAACATAAACATTCTTTGATCGATTTTCTACAATTCACTTATTTTGGTTTTTCGATATTTTGCCTTTTTTTTGCCGATAAGCACTCCTAGTGTGTATTCTCCTTGGGTATCGGCTACATTTCGATTGGATTGCCCTATTACATCAAGGATATTACACAGTACTAAAAACTGCTTATTGGCCTCGTTATTGGTAATCGCCGCTTTGATTGGAGCGTCACCATTTCTAACGTCATAACTAAGTCGTCAGCTGTTTGCACTAGCGGTCGTAGTTTAGAATTTGAAGGACAACGCACACCGGTCCCAGCCTTAGCCTATATGTTGATACGGCTGAGTTCGGTTTTGCACTCCACGGAGCGGAACGGTATGAGCATGAATATCGTGACGTCATAAACGGTCATAAGACCAACGCAAAAGAGAACATGCTGGGCCTAAAACGAATAGAATCTTTTCGTTTCAAGTGCGCTCAGAGTTTACAGAGTGAGAAGCCGAACTCAGCTATTGATTTGAGTGACGTAAAATATGTGAACCTATCAAATTTTGACTGATAAACAGTATAAACACCATTAGCACCAGTAGGTATTTCGTATACTCTCCACACAAAAAGTCCATCTTTCAATGTTCATATTTCAAAGACCGTAATACGTGCAAAATTTGGTTCCATTTGAAAGTTGTCAAGAATTAAATGCTGTACAGGGTGTTTCAAATTTGAGCAACATCATTGGGTGATATTCTTTTGAAATATCACTTCAAATAAAGTCAGGAAAAAATAAAAACCATTTTGCAAAATTTGGATTTTTTCCGGATATCTCCGGAAGTATTCGGCATATCCTACATATCAAAGCGCTATTTTGTTGAGCATCAAATTACGGAACTTTGCCCCAATTTAACCAATCCTGTATCTCTCATCGTTTCCGAGATCCCAATGATGTGGCTCAAATTTGAAACACCCTGTACAGCATATCAAAAAATGGACAAAATCCATAGAATCCCATGTTAGGTGTGCGTTAATATCCTTAATGAAGAAAATTATTATTATTTAATTTGTATAAAGTAAAAGCCCGCAGAACTTCTGCGGAATCATAACCTGTAGTGCAAACAGCTTACGCCAAAGCGAGAATCGACATGCTGCCTACGTCACAACTGGTTATTTGACATTTGTTCCACACAGGCCTGAGAGGTATTTTCGGGTTCGAAAAAATGACGGTTCTGGCACGGTTCAAAACAATCGCACAGTTCATCAATCAACAAAATGACAACGGCACAGCTATCGCAAATTTCGATAATAAACTGTACGATTGTGTGAATGTTTTGAACTACAGTGGCTAAATAAACCTTTACATACAGTGGCGACAATAGAGTTCCCGCCGCCATCTTGTTCCCAACCTCTTGTTACTTTCAAATATTAATATATAAGATTTAAATAGACATCTATCATAAAAAATTAAAATCGGCATATTTGATGACCATTATTAGGTTCATCAAATACGTTGTTTTCCATGTTTTATGATGGATGTTCACCTAAATCCTATATATTCATATTTAAAAATAACAAGAGGTTGGGAACAAGATGGCGGCATTTTCAATATAAACATATGGGACTTTTGAACCAATCAAAAATGAGACCGCAATTGTCGCCACTGTGGTAATAAAGTCACTGTATTTTGAACCAAAGTTTGAACCGTTTTGGAACCGTCCTTTTTCCGAACCCGAAATTAGGCAATCTAGACAAGCCAAACACGTGAGATTCAAGATGGCGTGGCAACCACACATGAACCAAAAAACACAAAGAAAATATCTAGTTTCTGCCTGAATTACTAGTTTACGTACTTAGAGCCAAATTACAGTATATCTGCATCGGCAAATTTGCAGTTCTGCAAATATGGCCGACTTGCAAATGTGCTCTATTTGCAGAAACAAGCAAATTACGGAAAAAAATCTGCAATTTCGTCATATTTATCGGAAAAAGTTTTTGGGCGCTACTGATTTACCATATTCAAATGCCAAACTTGTCAAAGTGATTGCAAGGACTTGCGGGACCGTTTCACCATGCGCTAATTTGCAGGCGACTTGCAAATGTGTTCTGCTTCACGAAAAGTCAGACTTGCAGGTCCTGCATTTGTATCTTGGTGTTGCAGAGCTTCTGTAATTCCGGGCTTAGTAAACAAATAATTTATTAAATAATCAAAATCAAAGCTGCAAGCAAAATAATTAAAATATGTATGAAAACACAGATTCAAAACAAACTTGCTGGCCGCCACGCCATATTGAATTTTACGTTTTGACAGATGGCAACATAACCTCAAAAAAAAAAGGAAAACCTAAACCAAATAAACAACAAACAACGTTCTTTGCTTGACTGCAATAATTTCCATTTTCCAAGGAAATTCACTTATTTTTTTTTCATGGTAAGTAGTATACACCTTATCAACTAAGTACTACCTAATAATCAATTTAATTTATGTTATATAGGGAAAACACAGTAAGAAATCCAAAAAGCACCACAAACACAAAAAATCTTCCTACAAAGATGATTCTACAAAACGCAAAAGTAGAAAACGTAGCAGTAGTGACGAAATTGAATCGAAGAAAAAAAGGTACAGTAGCTCTAGTGACTCAAGCAATGAAGATATTAAAGAAACAACTCAAAAGCGAGATGATTGGATGAATTTATCCACAACGTTTGCCTCGTTTTCAAAAGAGGACCGCAAAAAAGTCAACGAAAAACAGGCAAAAGAAGCTGCACAATATAATCCAAGTCAATGTGCAAGAGAATTGAATCCTTATTGGAAAAACGGAGGAGACGGTTTGCCTAAATTTCAAAAACCCTCACAAAACGACTCGGATTCAGACCACCACAACAAATCCTTTGATAGAAAACATAAAAAATCCCAATCAAATTGGAGAAAGACTAAAGAACCAAGTCCCAAACCATGCACCAGCTTTGAAATTGAAAAAATCCCTGAATCTGATAAACCAATGACAGAAAAAGACTTGAATCTTCTTGCAGGCAAATTAGTAAAAGCTGAAATAATGGGCAACAATAAATTAATAGAAGAACTTAAAATAAAACTGGAAAAAGGCAGAGCACTATTGGCAGAAGCTAAATTACAAGGTGAAGAAGTTTTACTCACTCAAACTGACAGGCAAGGCAATTCTAAGCCCCTGACCCTTCAGCATGAAGAAAGCTCAGGCAGCAAAAAACGCAAAAAACCTGTAGAAACTCACAACAACCAACAAAGAGTCAGGTATTTCCCTGATGATGATAAGTACTCACTGAAACAAATGTTTGAGGATGAAAAATTCAATTCAGTGGAAGCCCAACAAAGCGAGTTTGTAAAAATTGCTTCAAAGATCCGCAAGAATGATGATTTAGATGATTTGTTCGCTGACAATGTTAGACGCCAAAAATCAGATTCAGATATAGACAAAAAAAGCAAAGAGAAAGCCATTAATGAACACAATAAAATATCATCGAGCCTTGATAATTGTTCTAAATGCATACAATCAACTGCAACTTTGAAAAATTTGATTATTTCAATGGGGGAGTTTGTGTATTTGAGCTTGCCCTCTTGTGAGCCTTTAATGGAAGGCCATTGCCTAATAATCCCCATAAGACATGCCAACTCAGTAACTCAACTTGATGAAAATGAATGGGAAGAAATAAAGGATTTTAGAAGGGCCTTATGTAAATTGTTTGCCTCTAAAGACCTAATACCAATATTTTTTGAAATAGCTGTTGGATTTCATAAATACCCACACACTGTTTTAGAATGTGTCCCTGTACCAAAGGAAGAAGGTGATTTGGCACCAATTTATTTCAAAAAGGCTATAGACGAGTCAGAATATGAGTGGTCAGAAAACAAAAAACTAGTCAGTCTTAAAGGAAGAAATATCCGTAAAGCAATCCCTAAAGAATTGCCATATTTTAGCGTCAGCTTTGGTCTTGAAGAAGGTTTCGCGCATGTAATAGAAACAGAAAATTTATTTCCCAGGAATTTTGCTCAAGAAATTATTGGAGGGATGTTGGATTTGCACCACAATAAATGGAGAAGGCCTTCGAGGCAATCATTTGACTTACAAAGTAAAAGGGTTTTGGAGTTTACAAAGGAATGGGAGAAATTTGATTGTACCATTACTAGAAATTAAATCTTCTATTGTCTTAAATAAATTTGTACAGTTAATAATTATATTTCATCCTCATTCAAAAGCATATTGGGTATTCCATTGTTGATGGGAAATTTCCTGCCACTTTCTGGACACACCAATTCGCCATGTACAACTTCTACTTCTAGCAAAGCTTTGTGGGCGATTTTTAGGAAATCTTCATTGGTTTCATAGTCTTCAGGTGGAGCCTCTTTCGGTAGATTCTCAGAATGGCCTATGCTTTCTGCTGCACTATAGAGCACTGGCCAGTCTATTTTTGGAATGATTTTTGATATAAAATCCGGGTTGAAGTCTACACTGGATATTCGAATGTCCGAAGCCTAATGAATTAATTTTTGTAGTTGTTTGTTTTAGTATTGGTTTACTTACTTTAATATTTAAGGGGTAACCAACAAGCACTCCTTTTTTACATTTTGTAGTGAGCATGTTGTGAGTGAAGAGTTTCATGTTACGTATGATCTGAAGTAAAGTAAAAAGAAGGGTCAATTTGCGCTTGCCAAGGGGTGTTTGTTGGTTCGCAAAATTTCAAAATTTTGTGTATTTTTTAACCTCAACATTACTTACATTGATAACTAGAGGATATCCTACGTTGACACCGCGTATACATTTCGAAGTAAGCATGTTATGAGTTAATAGCTTCATTTTATACAGTTTTAAATGCAATTTGTTGTTTCAATTAATTATATTTTCAAAAATCTTAGAACATGTGTAAATAAATATTGAATTTTAAGAGCGGATCTACAACAGGGGATCTGCCAAGTGGCGCCATCTTGCTTTGGAAAGTGTACCGTTTACAAACTTGTTCTAGGTTTTAGAGGGGGAAATACAGAAAGCTGGGTTCGGCTATTCAGCGCGGAGTTGGAGTGGAGTGAACAGAGCTAATGGAGTCACCCCTAATACGGTAAAAAAGCAATACCCGAAGGGCTGGAGTGCGAATGGAGCCACTCGGAGCAAGCCGAACCCACCTAGAGTAAAATGAAATGGTTTCTGTTCTACTCTACTCCGATTCCAATCAAAAACATTCTAATAAATACATTGTTGATTTTAATTTATTTTTAAACATATTGGATCATTAATACTGTGTTATTGATATTGCATTTAATTGAATTTGACAGTTTTGTCATCTAGCGTTGGAGAATGTAATGTACCGTTCACAAGATTTTTGCTGAAGGGGAATCCCATAGTTGTTCTATTCTGATTCTGTTTTGTTTGCATTCAATAGGCACACTCGTTTAAAATCGACGCATTCCTGGAACGCCTGCACGATTCTGGCACAGCACATCGGTTCCTCATTGTGCATCCTGTAGCAATCCAGAACGGCTCTTTCGTAGTCCAGGCACGGTACTTCCTTCATACGGCTATCCCCAGCGGTCCGAGACGATTTCACTTCGTTCAGAGCCTTATTGAATTCCCGATCGATTACTACGTTAATTTCCCTGTGACTTTCTTCCATGTGTTTGGTACGATTGTGCCAGTATTCGCTGTCGGTACCGCTGATTTCGTCCATGTGAGTGCAACTGGTACGGAGACGGTTCGCCACGTTTTCTGATACTTTGATGACGCTCGCCGGGACTTCGTCGTTTTCTACGGTGAATTTACGGGTTTGGCTTGAACTGGAACCCATTATTTTTGGATGGTTTTATTTTATGAATAATTATAATGTCATAGTGGCATTTAAAAATCACAGAACTTTCAAAATTTTCAGGTAATTGGGAAGGTTTCTCAGGGTGATAACGTGTTGAGTTCAATGGTTCAGTTGCAATAGTTGTAATAGGGTACTTGCATGGAAAATTAAATTGATTATTGTTTATTGCAAACTGTGGGAAATCGAAAAAAAAATAGTTACTTTTTTTTAATTCCACCCAAATATGATTATTCCGGAAGTTATACAAATATTAAGTTTTTTATATATAGATATACTGAGCATGTGCGACGTCACAACTCACAACGTATTATAGGGTGACCATATTTTTTTTTCATGAATGCTGTACTAAAAAAAAAAACAGTGCGACGCCCAATAATGGTTTTTTGGGCAAATTTTGTCGACTTAGCTCTGTTCCAACCAACATGAGAACTATTCTAGAACGGTAATTTCCAGTCGATCAATTCATTTGTCAAGTAGGATAAACGTTCAAAAAAACGTGAAAAATAGGTAAGCAACCTGGGCAACTGAAAATTACTGTTTCTGGAACGGTTCTCAATAGTTCTCATGTCGGTTGAACCAGGGTTTTCAGATTTATGAAATGAAAAAGCGGGACTGTTCTTAACCAGACGGAAAGCTCGCCGCAGGCGAAACATTTTTTTCGGGTGTCACGCTCAAATGCATAAGGGGGGGGGAGGGGCTGTAGTGCTCAATGTGTCCCGCCTCTATGGACCCCCTTGAGCAAAAGCGCAATAAATTTTTTGGAGCCACGCTCAAATTTTGTTAAGAATTCAACCAAAACTCGACCAAAAAAAAATCTCCTTTATTAATTATTAGATAACAAAATAAACGCTTCACGAATCACGACAAAACAACAGTAAACATCATTATTTATACGCTATCCTTGCCTTTGTTATTTTGCTCAAAGAGCAGAGAGTGCAGAGCGGAGCCGTAATCACGTGACCGGTGAGCGCACAGAGCAGTTAAACACTGTATCAGAGGTCTCGAAATTTTAATAAACGAACGTGAATGAGCCTGCACCGAGTACACTTTTTTAATCCTAATCATTCACTTTCGTCACTAGATATTTTATCACTAGTGAAGAAAGTAAAGTTTTCGGCTAAGGTGAAATATGACGAAGTTGTTTATTTTCTAACGCTCATAGAAAAAATGATTTTTGACGAAAGTTGTCTATTTTTCAGTGGCCAGAAAAAAGGTTTTTTGCAGATGCTAGTTTGTGCAATGAGATTTGGATTTTGTTGGAATTTTTGACATTTTTATACCTATACAACATACAACATTTATTATTAAAACCCAAGAATCGTGAACTACAGGATTGCTCATCCTGAGAAGGCGTACGTTCGATGGTTCTCGAGTCCACAAGGTCTGCGAGTGACGTCACCACGTCTGCTGCTAATATTGGTGACGTCATCCGCAGACCTTGATGAAATTTTTGCGATTCAGGCTCGTTATTTGATTATTGCGTCGATTTTAAATGTAGAAATAGCTATTTATGTAACAAGTTATAAATTGAGCGTGTTTTTTGCACTAAATGTGAAGATTGGGTGGAAAAAGCGGGAAAACCGGGACAATTCACGTGAAAAGCGGGACCTTGAAATTAATTAAAAAAAGGCGGGACCGATTAACAAAATGTGGGGCTGTCCCTCCTTAAGCCTAGTACTCATAACTGCGAAATTCGCATTTTTTTGACATTGCGTTGACAATTTGACGTTTGATACACGCATAAAACATCAAATTCTCAACGCAATGTCAAAAAAATGCGAATTTTGCAGTTATGAGTACTAGGCTTAAAACCTAGTACTCATAACTGCGAAATTCGCATTTTTTTGACGTTGCTTCGACAATTTGACGTTTGATACACGCATAAAACGTCAAATTGTCAACGCAATGTCAAAAAAATGCAAATATCGCAGTTATGAGAGTACTAGGCTTAAGGTGGGACGTCTGGCAACCTTGGTTGGAACAGAGCTTTTATAGCTCGTTTTAGTACCATTTTTTGAAAAAAAATTTGGATGATAATAGAAAATACACAATGACCTGAAACACATAACTCCCAACCAAAAATAAAAATTCTCATTTACTCAACATGAGACAAACAAAGTAAGAAAATGCATTTGCAGAAAAAAATAAAAATAATTAGAGATGTGGCGTTAGTTATTGACGGACAATTTTTCGTACAATTTTTGAGAAAAACCTATATAATCCGAATCGCTGTACGTCTGCTGTATGTACAAAATCAAATGCTGGACAGACTCTCAAAATGCTGTACAATACAGCGAAATGCTGTACGTATGGTCACCCTAACGTATTATACCTAAGTTATGACGTCGGAAGGACATTTCAAAGTGTTGTATCTCCGTCAATTTTTGACTAACAAGAAAAAGAAAAAACACGTGTTGACTTATTTTTCATGGACTATCGAAATCAGCGATAAAAAAATTTGATGCAAGGGGCCTATTCTTCCCACACCTAGGAGAAGCTCCAGAACAGCTCCGGGGCGAGTAGCTCTAGTGTTTTAAACTCTTGAAAGGTACCCTTGGGTGAGGGGTGACTTGCTAGTTGCTAATAATTGTATTCATTTCACACCTAGGAGGAGCTCCGAAACAGCTCCGGGGCTTCACGCACTTATTCCTTTCGAAAAGTGTTTGTTGCACCTAAAGTGCCCAAGCGAAATCGACGTATTTGATGACTATTATTAGGTCCATCAAATACGCTGTTTTCCATGTTTTATGATGGATGTTCACCCAAATCCCATATATTCATATTTGAAATAAGCAATAGGTGGCAACAAGATGGACGCGTTTCCAATATAAATATATGGGATTTTAGAACCAATCAAAAATAAGACAGCAATTGTCGCCACTGTAGGTAATAGAGTCACTGTACATTTAACTACACGAAAACCAGCGCATCTGTTCCTTTCAAATTGGGGTCGACTAACACCGGAGCGAGTAACTCTAGTGTTTTAAACTCTTGAAAGGAATACAACTAAAATCTGTTTTTTTTTAAAGATAAAAGTCAAAATGACATTATGTTGGCAATACGATGTAAAATTGTCAATGTTTTCAAATTTTGCATGTAGAAAAGACTTGTGTTGCCAACCTAGTTACTAAATTTTTGACTTGGGGAATTATCTTTAAAAAAAAAACAGACTTTAATAGTTGTATTCCTTCCACACTTAAGAGGAACTCCGGACCAGCTCCGGGGCGTTACGAACTTATTCCTTTCGAAAAGTGTTTGTTGCACAGTGCTCAAGCCCGAATTAGGGATGTGCGATGTTCATCTATTATTGAAAAACATCGATGTTTAATACCCGATGTTTCGATGTTTTGACATTTGACAAATGAAAACGATTAAAAAATGTCCTAACTTTAATTTTTCAAGGGTATTTGGGTATTTCCCGTAAACTCCGAGCGCGCTCCCAAACGATTAGAGCCGGGCCGCCCGGGCCGGTCGTTGGATTTTGTGTTCGGCTGCGTATGACGTCACGATATCCATGCTCATACGGTTCCGCTCCGTGGAATGCAAAGCCGAACTCAGCCTTTATGTTCTAAATCACTATTCTATTAAATTCAGATTCTGTTTTGAGTGTTTTGTTTGCATTTAATAGGCACACTCGTTTAAAATTGACGCATTTCTGGAACGCCTGCACGATTCTAACACAGTAAAACCAACCCGGAGGCCGGAGGCCGGAGGTGACTCGGTTTGAGAAACCGACCCGTTTCCCCGTGACTTTCTTCCATATGTTTTGTACGTATGTACTGCCAGTAATTTTTGAAGTGAAAATTTCTTATGGCGTTTCCGATTGGTAGTTTCAGTGCGCACTGAGTGTATTTGCATCCTTTTAATCGACCTGAAGAAGAAAAAGACAGAAATAAAAAAAGTTGCACTAGTTTCGCACTAGATCTACCAATCGGAAACGCCATTAGAATCGTTGGGAGTGATTTGAAACTCGATGAAACGAAAAAGCGACATTTTTTTTGCGTTCTTTCTCAAATCTTTTGGAGGGGGGACGCCACTGTGTATGTTAGTATCTGTGTAATGCATGCAGTTCGAAGAAGGTTTCACTTCTACTGGGTGCGAACTGCACACTTTTTTTTGAAGTGAATACTTCTTTGGCCGCCTGAGAGTGATTTTTCAAGGTCGCGTCACGACACGATTTATAAAACTTTCGTCTCGCAAGTGAGATGAAGCATATGATGAATATGAGGGGGAGAGAGAGAGAGAGAGAGAAAGAGATGGTGAATAAAAGAGAGTATTGTTCTTAACGCATTAATGTAATATGTACAATACATCTCTCACTCTCTCTCTCACTCACTCACTCACCCTCAACGAAGCGATAAATAAGTTTTCACTTCTATCATTTATGAATAATTATAATGTCATAGCCTTAACCCACTGACCATGCAATGTTACGAAAGCCTAATGCAATATTACTCTGATCTTAGTTTCGCAACATTCCAATGTAATATTGAATTATTTTTGACACAATATTCAGTGGCGGCTCGTGCCTCTGAAAAGAGGTGAAGCAGACCGAGAAGCACCACAGACGTTTTTTTTTTTTTTTTTGGCGCATCCGCCATTTTATGAAAGGCTGAAATTCAAATTTAAAATAAAATAATCAAACGGGTATACCAAGTAATGTTACTCACCAGATTTGTTTTATTTCTTGAATACAAGGTCAATTCTTCTATTTTTCAAACTTGCAAACTTGTTAATAATATCATCATAGAACGGTTGCGTGTTTATTAACTCGTTCAAAAATTCCTTCTCGATCGAAATTCTTGCTAAATTTGTAAGTCTTTCTTCCGTCATTCTATTACGAAGATAAGTTTTCACTCTTTTCAAACAAGAAAAACTTCGTTCAACGGAAACGCTCGTCGATGGGATAGTTACTATTAAACAAAATAGTTTATAGGCTTCTTTAAAAGTATCCCTGTGCTCAAATAACTCAGCCATAAACATCTGCTGTTCCATTCCTCTGTATTTTTCGTCACCAAAAATAAATTGTAATTCATTTTTTAATCTCTGGAGGTCAGTAAATATATTAGGGTAGCATTCTTTTAAATTATTCAATGCTTCTTTAGGAAAGTTTTCGAAATACATTGAAAATTTTGCAGTATCAATTAATGTCACGAATCGAATTTTCTCTAGGTCCTGAAAACGGGTGTCAATTTGTACTGAAATAGTGTCTAAGATTTCATAAAACAGAACTTTATATTTTTGAAATACTTGATCTTGGGTTAGTGTCACTCTTGTACGGCCGTCGCGTTGATCAGTTGGAACTGTTATTTTTAAAGAAGTTGCATCAAAAATACTTCTGAAAACATTATCATTTCTTTTACTGTTTAAAAGTCTTTGCGTAGTTTTAATTTGTGATATACAGTAATTGATATCCAAGGACTTTTTTTGTAGCACATCAAAAAGAATATCTGTGAGAGCAAAAATTTCACCATTAATAGCCGCTAGAAGAGCAAACTCGAAGTTATTGAAAAGATTCAAAAAGCCCTGGCTCTGCCTAGTTGAAGTTTGATCCGAGGTGGGATCATTCAAAATCTCATTGAATACTTGTTTTAAAGAGTCCCATTCGTTATTTATAACACTTAAAATTTTAGAGTTGGATGTCCATCGAGTAGTAACAGCTGTGGGTATTCGTTTTTTAATTAGGGTATCAGCTATGTACGTTCGCTTTGCAGAGTGATGAAAAAATGTCGGCAAGCCGCTAACATTGGCGAAAAATATACGGCATTTTGAAATATCCTTACAACTTTGTTGAAGAACTAAATTCAAACGATGTGCCAAACAATGAACGAAAACCGCTTGTGGCGCTACTTGTTTGATTTTGGATTGAAGGCCATTTAATTGTCCCGACATCACACTAGCTCCATCAAAACATTGTCCTATAAGTTTGGTTTTGAAATCATATTTTTCGAGACAACCTATTACGACGTCGTATAATGAATCAGCAGTCCGGTTAGCACTAACATCGTAAAATCCCATGAACCGTTCCAACAACTTTCCTTCAGCGTTCACATATCTAAATATTATGCTGCATTGAGATTTCTGGACAATATCTGTAGTATCATCTACTTGGATAGAAAAGAAAGTGCATTCTTTTATTTCTTTTTCGACATATTCATCAATATACAGGGAAATACAGTCGATTAATTCATTCTGAATCGTCTTTGAATTTGCCGCAAACACGGAAGAAATTTTTTTATAGTGCTGTTGAATATCTACCGGACTTGTTAATACAAAAGCATCCAAGAGTTCTTTGAAGTTGCCTCGATTAATAGAAGACTCATCTTCGATATGACCCCGAAACGCCAATTCTTGCTTGCTCAAATATAGAGTAGTGCGAATAGGCAAGTGCATGAAACGCCTGTTCAATTGCACATTTTCATTGAATTGTTTTATATACAGCCTGGAGTTTTCCTGTAATGCATCTTTTATTGTGTTTAAATTTTTTTTCAAATCTGTGAAACCTATGGCACAACGTATATGTTCTGATGAAGATTCGTGTTTATGAAGTCCCCGAGTTACATTACCTAAACTCGAAAAAAAAAATAAGCAAATTTATCTTCAAAAATTCAAAACATCAGATTACCAAAGTCGTTAAATCCTTCCTTGTTCCAGACACCCGATTTTACACATATAATTAAACAAGGTAAACAAAAAAGTTTGTTCAAATAATAACTACCACACAACCACTTATATTCCGTGTACCATTCGATGCGAAATTTCCGGGTAAACGCTCTGTTTTTGGATTTCGAAATTTTGGTTATGTTTAGTACAGGCAAAGGTCTATTTGAACTTAAAAAATCCTTTTTATCTTCATTCGTCCACCGCGAAAATTGTTTTTCCAACAAAACACACACCGGATCATATTCTGGAAACATGACGAGACGAATCGGCAAATAATAAAAGAAAAATAACAAATTCAACTCTGTAAAATCAAAATTATAGGAACGCCAGGAGCAAAAAACTGCGAGACTGCAGCGAGACGCGCACAAAATCGCAGCCTCAAATAATAATATATTCAGCTAATCGGCGTCGGCGTACGAGCCGTTTCACGCCGTTTCCATGGCAACCGACGGGTGGTAGGAAGCGGTCCCGCCGATTCTTGAATTGCGCGTCAAGTGCCTTGGAAAAACGTAATCTGAATGCTCAGTGTTAATTTTTCCAAAGTTTAATTCTTTTTCACGGTTTGTGGCGTTCAGCGACTAGGACCAGGACCGAAATTAAAATTATTTAAAGAATTTGAATTTCAATATTTTATCTTATTGCAAAGTAGTTTGATCTATTTAAAAGTTATTAGCTTATGTTAATTTAAGGTGAAGCGGCGCTTCACCTGCGTCATCCGGCGAGCCGCCACTGACAATATTACATTAATAAATTACAAAATGGAATATCCTTGAAATTTTAACGCATATTAGAAATTATAACTTGTACGCAAATTAACATTGTAAATATGCATTTAAATTGAACTGGTTTAATTTTTGCAATGTTATAATAACTACCAAATGTAAACTTGCTGCAAAATTGGAAATATAACTTGTAGGTAAGGTTACATCGCAAAGATGCCTTAAAGTTATGTTGGTATTATTTTGCAATGTTATAATTTAATATTGAATGTAAACTTGCTGCAATATAGCAGAAATAATATATTGGAAAATCGAAAGCTTTGCCGCCATTAATAACGATCGGAACGACATCGGGGATACGAACTAAACCGAAAGCAAATCGACGCCATCAAGTCGCTGCTTGTCGTTTGAGTTGAGTGCTGTGTCTGCTTGTTGAATGTTGTGTCTGTGATAAAACGAATCTCGGCTAAATTTTTGGTGTTTGTGTTGGGATTATGTATTGGATCGGTTCAGCTACCTAGTGCTTTGCTTTTTGGTTATTTTTATTATTCAGTTTTTATTTTAGAACCTGTGGAAATGAAATAAATATACAGCGATTTACAATGGACGAGGATTCAAATAAGGTGAGTAAGGTTTGCATAGTCAATAAATACTTTATACAAAAATACTGCGGAATGGGGGGCCCCTTTTTTGTAAACTGTAACCTCTTTTTTTTCATACCTACAAATCCCGTATTATTATTATATTACTTATTATGATTTTACGATAATATTTTAGTTAGGATCAAAAATATCGTAAACCGTTTGGTAGGTAATGTCCAGAAAGAAAGTGGCTACGACGGGGAATTATTATTATAATAAAAATACAGAACTACTCCTTGATTTTGTTTTTGTTTCAGGCAGGTGACAATATAAGTAGCAGCTGTGGTAGCAGCCAGTACCTACTTCGTCCTGTGTGTCAACCAATCTAAAATTTCGCTTTTTTTTTTCTGTTTAGAATTTTTATTTATTTTGCTTTGAGATATTACTTTTTATGTTTTGTTTTTCACCTAAGTATATTTTTTTATTGTGAGTATTATAGATATACATAATATACCAACCTTTTTATTTTTTTTCCAAAAACTTGTACTTTTATTCATAATAAAATATCTACCTAATATGATTATGGGTTTCAGGCACAAATTTTAACAGCTTGTTTTTAGAACAAACTGTTAGAGTTTATGCACCGCAACTCAAATCTCTCTATATAGGTACATACCTCTGAGGTACATACATAGTATTTACAGTTGCAACATTGCTTTTTTATTGCAGTAAAGTTGCGAACCCAATATATTTGTTATAAACATGCAATATTGCAGTAATCTTACCAATAAATTGCAAGTAACCCTAAGGTATATTTGAATTTGTAACCTTACACTCGTAAGTTTGCTGAAGTTTTGATCTAATATTCCAGTAATATTGCTGAAAGGTTATCATATATAAACCTTGCATTTGTAATATTACCCTAAGGTTGTTTCAGTACTTGCCGCAATACTGCGTTAACATTACAGTAAACTTTAATATAACCTTACAAGTTTACAGTGTAATGTTACCTCACCATTACTGTAATCTTATTTTGTTCAGTGGGAAGTCGCGTACAGACCGAATTTTCAACGTAGATCAATGCCTATACGGCCAACATAGTTCACAAGTGCTGTTGGCTAGCGTTGAAAATTGGGTCTGTACACGGCTTTAATAGACATTACAAAAATAGTTACTTAGAACAAAGCTAAATGAAAACACCTACAAACTGCCCTAACCTTAATTTTTCTTGTACTCATAAAATAAAAATCCGCAACTCGCGGTTATGAGTACTAGGCTTTATTGCCATTTCCACCAACTATTTTAGGGAAGCCCTAACAATAGGTATGCCTTAAACTGACATTTACTCCATGTAAAAATGTCATTTTAGGGAATACTTATCGTTAGGGCTCCCCTAAAAAAGTTGGTGGAAACGGCCATTATTCCCCTAATCCTAGGCCGGGATCACGACAAGTAGAATTCTGCTTGCAAAATAAATCGCGGGCGACGTCATGAAAGTAGAATTCTACTTGTCGTGATCCCAGCCCTAGTGTGAATCCCACTAGCCCTAAAGCCTATGCCACAATCCCTTTCTATGCGCAACCGCCAACATTCTGGAAAGCCTTTCTATCTAACTAGGGCAACGAAATTCTGGATCAATACTCCATCCAGCAGGTCCTTTTAATTTGTAGAGTTATAGAGGTCACAGCTTGGCTTGTTATTGTTGATATTTGATCTAGAAAAGTAACTTTCCTTGTAAATTTGATAAAGGCTGTTTTCCAGAAATGACGGACTGGCAAAATGGGTTACCATCTGGATGGGATAGGAAGTGGGATGAAAATGCTGGAAAATAGTAAGGATACTTGATTTAAAATGCTATCCAGATATAAATATTATTTGTTTAGCTATTATGTTGATCATTCTACCAAAACTACAACCTGGGAGGACCCCAGAACAAAATCCAGATCATCCAAACAATTTTCCAAAATGCAAGGAGAGCATATTCCTTTGGTAGGTGTATTTAGTTCAATGAATTTTCTTGCATTGAACAAAATTTATTTTATAGCACGGATCACCAGACTACAATAAGCGCAATCACGTTTATCCAAGCCAATCTCCACCGATTCAAGCTTTCCAGATGCATTCAAAGTCAATTCCTTTACAGGCACGCATGATCCATTTAAAAATAAATTGTTCTAATTTTCATTGATTTCTTTTAAATAGGAAATGAGATCTGCAACTAAGAGTCCTGTAAAGTTGAAAAACTCTACAGTCCAAGAGAGCTCCTTTACAAGCCCTCCTTATTCTTCTACAGACTCTACAGAGGATTCAGTCACTAAAATAAGCGCCATGTTTCCCACTGTGTCCGAGACTCACATAAAATTATTGCTAAAAAAGTAAGCACATTTGGTGACTAATTCATTATGGGGTGCTTTTCAATGCCTACTAACTCATCTTACACCGCTGTTTTCCTATTTGTTCTAAACCGCTTTTTAGGTATTTGAACCGAGAGGCTTTGGTGATAAGTGCGCTACAAGTCGAAAAATACCCGATAACGACCCCGGGGCCTTTTTCCACTCCACCGCCTCAAAGAAACATACAAGTTAATGGTAAAGTTGGGCAAATATCTCGTACAGGCAGTCCGCTATTGGGCGGTTTCGCTAGGAGTTCTCCAAAGCCTCATTCTTCGCCCAAGTTGAAATTAAGGTCGAGTTGTTTTTCTTTTGGAGTAGGAGTAGATGCTAAGTTGAAGCATGTTGGTAGATTTTTTCGCACGTTTCTAGGATTATATTTTTTATGTTTAGCTCTTATGAGGTCCTGTTACTTTATATGTAATCATCAATTATATAAGTTTTTTCTGTAGTTGATGTTTTGGTACAACATTGAATTACCTATGAAACAACCAGCATTGAAATTTTCCAATATTTACTTAGACTTATTTTGTGTTATAATTTGTCCTCATTATTATATCGAATTGCGCATGTAAATAGTCCCCAAACAATTTTGAATCTCCAAAAAAAAAAAGATGAAAATTCGTTTTTTGCCTAACTGTAAACAGTTGCAGGTACATGAAATCGATTTTCCCGAACGCCGACGAAACCATCATATTGGAATGCCTTCAAAATAACGAAAGCAGCATCCAGAAAACTTCGGAAATATTAAAGGAAATGGGCTACAGCAAAAAGGAAACGGTTAAAATTGCCACACCAAAAGTGGAACCGAAAATTCTCAAAGAAGACGAAATTAAAGCTGGTTCGAATAAAGATAAAATACCTGTTACAGTTGTGCAAATTAAATCTAATGAAGAGAAAAATCAAAGTAAAGCCACAAATAACTAAACAAAATATTAAATCTAAAATATTTTTATTTAAAGTGAAAATAAAGCTCCAAGAGCTCTACAAAGACGTGCCAGAACATTTGATAGCAATCGCCTTGGAAAGCGTAAATTTCAATGAAAACCGCGCCAACCAAATACTTCAAATAATGAAACAGGAAGACAATGAAACTCAAAACACCAAAAATCAAAAACCAGAGTAAATTCTCACAATAATAAAACTTTGTATTTTTTAAAAGCGATTTTTTTTTTAGGGAAGTTTTGGAAAAAGTTGACGCTCCTTTACCATCGACCAGCCAAATACCGATATCTCAAAGCCGACAATCGATAAAATCGATTTTAAAAAGCGAAAAAAAAGAGGATGCTCCAAGTTTTAGCCGAATCATCGACGGCAATAATAAATCTACAAATTTAACCAACACTTTGGGTCACAATATTAATTTTTCAAAAGGACCCAATGAGAAATTGCTTTTGTACGTATAAGATCAATCAATTTAATAATTATTTCATAACTCTTTTGTATATATAGGGACAATTACGTACAATGGCAAGGCTCGAATAAGTCGTTCCAAAAAGGGCCGCAATCGTTGGCAAAAGGGCCAAACAGAAACCTAATTTCAACCAAATATTACTCTCCATGTGGTCCAAATGCGGATTTTCGTAAAGGACCTTCATTTGGCTTGTCTAAGGGCAGTATTTTTAGACAAATGTTAGTTAATCTAGAATAGTTTTCAACCGAAAAGAAAAGTGATGTTGTAGGGCCGTCCCATTGAAAAAAAAAACACTGTTTTCTTATCCTATTTCAGCACTCACTAGTACAGGAATCTCTATGAAATAATAATGCATATTTTTGCTGCAACATATTTTTCTAAAGTTGAAGGTTTTACTGGTTTAGAGTATATTGATGTGGAGAGTGGTTTTATTATTGTGATTAGTGGATATATGATTAAGAACTTGATTATGTATATTATTTTAGCTTGCACTTCATTTTACTTATATTGTTATAGTTGAATACTTAATTTGCTTATTTTGACCGAAAAATTTCTTGAAATAAAACACCCCCGCTTAAAATCAATCTTTGTTTCGGTTACAACTATTTAATACTTATTTGTCTACAAAAATACTCAGTACTGTCAATTTTTGTTGCAACTTCAAACATTCGAGAGTTATCTTAAGATTACAGAATAGAAAAATCCTAACTTTGTCCAGACTGTAACTTGTAATAATCATAATAAAGCCCTTTGAGGGCTAACAGTTCATTGTGCGTGCCCTTTTCGGCAATCCTGCCCTCTTTCACCACGCAAATCATGTCGGCGTCTTGTATGGTGGTCAGCCTGTGTGCTATCGTTATGCAAGTTCTGCCTTGCCTGGCATTATCCAAAGCTTCTTGTACAACCTGGAAATTTTTGTTTAATTATTTGCTCATGGAGCCTCAAAATACGTACTTTTTCGCTTTCGTTATCCAAGGCGGAGGTGGCTTCGTCTAACAATAATATTTTTGGATTGCGTATCAGGGCTCGGGCGATTGCTATTCTTTGTTTTTGCCCGCCCGACAGTTGCTTACCTTTACTTCCCAATCTTGTTTCGTAACCCTACAAATTAAGATTCATATATAATTGACCTATTTAAGGAATTGATGCGTATCCGAAGGGCTCAAAATTCCAAGGAATTGTGTAAAATTACTTTTGAGAATTAGGTTTGTAAATTTTAAGCCTTTCAGAGACGGCGCAGGTTGCATAAATGCTCAAACAAAAATTGAATGTCAGAAATGTGAAATATTGCATGCTTTCAGCTTTTTTCAAATGGGATGCGCTATATGTATTTGGTTCTATATTCTTTGAAGAACACAATTTCCTGATTCCAAAACTATATAGTTTGTCTATATTTGGTTGAGCCGTCTCCAACATATATAGGGCATCTCATTTGAAGAAAGCTAGAAGCATGCAAAATTTCACATTTCTGACATTCAAATTTTGTTTCTGACTATGGTTTCTAAAAATTCAGCCAAAACTGTACAACTTTTGTATTTACACCTTTCTTCTACTTGTGAAGGTAAAGGCTGTAGGTGGGGTGTCAATATATAAAAAAACACCCTGTACAAATAGGTGGATTATTGCGGAACTTATGGGTGGACCATCTACTCACCAATATACTGTTGAACTGTTCAAATAAGACAAGACACTGACCTGAAACGTGTAGTTTTTGAACTAATGAGAAATATTCTCAACTGAGTGAATCAGTTAAGTACCTATTGTACTTGAACAACATATTGGTGGATAGATGGCTGGGTCCACCCGTAAGTTCCGCAACAATCCACTCGTTTATACTTGAATAACTTGTCACAATATATTACTAGTTTGGTAAAGTAACATTACTAATTCTTGTTAAAAGGTCAAATGACAAAAGTGGATAATCTTACAAATTCTGACTTTATATAATAAGTTATTGTTCAAGTACAAATAAGTGAATTGTTGACGAACTTATGGGTGGACCTCGTAGCGAGTTCCGCAGCTATTTACTTACCAATATACTGTTGAACTGTTCAAGTAAGACATTCACCTAAAACGTGTAATTTTTAAACTAATGAGAATAACGCACATTTGAGTGAGTCAGTTTAGTATCATACTTAAACAACATATTGATGAATAGATGGCTGCGGAACTCGCTGCGCTCGTCCCGCAGAGGTCCACCCATAAGTTCCGCAACAATCCACTTGTTTGTACTTGAATAACTTGTCTACTACTTTGGTAAAGTAACATTAGTAATTCCTGTTGAAAGGCAAATTGACAAAAAGTGGATAATCTTACAAATTTTGACTTTATATAATAAGTTAATGTTCAAGTACAGGGTGTTTTTTTATATATTGACACCCCACCTATAGCCTTCACCTTTACAAGTAGATGAAAGGTGTAAATACAAAAGTTGTACAGTATTGTTTAAATTTTTAGAATCCATGGTCAGAAACAAAAATTGAATGTCAGAAATGTGAAATGTTGCATACTTTCAGCTTTTTTCGTATGCAAAATTTCACATTTCTGACTTTCAATTTTTTTTTCTGACCGTGGTTTCTAAAAATTCAGCCAAAACTGTACAACTTTTGTATTTACAGCTTTCTTCTACCTGTGAAGGTAAAGGCTGTAGGTGGGGTGTCTATATATGAAAAAACACCCTGTACCTTACCTATTTAAAATTACCTTATTCTCCTAAATAGTTCCCCCATTCTCATATTTTTATGAACCATTCCTTCGCAAAACCGTATCTTGCACAATGTGCTACCAAAACTAACCTAAACTAACTCATTCTGGCTTACTTTAACTTAAACTGCCCCCCCTTTCAAAAGGCCTGTATCCGCCCCTGCTGGTTTTATTATAGAACCTATATAAATCCAACTTTATTTAGTAGGTACCTATGTACTTATGAAATTTAATTCTAATGTTTGCCAAAGAACAAAGAGGTCATTCAAAGCTGAAATTCAACTCAAGAAGCTCAAAAATCTCACAACTGATTCTTTTCTTGGCTTTACTAAAGTAAAAAATCTGGATTTCAGATCATTCTAGATTTAAAGCAACACCAGAGCGGGTTACAAAGCTCATTTTTGGAGCACGTAGAACAGAAATTCAACTGGAGAAGTCTAGAAATCTTTCAAGTGGCTGCTCTAAAAGTGGAATTTCCAAGGAAACAAAATCGAACTAGGAAATTAAAAAATCTGGATTACAGATTATTCTATATTTCTATTTACGTCAGAGCTGTTTCTAAAAGGTCATTTTAAAACATTAACTGAAAAAGTCTAAAAATTTTCCAAATGGGTCTTAATTGTAATGCCGGAATTTGAAAAAAACAGGCATAAAAATTAAATTTTTGGCTTCACTAGAGCAGTGGCGGCGCTTGGATGCACTGAGCCCCTAAGCAAATATCACTATTAGGCCCCCCTACCCTTGTAATGAAAAAATTTCCCTATTGAATAAAACAAAAATCAAGTTTATGAAAACCCCCTTTAATCCATTAAATTAACTTTACCTAGGTACCAACGGTACTACTCAAAAGTCTCTCCAATTAGAAGCTGCGGAAGAAGAAATGTTTATTATTATCGGCACTTGAGCGTTGAATGGCCTTAGAAAAATTCTCTTGCCAATCCAGAGTTTATAAAAGTTCAAATTTTGACTATTACCGGCTCTTGATTGGTTCTAGGAAGATTTCCCAAAGAATCAAGAGCCGGTAACAGTTCAAATTTTGATTATCTGTGACTCTTGATCCATTTAGAGCGAATTAGAAGCTACGGAAGAAGAAATTTTGATTATTATCGGCTCTTGAGCTTTGAATGCCCTTAGAAAAATTCTCTATCGAATCCAGAGTTAACAAAAGTACAAATTTTAACTATTACCGGGATTGGCTCTAGGAAAGTTTTCCAGAGAAGTAGAAGAGCCGGTAATAGTTTAAAAATTTGGAATTTAGATTCCAATTTACCCCAGAGCGATTTGCGAAGATTGTTTCTGTAGCTCGTAGGGCTGAAATTCAACTGGAAAAAAAGTTGAAGGTTTACTCACCAAAGGTAGACTAGCAATGAAAGAGTGAACATTGGCAGCTTTGGCAGCTTCTTCAATTTCCTTCATTAAAACTTCCCTGTCGTTTATGCCGTAGCTGATGTTTTCTGCTATAGTCAAGTCAAATAAGTTGGGTTCTTGACTTACTAAACTCAATTGAGACCTAAAATATAATCCGAAGAGAGATTGAACTATAACTATACCAAAAGTTCTGTATTTGGACCCTGCCCAAAGTATACAGGGATTGTGTTTATGTCAGAATTGGCTGAATTTTGTATGTAAGATCACGCCTTTCTGATATAAAGTTACCATTGCATCAATCCTAAAAAATTACTAGACGTAGCATTTTGCATACGAAAAAAGCTGAAAGCATGCAACATTTCACATTTCTGACATTCAATTTTTGTTTCTGACCATGGATTCTAAAAATTTAAACAATACTGTACAACTTTTGTATTTACACCTTTCATCTACTTGTAAAGGTGAAGGCTATAGGTGGGGTGTCAATACATAAAAAAATACCCTGTACTTGAACATTAACTTATTATATAAAGTCAGAATTTGTAAGAATATCCACTTTTTGTCAATTTGCCTTTCAACAGGAGTTAGTAATGTTAATTTACCAAAATAGTAACATAATGTGACAAGTTATTTGAGTACAAACGAGTGGACAACAATTCTTTCGTTTGTACTTGAATAACTTGTCACAATATATTATTAGTTTGGTAAAGTAGCATTTAGTAATTCCTGTTAAAAGGCAAATTGACAATAAGTGAATAATCTTACAAATTCTGACTTTATATAATAAGTTATTGTTCAAGTACAAATAAGTGGATTCTTGCGGAACATATTGGTGAACCTCTGCGGAACGAGCGCAGCGAGTTCCGCAGCCATCTACTCACCAATATACTGTTGAACTGTTCAAATAAGACATTCACCTGAAACGTGTAATTTTTAAACTAATGAGAATAACGCACATTTGAGTGAGTCAGTTCAGTATCGTAATTAAACAACATATTGATGAATAGATGGCTGCGGAACTCGCTGCGCTCGTCCCGCAGAGGTCCACCTATAAGTTCCGCAACAATTCGTTCATTTGTACTTGAATAACTTGTCACATTATGTTACTAGTTTGGTAAAGTAACAATTACTTATTCCTGTTGACAGGCAAATTGACAAAAAGTGAACTTGAGTACAAATAGGTGGATTATTGCGGAACTTATGGGTGGACCTCTGCGGGACGAGCGCAGCGAGTTCCGCAGTCATCTATTCATTAATACGTTGTTCAAATACGATACCCTCCTGACTTACTCAAATGTCAGTTATTCTCATTAGTTCAAAAACTACAAGTTTCAGGTGAGTGTTTTATTTGAATAGTTCACCAGTATACTAGTGAGTAGATGGCTGCGGAACTCGCTGCGCTCGTCCCACAGAGGTCCACCCATAAGTTCCGCAATAATTCACCTATTTGTACTCAAGTTCACTTTTTGTCAATTTGCCTGTCAACAGGAATAAGTAATTGTTACTTTACCAAACTAGTAACATAATGTGACAAGTTATTCAAGTACAAATGAACGAATTGTTGCGGAACTTATAGGTGGACCTCTGCGGGACGAGCGCAGCGAGTTCCGCAGCCATCTATTTATCAATATGTTGTTTAATTACGATACTGAACTGACTCACTCAAATGTGCGTTATTCTCATTAGTTTAAAAATTACACGTTTCAGGTGAATGTCTTATTTGAACAGTTCAACAGTATATTGGTGAGTAGATGGCTGCGGAACTCGCTACGCTCGTTCCGCAGAGGTTCACCAATATGTTCCGCAAAAATCCACTTATTTGTACTTGAACAATAACTTATTATATAAAGTCAGAATTTGTAAGATTATTCACTTATTGTCAATTTGCCTTTTAACAGGAATTACTAAATGCTACTTTACCAAACTAGTAATATATTGTGACAAGTTATTCAAGTACAAACGAAAGGATTGTTGTGGAACTTATGGATGGACCCAACCATCTATTCACCAATATGTTGTTCAAGTACAATATTAACCTGATTCATTCAGTTGTGAATTTTTCTCATTTAGTTCAAAAACTACACGTTTCAGGTGAATGTCTTATTTGAATAGTTCAACCGTATATTGGTGAGTAGATGGCTGCGGAACTCGCTGCGCTCGTCCCGCAGAGGTCCACCCATAAGTTCTGCAATTATCCACTTATTTGTATGTACGTTCATTACAATGTCCAAGCGTTTTACATGCTACCTACCTATGAATTCTATGGAATTAATTTTCTCAAAAAGGAATCATTTTTCAGGATACTTGCAATGTTAACTTTTAATCAGGAAGGCGTGATCTAGGTACATTATATACAAAATTCAGCCAATTTTGACATAAATACAATCTCCGTATAATTTGAGCAGGGTCCTTTAGTGAAGCATAACTACTATGTTTTTGAATCCCAGAGTATTATTACCTCAAGCACTTCAAGTTCAAAGTCCTAATATCGTCATCATCCACGCTAACTTCACCGTAAGTGGGATCGTAAAATCGGATCAATAGCTGTATCAATGTGGATTTCCCACATCCGCTGCCTCCAACTAAAGCCACCGTTTTGCCGTGCATTATCGACAAATCCAGACCATTCAGAACTTGTATCGCTGGTCTTGTGGGATAAGAAAAGTGAAGTTTGGAGTATTCCACAACTGGAGTATCCTAAAAATAATAATCAGTAAATATTAATTAGCAAATAGTTCACTTATTACCATTTGATGTGATATAGAATTCACGCAGTTCTTGACTTTAGGTTCTCTAGCAAACAAAGCAAATATTCGTCCTGCGGCTGTAATACCCTTTTGCATATTCGAAGAAAAAGATAAGGCATTGCCCACAGACCAAGAGCTTGCTATTACAACCTCCAATACCCTAAAATCAATCAATTTAAACCTGCGTTATGCCCAATAAATGTGTTACTTGAAAACAACTGCAGCATCAGTTTCACGTTTAACCAGTAACTGAGCTCCATAAGTCATGCCGCCAGCGTAAGCTAAAAACTGCAAACTCCGAGCCATTCCCATTATAACAGCTTTCAGGTGGGATCTTTTAAAGCCAGCTCGCTTACTAAAAATAAGCTCCCTCTCGTAAGAGTCGCAAAATATACTTTCACAGCCCAAAGCTTTGACGGTTTTGATGTTGTCGATTGCTTCGACAGCAATTTTCGCCGATTTTTCCAAAAGCTTCTGAGTGAACTGGGCGTCAGCTTGAACCGATTTTCTTTCGTAAGATATCGAGAAAAATAGCAAAGGGAAAAACACTCCTGTTATCAGAGTCAATCTCCATTCCATGTAAAAACCGATAGCAGCTGCCAAGATGAACGTCGCTACTGAGTTGAGAATAAGACCTATTCTTGAACCTGCAGCCTGAAATATTGATTAAATGATGATGAGTAAAAAATAAAACTTACACCTTGTACGCTGGCAGCGTCTCCTGAAAGCTTAGCACACAAGGCACCGACCCCATTTTCTTTTCTATCAAACCAGCCAATTTCTTGCTTGAGCATCGAGGCAAACATTCTATTCCTGAGACGATTGGTTAGTTTTTCTCCTGCGTAACCGAACCCATAAATCTACAAATAATTTTGCAAGATTTTAAAAAAAATTTGGTTTGCTATTTACCTGAAGAAACATGGCTAGTCCAGATGCTAGGCCTAAATACAAGAAATAGAGGCAGTAATTGTTGGCAACTTGTCTTAGTATAATTGTGTCTGTAATGTATAAAGAGCCCAGTATGTCTCCAAACACTATACCGTAAAGTGGTAATGAGCAGCCGTTCATTAAAGCTGATAAAGAACCAACAACCATCGGTAACCACTCTGGCCTGTTCATTTTTAGTATTTTCATTATTGTGCCTGAATAAATAACTTCTTCAACTTGGATAGTTTCTTCTTCGCCAACTTCCTGGACTCCATCAGATTTTGTTGAGAAACTTTTCGATGCTTTTCTTGTAGATTTTACATCGACTACAACAATATTAATTTATTAAAATAACTGATTATATTTGAATTAATGCTCACTTTCATTGCCAAGCTCTGTATAGCCTTGAGAACTGACCATATTGTAATAAGCCCCTTTGGCTTCCATTAATTTACGATGCGAGCCTTCCTCAACAATATCTCCTTTATCAAAAACCACAATCCTGTTGGCATTTCTTATTGTCGATAATCTGTGAGCTACAACGATTTTGGTACATTCACCTGTAATCTTTATAACAATATATAAGCACCCAGCAAAACTATATAAGGCATCCTTACAGAATCCAATGCTTGTTGCACTTCAACTTCACTGGCAGTATCCAGAGCCGAAGTAGCTTCGTCAAGTAAAAGTAAGTTTGGGGTTTTAATCAAAGCCCTGGCGATAGCGACCCTTTGCTTTTGACCTCCTGACAATTGAGCTCCTCTTTCTCCAATCACCGTTTGATAACCGTGCGGCATGTTTGTAATAAACTTGTGTGCGTTTGCCTTTTTAGCAGCAGCAACTATTAAGAAGTTCTATTATATATGGTATAAGTTATATTGGTTCTTACTTATTTCTTCCATTGTAGCGGTAAGTTTGCCGTAGCGGATATTTTCAGCTATTGTGGCGGCGAACAAAGAAGGCTCCTGACTCACCACGCCGACATTTTGACGCAAATAGCTTAAATTGATGTCTTTTAAGTTGACTCCGTCCACAGTGATCTTATTAAAATAGCGCAATAATTATTTTGTTAGTGTAAAACTTTATAAACTTACCATTCCAGAATTTGGATCGTAGAACCTTTGCATTAGCTGTATAACCGTTGACTTACCAGATCCTGAATGGCCTACCAAGGCTACAGTTTCTCCAAAGCTTACTTCCAAATTAATGCCTTTCAAGACCTGTACTTCCGGTCTAGACGGATACCGAAACTTAACATTTTCAAACACAATGTCCGAGGTGAAATCAGGTCTTTTACCGACATCTTGCTGCTTGTGCATCTCTGGTTCGCTGTCCAGCACCTGGAAAACTTTGAAGGCCGCCCCTCTGGCCATTCCAAAAACTTCCAGGTAAGGGCCAATCGTACCGAAATTCCATGTAGCAATGAGCGTGGAGAAAAAAACCTGGAAAATTCAATTATATTTGGATTAGAAATCGAATGCTAAATAGGTATATACCGCCATCATGTTGGCAGGCGTATAAATCCTTTCGTTTTCGGGAAGTTTGCGTTCCTGGATAACCAAACCGACTCCGTACCAAAAAGCCAAAGCATAGCAACCGTAGGTTAAAAACCAAATAAAGCCTTGGTTTAGGGCGTTGAATAGACATCGTTTGATGTTGTTTTTTTTAGCTGGAAAGAGGCCAATTAGAGATGCTAGAGACAAAAATCCAAATTTTACCTTCTGTAACGAACTTCCTATATCTTGAAATTTCTTTGTCTTGGCCATCAAAAGCAACCACGGTTCTAATGGCACTCAAAACTTCTTCGGCTACGGCACCTGCTTTACCGTAAGCTGCCATTTCTTGTTTGCAATATTTGGCGGAAAACTGCAACTTTGGATTATATTGAAATCTTTAGAATTATAATAATTACCCAAGCAATTGCGCCCATTACAGCTGTTTGCAATGGCAACGATGTTAAACATACAAGGGCGAGTTGCCAGCCCTTGATCAAGGCCCATATTATTCCTACGACAAAAGTGGTAGCCAGAAAAGCTACCATTCCCAATTTTTCGCCTAAGCCGTCTTCGATTTTTGGAATGTTGCTATTTGGACAATTGATGGTTTTTAACAATCAAAGAAGAATCCTTTATGAATACTCACTCGGTTATGACAGAAGCAAAATCTCCGGTTTGGTTCTGGTCGTACCACCCGATGTCTTGGTTGAGGGTTTTTTCCAGGAAGAGTTTTCGCATTTTGAAAGTCTAGAATGCAAGTTAATCCCATTTGTTAATTACAATCTCTTATCTCATTACAAAGCCAAATAATATGGTTGTTAAATTATAAAGATTATTTGTCAAGGTTTATTAATTATTGAAAGCATACAAATTCTTACCTGTCTCAAAGAGCTTTGAGTCAAAAACACTACGGATATGTAAGTGGTGATTATAATAACGATAGCGCTGATGCTGGTCATTATGGCAAAGTACTGAGTGCCTGCAAAAAGCTTATCTTCGGCAATTTGCTCTTCTTGCGCTGTTAAATTCTGCTGTATGGCTTCGTAGTAGTCCAGTATAACACCGGTAACTTCTCCGAAGAGTATCATCAGGTAGGGCTGCAGGACTCCGCATATCATTGCTGCCAAGATCGCCAGAAGTATGAGGAATTTGTCCAGAAGGGTTGCGAATTTGTACTGCAAATATTTTCGAATGCTAGATAGATGAGTTTGAGCCATTTTAATTTTAAACTGAACTAAAAGTTGACTCAACTCAAACTTCTTTATTTAAATAATTTCATTTCATAGTTATAAATTACAGGCTGGGGAAATAGAGCTCTCTCTTAAACTTTAAACATACAACATTAACTTAATACTAGGACAGAGATTCTTATGACTAACGAGCAGTGTGGACATTTCAAATGTTTTGACCTGCAAACCCCTGTTTCTATTTTTTGGAACAACTTTCCACGACTTTGTCTGGTTGCCCTTTAACATCGATTTTTATGATCCTAGGGTCGCTGACCTGCCTGAGAATAAGAGTGGTATGCTCAGAGTCGGAGTTGAAGCAGCGCCCGTTCTGTGGGGACAGGTCTGTATAGCTGGTCTCTAGACCTGTCTAGCTATATACAGACCTGTCCCTAGATCTATATAGCTGTATACAGACCTGTCTAGCTGTATACAGACCTGTCTGACTCTAGCTAGACCTATTGTAACATTTGAAATGTCACAAGAACATATTTAATTGTTCTTAATTAATTTCATATATTTGAACTCATTTAAGATTCTATTTCGTACACCTGGCGATATCTATGATTCCTCTGACTAGTTTCCTGACCTAATACCGAAAATTATATTATCAAAAGGTGGTTTCGATTTGCTCACTCCGGTACTCCGAGTGACTCCATTCGTACTCCTGCCGAACCGAACTAAGGTTCTTCATAAGAAAAACCCGTAGCACTGTTATTTTTATAATTTCGACAGGCTTGACAGAGGAAGAAAGACACAACCACAGTTTGGTACTTTTGACTTTTTTCTTTTCGATTTTATAGTTAGACTGAAAAGGTCGTCTCTGGGAAATCCAAAAACTTTGGTTTTCATTCTTGGCCATCGAGCCCAAAGCTATATAAATTAACTAGCCAGTAGAATGAGTAATCATGTCAGCAGGAACGTTTTTTGAAAAATCAACAGATTGTTGATTTTTGTGTAAATTTTTGAAAGTGAGCCGTTCAGGTATGTAAATCCCTTTTTCCCTTTGATAAATGAGTCCTTATATTTCTTCAATCCGTTCAGGCAATTTGGGACAGTATTAAAAATCCACGCCTACACTTCTGGGTGAAAATTTGACAAGTTTGAGACCATGCTGTACTGTACTTCCAAAGCAAGTCTGGGCCCCCTCTACAAGGAAAGTTGTGTCTTGTAAGAGATTGATCCCCACCATTGGATGATTGCCTTCCGTCAGTTTGGTGCTTCTGGACCTCAAATTTATGAAAATTTCCAAGGATTTCGTCCAGGCTTGTATAATTACTTACCTATGGGTCCCGTAACTGTGCGTTATTAATTACTGTTGCCTTATATTATCTTTTTTCTACCGCTCCCTATCTATTAGCTTTATTAGCTAATAATTATCTTTACATAACTGTTAATTATTATTATCTTTTTCTTTATCGCTCACTATTGATTAGCTTGATTAGCTAATTAATATCTTTGTAAATATTAATTACCGACTTATTTACCGTATTGTAGTATTTGGCTAAACTAGCTAATTACAGTTTAATGTAATTTTTAATTGATTAATTAATCATTATCTGGATTTTGGATTTATTTTACCTTTTCAGATTTTTTTTTTGAATTTATCTTTTTAAACAATAACTAATTAGTGGAATACTGCCTAGTTTGGCTATTCCTTGGTAATCAAAATAATTTATACAAACTAGTGGCGCCCTCTCTCTACTGTACCAACACCAAGGACCACCCCAAGCTAAACAACCACTGAGCAATAGTCGAGCACAGATTATAAACATTCTTTCGTTTTGACAAAAGAGCGTTACAGCTGTCTCCAGTGCCGGCCCGAGCCTACTTTTAGGATGGAGCGAGATCCGACGTTGGCGCCCCTCATTCAAATGTGAATCGTATTCGCGTGAATTTTTCCCAAAACCTATATGTCCCTAGGTCTAGATCTTATCAATTGAAATTTGAAAACATCCATGTTCATAGGCCTGCAGATCAGGGTCCTTTATTCTTGAAACAAGGGAGCAGCGTTCCCAGGAAAACGAGGGTTCCGTCTTTCTCAATGATATGCAACTGATAATACAAGTAACAAAGACGGAGCACTCATTCTTCTAGGAACGGTGCTACCCTGTTTCAAGAATAAGGATCCGGAAAGGTTGCCTTCTACTAGAATTGACCCATAAGGTACGTTTTAATTAACATAAGCTTGCTAAAGCTCCGTTCATCTTTCGCCGCCCACAGGAATGGTTACAAAAAAAAAGTAGAGCTGTCCAGACATTGGGGAACTTATCTTGCCAATTATTTATTGCTGTAGTTTTTGGTATTTTATTGTCTAGAATGTTATACCTAATTATAGGAAAGAGCAAATGTGATTATTTTAAGGTTTAATGAATAAAATTTTACCAAAAATTTGTTGTTTCATTGATCTTCATCGTCAATTGCATCAAATAAGGCATGCCTAAGAACAGGGTCTAGCTAACGGGGGCACCTGAGCCTGGGAACTTTTTCGATACCGTGGGAAAATCTCTAGATTGGCGGCGTCTTTGATCTGAAATTTCGGGGTTTTGACCCGGGCCAACCGTGGGAACTTTTGCGATAGCGTGGGAACTTTTTCGATACCGTGGGAAAATCTCTCGATCGGTGGCGTCTTTGATTTGAAATTTCGGGGTTTTGACCCGGGCCAACCTCAAATTTTTGGGGTTGAAAACGTGGTTTATTAAATAACATTTTATCTGAAATTATGTTTCATTACTCGCGCTATTTCTACCAAACTTTATCAAGTTAGATTAGGCTAGGCTAGGCTAGGCTAGTTCAATATTTTGGAATTCTATAGAATAATCCATTAGGAAAAAATAAACATTTCATCCGAAATTGCGCTCATGACCACTACAGTTGAAATTCAATTCGATTAGGCTAAGCTAACATCACCACTTAAAATCATTTTGCAGGTTAAGAAATTTTGATTCATTCATCCTCACTATTTTACAAAAGACCAATATAGGTTTCTAAAATCTCAACTAGACTCTCCTAAATTAAATCCGAAAAACTGATAAAAAGATGGCGCCAGGTAATAAAAATAGATACTTTGGAATTATCACAATAGGTTAGAATAGTTTAGAGCAGATTGGAGTAGGTTGCACTAGTTACATTAGTTCGGAGTAAATTATACTAGTTCAGAGTAGATTGGATTAGTTCGGAGTAGGTTCGGTTAGACATTGACAGATGACTGACACTTAAGTTTGACATTGGTTGACAGATGACTGAAATTTGATTGACATGATTGACATTTGATTCCTCCGGAGGACGGAGGATGGTGAAACCCCATTATATATCTACTCTAATATATGGCCGGTCCTCATGTACGATAAATTTCTGCGGAACTGCGGAGTTGCGGAATCACGTGATCGGAATATTGAAACATCATTGGGCGTTTGGCAGCCATATTGAATAAGTGACAGCTCCGCATGCTTTCCGGATAAAAGTTGACTACGTTCAACTTTTTTCCGTATTCCGTTGTTTACTTTCGGTGTTCGTTGACGTTGATCGGCCATTTCTTGTTTGTTTTGAATTTAAAAAGTGTTTGAAATTCTGGGAATAATTTAATTTTATATTGCTTTTCGATATTTTTCTTTTCTTCTATTTGGAAAATGGATCAGGTAAATACACTTTATTTATAATTTACTTCTTTTTAGTAACATGTTAACAAATTGTAAACTGAAACTTGAATTTTTTCCCTTTTTTCTAGCAATATAAATGTGGATATTGCAAGTTTCTCATCAATACACATTGCGAGGACTATACATCTCACGAGTGCTTCATGGAGTTGAATTTTGATGTGGCCCTGCATGATATTATGAGTGACGAGAATGGTGTTCTACATTTGGGTATGTAGCTAAGTTTTTTATATCCATTTTAAACATTTTTTTACAATCGGTTTGCATGTCAACATTTTCGGAATTAAAGCAGTAGTGTTTTATTTTTTAGTTGATAAAGCTTCAAACACCATCCTGCAGAAACTCAACAAAGAAGCTACTACAGCTTCATGGGAAGAACTTTTGATAAAGTTTGTTCAGGATAGGCCCGCACTTTATAACATAAAGATTCCTGTTACTGAAAGGAGCCATTTAAAAAAAAACAATCTCTGGGCTGAAATCCACAACCTTTTAGAGGGGAAACACTCCCTAGAGGCAATTAAAGCCAAGTGGAGGTACCTGCGAGACTGCTACATGAAAGCCAGGAAAAAAATGGGGCAGTACAAACCAAGTGGTTCAGCTGCAGGAACCAAATTTGATTCTGGCTTCAGATACTATGCCAGTATGCAGTTTCTGAACGACTCACTCGAGATGCCAGAGTAAGTGTGTTTTTTAGAATGTGTAATAAGGAAATAGTTTTAATTTTGTTTAAAAGAGCGCTGAAAATTAAAGTCATATTTTTTATGTTAATTTCAGAACTGTATGTTCAGTACCAATAATGACGCCCAATTTATTTTCACCTACACCATCCACCTCTACTAGTGAACAAGGTGATACGGAGGCATCTCAGGCATCCATTAGTTTTGTGGAAGTACCAGAGACCCCATCTGCAAAAAGTAAGTTCTAATTGTTCTAAAGATTATTTAACTTTGTTGTGTAATAGAATAAGTTCATCAGTATTTTCTTGCTCCATTTGTAAAAGCCTTATGTTTAAACCTTTTCCTTTATGTGTAGGTACTTAATGCATTAACATATAAATATAAGCATTAATTAATTATAGCTTAAATATCCATTTATTTATTACACAATTGCTAACAAACAACAAACCTTGACTTCCAAAAAAAAAACAAACAACAATTGAAAAATATACATTTGGGTACTTAAGTATTTCACTTTTTTTGTAGTTTCAAAACGTGAAAATCTCAATGAAAATTTATAGGGTTTTCCTTTCAATCTGTCTTAAATTATCCAATAATAAAATACAGTAAAGTTTCCCAATAGGTCACTAAAAATTCCATTACAAATTGGTAGTTTGAGGGCAAGAAAAAATAAATTATCTACCTAAGGTGAATAAAATTCAGTATTTATTGAAATGTAGTTGCACCAAAGAAGGTACTTAAAAACCCATTTACATAATTTGGTTTCATTTATCTCCAGTATTTCCAATAGTACCAGTAATAAAGTGCAAAAATTCCCAGAAGGGCCTTGATGACCACAATTAAGGGTAAATGTTCCAGGTAATTTTCCTTACAGTTAGGGCTTCATATGACCATGGCCCTTTTCAAAGAGTTTTGGTATTGGAGGGGTCTTTTAAAATAGGCCTATTAGATTTATTTCAAGAAGCCAAAACTGACCGCTTTTAACAGGTGGCTGAAATGAGAAGTTTTACTGTATAATTAATTACCTAGGTATTTAATTGAAAAATCCATTTTCACGTTTAATATTTTTTACAGAAAGAAGAGTGGATGAAAAAAAAGAATTCCAAAAAGGTGTTTTGGACATTCTTACAGCACCTCCGAAAGCTTCAGATGGAGTGGATGGATTTCTGATGCGATTGGGAGAGAGCCTTCGGCGTTTTCCGTATAGGGAACGCAGTCGCCTTGAAATTGACATTATGAAACTGGTTTTTGACAGAGAATCAGAATTAGATTTATAGGAATTATAAAAATAAAGCATGAATAAACATTATGAAATTTATTTTTTTGCATTTTTTTTACAATAACAACACAGAATTTTACTCGGTAAAAATATATAATCAATATTGATATAGATATTATTTTATTAGAGCAGGGTTTTTTTTTTGGAAAATTTGGTCTATAGTGTCAAGAAGTTGAACAGTCAATTTATTTTTGAAAAAAATCTGTATATTTTCTATTTATGTCTACATCAGGAGGATAAAAGCTAAAAAAACACAAATGTTTGTGTTTTTTTTTAGCTTTTATCTTCCTGATGGAGTCATAAATAAATGTCGAAATGGAAATATGAAGTTATCTTTTTTCAAAAATAAATGAGTGCTTAACTTCTTGACTTACTACACACTGAATTTCCCAAAAAAAAACCTGTTCTATTACACAAAGATATGGCCGATAATTACCATTTATAGCTATTATTTTATACATTTTCTGGCTTAAACCTTATCATTAAAAATCTTAATTATATATACTGATTAAAAATCATTCTGCATAGCTTTCTGCCACTGCCAGTCCACTGCACCCGCATTACAAAAATAATTGGTGAATGATTCCCTGATATTGGCTGAATTTCTGGTGAAAGTATTGGCACCTGTTCGCATTATATCTACTAAACCATCAGTTGAAGAGACGTCATTCATTTCTTCACAGCTGGCATTATTCTCAGAGTTTTGCATCAATAAAAAATTATGTAAACAAACGCATGCCTGTACAATTTTTCTTATAGTAGCTTCACTAGCCAGTATTGGCCTGGAGAATATGCGCCATTTGGCAACCAATAGTCCAAATGCATTTTCAACAACTCTCCTCGCTCTACTGAGTCTGTAATTAAATACTTTCTTCCTCATGTCTAGATGAAATCTGCGAGGATAGGGACGCATAAGGTAATCTGTCAAGGGAAAAGCTTCATCTCCCACTAACACATATGGCAAATCATCTTCCATTTGTGGAATATCAAACAACTTTTGTTCAAAACCTTGACCCATATTGCTGCTTTTAAAAACACCACTGTCGCTGAATCTACCTGGAGCCCCAATATCAACCATTATAAAACGGTAATGTGCATCAGCAATTGCTAACAAATGAATTGAGTGGAAGCCTTTATAATTAAAATATTTTGAACCAGATTTTGGAAGAGCCTAAAAAAAAAAAATGAAATAGGACAGACGTTCCCAATTAGATTTCTCACCCACCTGAATAGTAATATGCTTTCCATCTATAGCGCCTATACAATTCTTAAATTGCCACTTATCTTGAAAGTCTTTGGCGATTTTTTTCCAATTCTCTTGAGAAGGAGCAACAAATACTTGGTCCTTTAAACACTGCCATATAGCCTCACATGTTTCGCTTATGATATTTGAAACTGTTTGTTTTCCCACACGAAAACTGTATGAAATACAGGTCATACTCTCCCCAGAAGCCAGATAGCGGATGGTGATTTCCAAACGAGTCCTGGCATCAATCGGAGTTCTAATAAAGTCCTGTTTTATGATGTAAGGTTCCACAATAGATAGGAGGTGATCAAATGTTTCTGGCATCATCCTCAAATAATTGAAGAACTTTTTGCGATCCGTTCGACGCATCTCCATAACTAAGTTGTTACTTGCCCCTTGTGAGATTCTTTGATCTGCCAAGAAAATATCTCTCACCCACATTTTTTTATGTTCTTTTTTAAAGTCCAGGATATAATTGTATATCTTATACATTTTTATCAATCGTTCACGATAACAATTTTTATATCGCAAAGCACAGTTTTTATATTGTTTTACTAAAACTGCAACAGCCAAGAAAGCCGTATCCTCATCGAAGTTTTCCATGGCAGTTTTCACGTAAATATAATTCACAAACAGAGAAATATATTAAAATTAATTCAAATATTCAAGAAGAAACAAATACAAATACAAATTTTCAATTTTCTAGGTTATCCCATTCGATCCGCACTACGTATTTTTGACATTTGCATTTGGACGGTAGTTTGAAAATTGCACAGTTCCGCAGTTACGCATCTCCGCAGTTCCGCAGAAATTTATCGTACATGAGGACCGGCCATGGTCTGAAGGATTTTGCTTTTGGGTGACCTCTATCACTATCTTAGAACTTCTCCAAACACATAATTTCTTTTTTAAGGCCGGTTTATTCACCTTTTGATAAACTGTCAAACAATGCAATCTGACGGATGATGACTTTGGTCGGCTAGTTATCTTTGCAGACAGTCACCAGAAAATTTATCTGGAAATGGAGAAACCGGGCCTAAACGTTCTATGGGATTCACATGCTAACTACACCGCTTGCGCGCAAGCAGAATAGCAGTATATCGAAAAGCGAAGACAGGATTGAAAGCAGAAATATATTTTTCTCATTCTTTCTTTATCATCAACGATTCAGAGGCGCCCCCCGAGGTCTGGCGCCTGGAGCGCTCGCTCTGTTCGCCTTATGGTAGGGCCGACCCTGGCTGTCTCTAGATTTAACTAGCTGTATACAGACCTGTCTCTAGACCTGTATAGCTGTCTCTAGGTTTGTCTAGCTGTATACAGACCTGTCTCTAGACCTATATAGCTGTATACAGATCTGTTTCTAGATGAAACGACGATTTTATTATTAACGTCATCATCAGTACGAGGCACGAGGTGTTATGTTTATGCGATGAACCACTATTGGAGTCAGGTACGGTCAATGACCCTGAAGCAGCGGCGGCTGACCAGTTAGTGCGACCGATGAAAGACACGGGCCCTGGAAAGGGGGCGGGACTTATTCCTGGAAATTTTACCCCCACTCCAAAATGGTACAAAAAAGTTGAGAATGAACCTTAGATTTTCTTATGGAGATTTACATGTAAAAATGACCGATTTTGTGCTCGCTCTATCCTAGCATCTTTACTCAGTTTTATATATTTTCATATGGTTCTCCATTCGTAGGTCGTAGAGTACGTACGCTATTGGTATTTTTCTGTTTCTGATTACCTTCTAAACCTTTCCATGTTAGTATGAATTCAATCTTATGCACAGTTTTTGATTAAATCATATAGTTTCCTATGTACAGTTTTAGAATAATCATACAGTTTCCTATTTACCTATATAGAGTTTTTGAATAATCATATAATTTTGTATATAACGCTCGAGTTCGAGGGTTGTGGATCCCACGTATAAAAAACTGTTGCGTGGTTTTTGGTCAATCCAGCCGGAAAATATATGGGGCAAAGCCCCAAAAAAATCCTGGATAGATAAGTTATTCAGAACTTACCCGACGTTTGTTTCCGGCCGACAAAAAATAATAATAATATTCGCAACACAGAAATGCAGATGAAAAACTTTGATTGTTCACGATGATGCGTCCGTATATGCTGACGGTTGGACGAGACGAGAAAAGTTGACCCAAAAAGAAAGAACTAATTCTATATCGGAATAAGATATCATAACTTTTCTATTTCACATAGTTTTAGATCAGCAAAAGTCTCAACATTTTAAAGGGGACTGTAACGTGTAACGAAGTTTCGTGTAACGTGTAACGAAGTTTCTCAAAACATTTTCCAGCCTGAGTGAAAATAGTTTATCAGAAGATGAATAAACCGGCCCTTATAGAGGATACATAAAAAGTGTGAAGCATTATAGAAACTATTATAGACTTACCAACTTATAGTATGGTACATCTTTTTGTGACGCTTCTTCGGCTCTAAAATAGGATAAATAGGTATGTGTTAATATAATGTACAGAAGATTCCTAAGTTCTTAGATTCACTTCCAATTTGTTTCATATGATATCATTGATACTTAGTTTAAAAGTAGAATAAATTTACTAAAATTATTGGCCTGCATGATGTCCAGACCTGACATTTTCCCATTGTTTCACAGGTATCTACTTATTTCAAAAAATAAAAATAAAAATCACTTACTCATTATCTTGTTGAGAATCAGATTTTTGTATGGTCATGATAAAATTTTTCTTTATTAATTCAACCAGAGTGTTTAAAATGGCTTTGATTAAACCGTATTAAATAATAGTTGCACAATAGCGACTTACGACAATCGGAGTTTGCAAAATAAAAAGATTAATGCACCATTTATATATAGACCAGAAAAGTTAACAAACAACAATTATTATTGTTATCTGTCACACATTTATTAAAAACTCGGTTGTAAAATATTCGTTTTCGTTAATTGAAATTTAACATTGACGGAGATATAATTGTTTCTAATTGAAACGTATCAAATTCCATTTTAATCTTTGGTAGTTTAAAATAATGTCTACGGTACTGTTGATTATATTTGGGCAGGAATTAACAAAAAAAAATAAGGTGCTGCATGATAAGTTTTCACTCACTATATGTATGTGAATTATTATGACTTTTTCTGTGGTGTGGCACCAAGTCAGTCTAGTATTTTAGGAGATTTTCTTTTTCCAAAAAACTTGGGGGCTTTTTTTTATTGTAGAATTGAAAATCAAAAACTTTGTACACCAGCGTAGATAGGGCAGTACTGGGGACAGTACCCCCCCCCCCCCCTTGAGAGAGTGGAAACCATAAATCACACCATAATATAAGGAAATAAAAAAATTGAAAAATTCCACTAATAAACTGTGCGATTGCTTTGAACCGTCTTTTTTTTCAAACACCAAAACAAAGCTATTAATTATTATACTGTCAAAAACTATGGGTGAAATTTTCTGCTTCAGGTTTTTCACTATCAGGCACGTGCCTGATTTCGTAGGGACTAAAACTAGGTGTTGAATTGTTGATCAAGAATCAAAGGTATAAAATCTAAAACTGTGAATGAACAAAAAATCTTTATACTTACTTGTTTTTCAAAAACGGTTCACTTTCGTTCGAATCAATCACCTCCATAACTTTTCTAATGAAAATCAAACCAAACAAAATCATATAAACTAAGTACCTAGACTGTTATTACCAAATTACCTATGATTATTGACAAACAATGTATCCTTTGTCTCCAACGTAAATACAAAGGTACTTATTGTTGAATTTATTTCAACAATTATTAATGTGGTGTTAATATATTAAATGGTACTACTGATAGCCTTCTTTTAAAGTTAATGAGCACCTAACTGATACCAATAATTATTTAAATTAACAAAAAAAATAAAATTATAATCATTTTTTATACAAACCCAAAAGTTGGTAATAATAATTAACAATTAAAATTATCCAGAATAATTTTTGGTACTAGATACTTTTAATTGACTGAAAAACAAACAATAAATAGTCTAAATAAAGTTTTATTTTTACAAAAAATAAACCCTAAATCCTAAATCACGAATGCTGCAAAGTGTGCAACCTAAAATACAACCCCCTCTTTTCAATCAGCTCACTGTGAGTGCCTTGCTCAGCTATCACGCCGTCATTAACAACGCAAATAACGTCAGCATCTTGAATTGTAGTCAACCGATGAGCTATAGTCAAACAAGTCCTGCCTTGTTTGGCATTATCCAGAGCCTCTTGGACCACCTTTTCGCTTTCCGCGTCCAGAGCTGACGTGGCTTCGTCTAGAAGCAGCACCTTGGGATTACGCACTAGAGCTCTGGCAATAGCTATGCGCTGCTTTTGGCCTCCTGATAGCTGAGTACCTTTTTCGCCAAGCTTTGTTTTGTAGCCTAGTGGCAGTTTCGTTATGAAGTTGTGTATGTTTGCTTTTTTAGCTGCCTCGATTACTTCAGCTTCGGTTACTTCTCTGGAATTGTCACCGTAAGCTATATTTTCTGCAATGGTTCTGCTGAAGAGATTAGGTTCTTGTGACACTATACCAAAATGAGACCTAGAAAGATGTTCAAATTAAATTCCTATATATATTTATTAATCATGAATTGTTTGCCTGGCAAAATCCAGTGGTATTTTTTTAATGTCGTCGTTGTCCAATGAAACTGAGCCAGATGTGGGATCGTAGAAGCGTTCCAGAAGTTGCACTATTGTTGATTTGCCACAACCACTAGGGCCTACTAAAGCCACAGTTTTCCCTTGCAAAACTGACAAATCCAGGCCCTTGAGCACCGGAATATTTTCTCTCATCGGATAGGAAAAGTGCACTTGTGAGTATTGAAGATTACCTTTGACCTAAAGTTTATCTTTTAATCGATTTGTTGATTAGTTTTTTGAACATACCTCGTGCTTCTCCTCTGAAACATTTTCATGGTTTCTGACTTTGGGAATGCGATTGACTAGCTTCATTACGGTTTTGGCCGATTGCAGGCCCTTTTCCAGATTCGGAGTGAAGGCCAGCGAACTTGCAATTGACATTGTGCCCATAATAAGAGCTTGAGCCACTCTAGAAATAGAAACAAACTTTTGGAGATGATCACAAATAAGATTGAAATGTTTTGAAGATGTTACGATTGGAAACAGAAGGACTTTCAAGAACTTGAGCAGATGATGAAAGTTGGAAGATCAGAATCATCATTCCTTTTCCAGATTTGGAGTGAATGTCAACTGGAAATTGTGTTCATAATATGAATTTGAGCCAGTATGAAAATCACAACAATTATTGAGTAGTTGATGATTGCAAGTCAAAAAAGCTCTGAGAACTTGGAAGATCCAAAACAGGAATATTTTGGGAGAATTTTCAACTTTGAAAGACAAAGACTTATTATTGGACATTGAAGAGCTCCCAGTTGAGAGTTTGAAGAATATATACACAGACTTAGAACTTGGAAGATGTTGACTTTGTGGGAGGTCAGTTAAGTTAGCCCTCCCCCATAGAAAATTTCTGGATGAAAATTATCCCATAAATTTGCTCTCATTTTGCTCCAACTAATTTCGATTTTTGCTCCATTACAGTGGAGAGACTATGTAGCCTATTAGGTAGGGCGGGCTGAATTAACACTAACCCTTAACCTAACCTTAATAAAATCTGATAAAGCAAAATCAGATGAGCAACCGTTCAAGAAAGTAGCTAATTGTTAACCATAACAAACTTATCAAACTATATAATGAATGATTATAGTAAATCTGTGGTTAAAACAGATCTGCCAAATGATATTCATTCAGGATTCAGGTTCCACTATAATCCCGATTCCCAAAGTTGTTGAATCAAAATCTGCCAGTGAAATGTGTCCAATAAATTTGTTTACACTATTGACAAAATTAGTGTATTTGCAACTTGTTGAGTATATAGATCGAAATAAACTATTGAGTGATTTTCAATCAGGTTTCGAGTAAGTCAATATCAGTAGTTAATAGTGAGTATATGAAAAAGTTAATGTAAAACACTTTGATGATAAATCTGTTTCTCCTGACTGTTTGTCAAGATCAGTGCTTAATAATAAACTTGAAAAAGTGTTAAAAATGAATGTAGCACTTTGGTAATAAAACCTTTCCCCTGACAGTGACAGTTTGTCAAGATCGGTGATTAATAAATCCTAATAAATATGATATAAGCCAATTTTAAGCGAATAACCAAACGAGATTGGTTTTTACCATTTGGGATTGGTATTTACCACAACATTTATGCGAATTTGGTTTTTCTTTTGGTTATGACTTCGTGACGTCATGGATCAGCTGTAAAATGTCATACTTATCACCGCAAAATTGCGGTTTTAATCCAGCTCGGGAGTGGTTTTTATTTTGCGGTTAATGGTTATTATTTGAATTGTTGACATTACGTTTTTGGCGGGTATTTAGCAGTTGTTGATTTACCCTATTGACCCTATTTAGGTTAGAAGTTAGATCTTGCCGCTTGGCTTGTTCTGTTTGCTTTTTTGTAGCAGTGTTGCTTGGTATTATCTAGGTACTGTGGCGTAAAAAAAGCGCCAAAAATTATGGATACTTCAGATTCTTTTTCCGTATGCATAAATCATCAAGATATGGATTACCAAATACAGTTTGGAGAGTTAGGAAACATATTAATGGGATTAATAGCCACTAGTATATGGTTTAGATAATATTTTTTGTGTATCAGTTCTTCCAAGTTGTTTTTTCAAATCGGAATAGTTGAAAAAACTGTAAATTGCTATAATTTATCAGCCAGAAATCTGTTTCAATTGATTTCAGTCTCATGTTTCTTCTTTTCTAAAAAAAAATGCAACAAATTGGTAGATTTCCTAAACAAATCAATTATTTCTGCACTATCTTGAAAAAAAAACACATCTCCAAATAAAACGGCAAGTTTTCTCCTCTTCCCCATTTTCCGGCCAGCATGAAATCCAAATTCAAAATATAAACAAATAGCAATAACACAACAAGGGTAACCGCGGTTAATACCAAACGGGTTTGAGCGAATACAATGAAATGACGTCATCAAGTGATCTGCCATTTTGAACCAAAGCGTAACCGCGGTTAAAACCACCAAATTGTGGTTATTCGCTTAAAATTGGCTATAGCTTAATCAGATGAGCATCAATTCAAGCAAGTAGGTAACTGGTTAGTCCTAACAAACTCATTAAACTAAATGATGAGTATAGTAAATCTGTGATTAAAACAGATCTGCCAAATGATATTCACTCATTATTGGTAAATAAAACGTGGTCGTTAGTATCAAGACCCGAATATAAAAATATAGTGGATATTTTCGATTGAAAATGATGAAATTGGAAAACCATTTAGATACAAAGCTCGCTTAGTTGCTCGTGGTATTAGTTAACATTACTTGGTAGATTATAATGAAACCTTTGCACAGGTGGCGAGAATCGTAGGTTTCTGGTTTATAATAACCTTTTTAATCAATTTACCGTTTAAATACATCATATGGATGTAAAAACAGCTTTCCCGGATGGGACATTGAAGGAAGCCATTTTTATGAAGGTTCCTGGTGGCTGGCTCAAGGTGTAACCAGTAAACCTCCTAACCAAGTTTGCAAGGCTTTGTATCTATGGACTAAAACAAACCACTAGGTGTTGGTTTGAAATAATAGTAAGAGTTTATAAAGAAAATGGGTTTGAAATTTCATTAGTTAACCACTGTATTTATATCTTAGAAAAAGGTGCAATATGTAAAATTATTTATGTAGTTCTGTAGATGGTATTTGCCACTGCAGATAATAATACATTGAATAGTTTCGAAAGGTATTTGGCAAATAACTGTTCTATGTTTTATTTGAAAGACAGTAAACTATTTTTGGGTAATAAAATTAAAAGGTAATCAAAAATAAAATTACTCTTGATCAATTTTCATATAGGTACATTTCACATGTACATGCAAACTATTTTACATAAATTTAATATGAATGACTGTTGTGCCATCAGCTGTGTCAGCACTCCACTTCCTAGTAAACTGAATTTGATTGGTTTAAATTCAGAAGAAAAACATGAAAGCCCTTGCCGTAATCTAATCGTCTGTTTAATGTATATTATGTACGTTATGTATATCAAGCCTGATTTAAGTACTACTGTTAATATTTTGAGCAGGTATTAAAACAAAAATAATAAAGAGCTTTGGCGATATTTGAAAAGGGTCCTTAGATATCTTAAGGGTAAAATCAATGTGAAGTTGACACAATATTTTACTTGTGAATATATATAAATTTCTTGAGTGATTCTATTAATCCTGACTAGGAAGGTGGGGATGATGAAATAAACAATATAAAACGCACAACAAGATATTTATTTGAACTGTTTGAAATTTGTGTGATATGTTGGAATACAAAAAGGCAGTTGTTAGTAACGGCATCATCTACTGAAGCCGAATATATGGTTTTTCTTTTTGAAGAGGCTCTTTGGTTAAAATCATTTATAGAAAATATGCATAAATATTAATATTAGAGTCAATTATGACCTAGGAGGACAACAATGGACCTCAATAGGTATTACAAATAATCCAACAAATCACAAAAGATCAAATCATATTGAATTGATTGTAATTAATATAAAATATTAATTTGTCCACAGGGAAACCACTAGCAGACATGTTTACCAAACCATTGATGCAAGTGAAATTTGAGAAATTAGAATAGAATTAGGCTTAGTAAATAAGTTAAATGGTTTGATTAGGTTTTTCTGGGTTTTCCCTAAAACCGAGCAGCAAATGCTGGGCCGTTATTGTAATTTTCCCCAGAAAAGACATACATAAGGAAAGCAGGCCTATTTATGTTATACTAGGTTTAAGTTGTATTACACTTTTAGTATAATTGATCAAATTTTTGAGGTGGCGTGTTGGATAAACTGATATTCATATCAGTGAAACAAAAATTAATAAATGAAACTTTCATTATTAGTCTATACCTTGCTAATTTATATCGCAGCTATGGATGACTGAATGTGTTTATAATAGTTTTTATATGTAAGATAAACAGATGAGGAATCGTTTACTTAAGAAAGGGTTTGTAATTCTTTGTCTTGATGTTGAGTCAGTTCGTATAGTTATTTCTATGAGTTCACACGCTCTGCTTTCCACGCTGTGTTCGATATAATAAATATATTGAATATCGATAATTAACAAGTTTTTGTTTCCTTAGTTCATTTCCCAATACTCTGTAGGTCTCTCCTGGTAATAGAGCAAAACTCACCGATAATGGAGCAATATGGAGCAAAACTCGGAGAACAGAATGAGCATGATCAAATTTCTAAATTTAATTAAACTAGTGTTATTTCAGCCCCCTCCACCTAATAGGCCACATAGTCTCTCCACTTGGAGCAAAAATCGAAATTAGTAGAGCAAAATGGAGCAAAATGAGAGCAAAATTATGAATTATGGGATAATTTTCATCCTGAAATTTTCTATGGGGGGAGGGCTAACTTAACTGACTCTTTTGTGGGTCTTTTACAGATGTTGAAAGTACAAAGATCCACTCTATAAAGCCTCAACAGAAACCGATAATGACGATCTACACAATTTATAAGACAAGAAATTCAAAAAACTAAAAGCTCAAAGACAATAACACTATGGACAAATAATGGATATCCAATTCCTCTATATAGTACTTACTTGAATACATCTCCATAAGGCACTCCTTTATCCCTAATAAGAAAACCACCATAATACAAACAAGTAGAGTAAGCAAACAACATAATGGCCCTGGAAAACCCTAAAATAAAAGCCCTTCCGTGCGTATTCTTCAAGCTAGTTTTAATGTGAGGCTGCAATTCTCTTATGTAAAGATCGTAAAAGGTTTCTTCGCAACCCAGCGACACCACGGTCCTAAAGTTACTGACAGCTTCCACAGCAATCTACAATTAAAGTTTGTAGGTAAGTATATATTTTTTAATCAACAATAGATTTTTACTTTTGTAGATGTTTGCAAAGATTTTTTGTATTCATCATTTTCGCCAGCCATGTTTCTTCTTTGCAAAAATCCGGCTGTAATAATTAGAGGAAAAAAGGACATTGCGACAAGGCCCAGTCTCCATTCGTAATAAGCTGCAATGAATACTGAAAACAGTAACGTAGACATGGAACTAGTTAAAGCTCCAATACGTTGACCTGTAGCCTAGAATTTGAGTCTTAATTAACTCGAGTTTAAGTTCAATTGAGTACTTACTCCTTGAACTTGAGCAGCTTCGTTTGATAGCTGAGCACAAAGCGCTCCGACTCCGTTTTCAGTTCTATCGAAATAAGCCATTTCTTGTCTGAGCAAAGAATCGAACATTTTACTTCTTATTCGCAACGTTAACTTGTGGCCTGCCTTGCCAAACATGTACATCTATAATTATTTCAAGTAAATACCTATGGATAAATAATGCTACTGATATAGTACCTGTAAAAAGGTTGCAACCATTGCACCAAGACCTGCTATAGCGAAATACGAACAATATTTGTTAGTTTCGCTTCTTACATAATCGTGATCAGGACTTTCAAGAACCTGAAATGTATATTGTAGGTATTTGTGGAGTAAGCTGCACTGCAAAACTTGCCTGCAAAATACTACCAAACAGTACTGCAAAAACGGGCATAGAAATACCCATAACGAAAGCCCCTATACTGCCAAGCAAAAGTAAGTACCACTCTGGCGAGTTTAATTTGACTATTGACCACAACGAGGCTTTTTTGATGTAATTGTCGAGTTCAGTTTCATGGTCGAAGATCTACAATATAAATTATGTGATAAAATTGACTCAACAAATTAATTAGTACCTGCCTTCACTGGAGCAATATCCTCATCATCATCATCATCATCATCTTTTGATTCCATATACAACAACTCTCTAGATTTGTCTTTAGTTTCTTCAAACTTTTCACTTCCTTGTACTTGAGTTGTAACTGGAAATCAAATTTAAGTTCTCATATAACAACCTTATAAGCAATTTTACCTAAAGTATAATAGGCATTTTCTAATTTCATAAGTTCTTCGTGAGTACCTTGCTCTACAACTTTACCATTCGAAATAACAACAATCTTATTGGCCCCTCGAATTGTCGATAATCTGTGAGCTACAATAATAGTTGTACGATTTCGGCTGGCCTTGTCTAGAGCGGCTTGCACTTTAGCCTCGCTGTTGGTGTCCAAGGCTGAAGTGGCCTCGTCCAGTAACAAAACAGCTGGATTTCTGACCAAGGCTCTAGCTATAGCTATGCGCTGTTTTTGGCCACCTGAAAGCTGAGCTCCTCTTTCGCCTACCAGAGTTTCGTATCCATTTGGCAAAGCTTTAATGAATCGGTGGGCGTTTGCCATTTTTGCTGCTAGAGTTATTTCGACGTCCGACGCTTCCTTGTTACCGTACCTACCGAGAAATTAATATTGAAAGAATTTAGCTCAAAAATGTTTTACCTGATATTCTCAGCAATCGTGGTACCAAAAAGCACAGGCTCTTGGCTGACAACTCCAATAAATTGACGGTACCACGTCAAATCTAAATCCTTAATGTCGTTTCCATCGATGAGGACCTTTCCATATAACGGATCGTAAAATCTTTGTATTAGTTGAAGCACCGTCGATTTGCCACATCCAGAGCTGCCCACCAAGGCCACAGTTTCTCCTGCCTTGATTTCCAAATTGAGGCCTTGAAGAATCTTAGACAAATAATGGTCAAATATAAGTTTAATAGGTTGGTATCAACTTACTGGTACTTCTGCTCTGGCAGGGTAATGGAAATTAACATCCCTAAACTCAATATTGCCTTTGATGTTCGTCAGCTTTTGCCCGTTATTTTTCGATAAATTTATGGTTGGCAAAGTGTCGATTATATGGAAAATCTTGCCTCCAGCTGCTTTGGCTGTAGCGAAAGCTTCGATAAATGGAGAAGCCATACCAAAACTCATACTGCCCGACATAACACTGAAGAAAACCTTTAAAGAAATATTTAAAACGTCTTAGATTCATACAATTAGTTACCGTCATCATGTTTCCAGGTGTATAAGTAGGATTACCATCTAGCATCAATTTAATACCATACCAAAAGGCGAGGCCATAGCTACCATAAATACAAAACCATAATGCACCGTATCCGATGCCTTCAAACATTGATCTTCTCGTGTTGTTGTTTTTAGCAAAAATTAAGCTTTCGTTGTATCTGGTAGTTTCCAGTTTTTGACCACCAAAAGCCACCACTGTCCTTATCGATGTTAAAACTTCTTCGGCTATGGAGCCTGCTTGAGCGTAGGCGTCTAGTTCTTTTTGAGAGAATTTCGTTGTCAGCTAAAACAATATAGTCAATAGTTGGGTCTACAATTTTATGAATTACTTACAAACGAAATCAATCCGACAGCTAAAAGTGAAACCGGAAGAGACACCAGACAAATAAGTGCTAGTTCCCAGCCTTTAACCAAAGCCAAAGTTAAAGCTGCTACAAAAGTACCTTGCAAACTTATAAATAGTACCACTTTTTCGCCAATACCATCTTCAAATTTATACAAATCACTAAAAAAAAACAAACTCAAATAAAACCTAATTCGTCCAGGCACAAAATCCTTACTCGGCCATTCTACTAGCGAAATCTCCAGAATTATGCATATCGATCCACGGTATATCTTTGTTCAGCAACTTTTCCAAATAGTTGGATCTCAACCTGAAGACTTGCTTGATGGCGATATAATTGAAAATTTCAGCCGTAGTATACGAAGTAATCAAAATACCAACTCCCAATATCGAGTTCCACATGGCAAAATACTTGATTCCGTCCAGAAGAGCTTCTCCTGCTTCCGAACAGGTCGTTGAAGTCGGGTCCAGACAATTTCTCGCGTAATTTACCACTGTATCGGTGAGGCCTCCAAAGAGGACATTGTTAAGAGGCTGGATGCCTCCCGCAACCAGTGCCGAGAAAATGCCGAAGTAGAGGAACCATCTTTCTGGACCAGTTGCGAATCTGTACTGGATTTCAATGGTGATGGATTTTGTTGGATTTTGATGAATATACTTACCAATCCGAGGAATGAAGATGGTTCTATGTGTTCCTCATCCAGGCCATTTTGTTCTTCTGTGAATTGAAACTTTCTGGAAAGTCAACAAAAATATTATCGTTTTTTATTCATTATTGGATGAGCAGTTCAATGTTCAATTTTTTATTTATATCGGCTCTTGATTTGACTCAAGAGCCTGGAATAATCAATCAAATAAATCAGGTTTCATTGTGACAATGTGTTTGTCGCAATCACTTACGCGTCTAATGCTGTTGATTTTTTAACTTCATTTCCATCGCCGTCGTTTTCAGGATTATTTTCAGGTTTTCCTTCCATCCTGGAGCTGAATTTTACAGTTACTGGCTTAGCGTAAACAAATTTAAATTAAATTACTCCGTGACGTTAAAAATCAATCAAAAACATCAACGTTAACTGGAGAGGATTGAATGAAAATTGCTAAACTTTGCTTATTTCATCAGATTTTTAATAATTCTTTTCAATGCAAGATTATGAAAATGGAAATTCATCAATGTTTCATTTAGCTAGAACTTGTTCACTTTATATATTTTACTTCCTTTGAATGTTTTTCAATTTAATCAATATGTGAAACGAAGTTTTTTCACCTGTTTTTCTATCACTTAGCTTTTTTTTTATCAAAATTTCGAGACACTGTAAGATAAACTAAATATTGTTGACTCAAACACACATGCACACTTATTCCTACTGGCATTAAAAACATTTTGAAGTTAATTATTGTTATATCATTTGATAATCATTAGGGTTGTTGAAATTATCAGATACTTATATATAGATAGGATAATCATACTATCAAATTTATTGTATTCTCGAATAATTTGATACGGTTTTTCGTGTGTAGGTAGAGAAAATCAATAAGTACCTACTCATTGTTACAGTTATCTTAATCAAATAATAAAATTTGAATCTATAGGTAATTTCAGCAGAAGAATAATGGTCATCGAGCAGGCAAGATTTAATGCTCATAGACTTTTGGAAATTGTCGAGGACTAAAGCTTTTTGAAAGAGTTTTGGCTTTGAAATTGAAAAACACATTTTGGTTTACTGAATAAATTCAGCAATTTTGAAATTTGATTTGGTTATCCAGAGTCCAGAGTTTATAAAGACTCGGTTATAACTGCACAAACTATAATGTATAATTATATATTCTGAATCAAAATTAAATTATCTTTAAGATAGAATAAGATTCAATTCTCTATATTAAATACTTCTGGAGATATTGAGGCTCAAAGTCAAAACTTAGTTTCAAATTTCACAAAAGATTCAAAGCTGATTTTCTCGAAAACGAAGCCCTTGAGCTCGGAGTCTCAAAAAACCTTTTTTTTAGCTCTTCTCCAGAGCTACAATTGAGCAAAAGATTCATGCCGATAGCTTTACTGGTTTCTCAAATATGGCCCTTTGAAATATTTGAAAATCAAATTCCCATGTATACCCCTTTGGAAAAATTTGAATTTTTAGATTTTTGGATTTTACAATTTTTGACTTTACCAATCGAAAGAGGAGGTAAAAATTAGTGGAAAAGCATTTACGCAACTTTGTTTTTTGGGTTTTAGGGCTTATAAAAAAATAAAAACCTTTTTTCCACATTTTGAGCCCAGAAAATTTCAATAATCTGACGTTGTCTCACAAAATCGCTCATTACTCGGTTATTATTGCAACAAATATGATGTAAAATTATATATTTTAAATCAGAATTAAATTATCCTTAAGATAGAATAAGATTCAATTCTCTATCTTAAATACTTCTGGAGATATTGAGGCTCAAAGTCAAAATTTTGTTTCAAATTTCACAAAAGATTCAAAGCTGATTTTCTCAAAAACGAAGCCCTTGGTTTCGGAGTCTCAAATAACCTTTTTTATAGCCCTTCTGAAAAGCTACAATTGGGCAAAAGATTCATGCCAATATCTTCACTGGTTTCCAAAATATGGCCCTTTGAAATATTTGAAAATCAAATTCCCATGCATACCCCTTTGGAAAAATTTGAATTTTTAAATTTTTGGATTTTGCAATTTTTGACTTTGCCAATCGAAAGAGGAGGTGAAAATTAGTGGAAAAGCATTTACGCAACTTTGTTTTTTGGGTTTTAGGGCTTATAAAAAAAAAAAAAACTTTTTTCCACATTTTGGGCCCAGAAAATTTCAATAATCTAACATTGTCTCATAAAATCGCTCATTACTCGGTTATTATTGCAACAAATATGATGTAAAATTATATATTTTGAATCAGAATTAAATTATCTTTAAGATACAATAAGATTCAATTCTCTATCTTAAATATTGCTGGAGATATTGAGGCTCAAAGTCAAAACTTTGTTTCAAATTTCACAAAAGATTCAAAGCTGATTTTCTCGAAAACGAAGTCCTTGGTTTCGGAATCTCAAATAACCTTTTTTATAGCCCTTCTGAGGAGCTACAATTGAGCAAAAGATTTATGCCTATAGCTTTACTGGTTTCCAAAATATGGCCCTTTGAAATATTTGAAAATCAAATTCCCATGCATACACCCCTTTGGAAAAATTTGAATTTTTAAATTTTTCGATTTTGCAATTTTTGACTTCACCAATCGAAACAGGACGTAAAAATTAGTGGAAAAGCATTAACGCAACTTTGTTTTTTGGGTTTTAGGGCTTGTAAGAAAATAAAAACCGTTTTTTTCACATTTTGGGCCCAGAAAATTTCAATAATCTGACGGTGTCTCACATAATCGCTCATTACTCGGTTATTATTGCAACAAATGTAATGTAAAATTATATATTTTGAATCAGAATTAAATTATCTTTAAGATAGAATAAGATTAAATTCTCTATCTTAAATATTTCTGGAGATATTGAGGCTCAAAGTCAAAACTTTGTCTCAAATTTCACAAAAGATTCAAAGCTGATTTTCTCGAAAATGAAGCCCTTGGTTTCGGAGTCTCAAATAACCTTTTTTATAGTCCTTCTGAAAAGCTACAAGTGGGCAAAAGATTCATGCCAATATCTTCACTGGTTTCCAAAATAAGGCCCTTTGAAATATTTGAATTTTTAAATTTTTGGATTTTGCAATTTTTGACTTCACCAATCGAAAGAAGAGGTAAAAATTAGTGGAAAAGCATTAACGCAACTTTGTTTTTTGGGTTTTAGGGCTTGTAAGAAAATAAAAACCGTTTTTCCACATTTTGGGCCCTAAAAATTTCAATAATCTGACATTGTCTCACAAAATCGCTCATTATTCGGTTTTTATTGCAACAAATATAATGTAAAATTATATATTTTGAATCAGAATTAAATTATCTTTAAGATAGAATAAAATTCAATTCTCTATCTTAAATACTTCTGGAGATATTGAGGCTCAAAGTCAAAACTTTGTCTCAAATTTCACAAAAGATTTAAAGCTGATTTTCTCGAAAATGAAGCTCTTGGGTTCGGAGTCTCAAATAACCTCTTTTTATCAAGATAAAATTCAGTGAAAATTTCAGCTTTCTATCTATAATAGAAAAAAAGTTATAACCTTTCAAAGTTTCCCAAAATCTAAATCATAAGATGTGCTTTATGGGTTTGCAATTGGGTTGCTTATGACCGTATGCATTTTTCCGTTTCCTATTTGGTTACCGCTACATGGCTTTAGGACTTGTAAAGTTATATCTGGCATCGCGTTTCCTATTAGGCCAGCGCACATTATCTTCCGCTACATGGAGCGCTAATCATATAGGACTTGTTAAATTGTATCTGACGCACAGTGCCGCGACTTTATGGGAACGGGGGACAAAAATCATTATCTCTAGTTCTGCTCCACCGAATTAAAAAATTTAAAAACTGTTTAATGGGTTGGAAATTTAACTTCATTTTTGACAGTTATTTGAGGGCACAGTGACTCATCCACCATTTTTATAAGTGAAACAAAAGTTTATTATTTTTCTTTTTAAAGCCACAATCTTATTTCTAGTGACATGCAAAAAAGGACAGAGAATCCAAAATACATATTTTTATTTTCATAGATTTTTTGTACCTTTTAAAATATTTAGTATGCGTTTTATACGTACCCAATTAAAAACTAAACCAAAGAAAACACTGTAAATCAAAAAACAACCTAACTATATAAAATGCTTTAAACCAAATATTGAAAATTGCATTAGAATTACCTAACTACTTTAAAAAAGTAACTTAATCAGAATCAGATTCGGACAATTCATAACCACTTATATTGGACATAGTAGTTTCTGTTTTAGGAATGAAATACTTTTGAACCTCTTCATCGTCTACTCTAAAACTTTTTTTAGTTTTAATTGCTCTTGTAGTTGATATAAGTGGTTCAGAAGTTATTAACAACCTCACCATTAAATCTTTGTTAGAACTAACTCTAGAGCATTTTCGAGTATGAAATAATCGGTGATGTCTTGCTTTTTTGTGTCTTTTTGCATAAATTTAATGCATACAAACTATAATAAATGAAAATACTAAAACAAAAATAGTTAAAAGTTTTGTTTTTGTCCATGGCTCGCGGCATTGTGTGACATCGCGTTTCCTATTAGACCAGCGCACACCCTCTGCGATCATCTGCATCCATTGCACTACAATCCATTTCATTATCGTAATTTTTTTAGGTTAATTGGTGGATACAGGTGATGCAATAATTTTGAGAATATCATATATCATACATCTGTCAAAACTGCCATTCCAACAATAAACTGACATGTTTTGATTGTTGATTTAAACCAATCAGAAGTAACTGGTGGGAGAACTGGTGTTTTGAAATTTTTTGACAAAAAATTTAAATTTTTGATTCATAAAATACAACTCGTGCAATGGAAATTTTTTTAATTTTTGACAAATTTGCACTCATGCGTTTTAAACTGAAAAAGGCACTCGTGCACTACGTGCACTCGTCCTCTTTTTCAACTAAAAATGCATTCGAGCACATTTCCCCAAAATTATCGATAATTTCCATTGCATTCGTGATATTTTACTATTGAATATTTCTCGTTGTGTCTCGTTTTATTATTCTGTGTATTTTGGCATTATGGAAGAGATAATTAAAGAGTTTGATACTACGTGTCAATCTAAATCATTGCTTTGCACATTCCATGGTTTTCAAGCAGTATGACGCTGGTTAGGGGACAGAAAATTCGATGCTTCTTTTCCGAGACGTGCTATATGCACAAAATGAAATTGATAGTGAATTAAACAAAACGTCACTGAGCGAAAAAATTATAGCAAAAAAATACCAACTATTTATTTCTAGAATATTTTAGCGATTTGTGGAAGAGGAGACATGAGTGGTGTCATCATTTTCGGAACGAGTATAGAACTAGAGGCTACAATACCGACAATATTGTTGAGGTATCTATACGCATATTCAAAGACTAGGTTTTACAGAAATGCAAAGCATTTAATGCAACCTCATTGGCAGATTTTGTATGCTTTTCTCTAGAAGAGTTTTACAAGCAAAAAATAATTTCATTTGTGAATGCTGGAGATATGAAGCTTCATATTTTGAAAAGTTTTGTCATAAATCTGATATTTTTATCTTGTCCTGGGACAAGAGGTGAATTTTGCAAGCACCTTTGTGCAGTTTATAATTCGGGTGTTAATTTGATAACCACACTCCATTTCTTGATTCTTTGCCAGAAGGTCAGAAGGATATTACTAAGCCTATGCAGTCTGGACCCAATGCAATCCTCAACTACGAGCCTATTAACTCCAATGTCCAGTCATTTGAGGAACATATAGGTACACAAGTATTAGGGAAAAATCGTGCAAATAATAATATCACCGCAGAATATCCTAAAGAACTAAAGTCATTGGAAGAAAACTTCAAAAAACTGAACATGCAAACATATGCTAAAGAACATGAAAGAACTGAATGCTAAAATTAATAATATTGAAAATGAACAGGGATTTTATATTTGTTCCGTTGTAGCAACCAAAAAACAAGGACGCCGGATCAAAGTACAAGTACAAGCAACTTCGATTGCACCTCGTGCAGAGAGAAAGAGGGCTACATGCAGGCTGTAGAGCGATACAAGCAGGTAGACCATCTAATGCCGAAAAGTTACAAATTATTATTATCAATAAAAACCAACCTAATGTCAAAATTCATGTAACAGCATGATGGTTGGAAAGATGAGCGTAGTTATTAAATTTATGTGCGCTGGCCTAATAGGAAACGCGATGCCAGATATATTTTTACAATTCCTAAAAGATTAGCGCTCTATGTAGTGGTAACCAAATAGGCCACAGACATAATGTCACAGTGCACAGAAAAGTTCAAAATTTTCGTTTGCAAATCACAATGATCAATGGAACGCATGCTAAGCATCTGACGCTAAACAAGAAATGGCTGAAAATTGGTCATATCGTAATCGTAACATAATAGGTCTGTTCCAACACAGCAGGAAACCGTACAATTTATCGTCATGATTCTGCGCAAACTGTAAAATTTGCGCGTAGAAACTGAAATTCGTTCACTGATTGGTTTCGAAACCGTTCATGGGACGGTTTTTGATGTGTTGGAACAGACCTAATGTCAGATCTCAACTTCTCTGGAAATGTATTTGTGGTTAAATAAATATGTATTTACGAGTTCAATAATTTTACTCACCAACTGCAAATGTACTCGAAAACAATGAAAATACCCGGGTATAACAAATGTATTTAAGTAAAAACGCATGTACCTACGCGGGTATTTTGAAAATTACTTAATACAATAAAAAGTACCGGGTACCTATTTTTTATATTCTTGAGTAATCCAAGTACGAGTACAAGTACGCGATTCAGAAAGTATCTTGGCCTGAGTACGGAGTAACTAAAAATATACTTAGAGTTCAAATGAAGAGTACTCGTACCGTACCCGAGTACTGCACAGCTCTGAAGTCCATCAGGATATCGTCAATTTTCAATCGCGAATTTTTTCTTCGGGTACCTCGCTCAAAAACGTTTATTTTTCTTCAATAAAAATAATTTATTCAGTTCAATGGGGGTGGGTTCGAACCCCCAAAACCCCCTCCTTGTATACGTCCTTGACAAGAACTTCATGCAGTCTCCTATTTAGTGCAAAAACACCAAATTATGGTGGAAACTATGGAGTTTGGGGGATCCCAAAGGACCATTGAATCACAAAATCTCAACAGAAAAAAAAAATTGGGATTTTATCGGTTTAGTACTGAGGTACTGGTACTGGGAAACTTTGAAAGGTCAAAACTTTTTTTCTATTTATTATGAATAGAAAGCTGAAATTTTCAGCGATTCTCATTTCGGTAGAGGACTACAATCCCTCAAAATTTCAGCTTTAAAGGTATAAATTTAAAAATTGTGAATGTTCGAAGACGTCAATCCAGCCTAAGAAGACTTTTATTTACAATAGTTTATTTAATGAATGAATATTCTCTTTTTACAAAAGTTGCTAATCATTTCCTTATCTTATAATTGAATCAATTGGCTTGAACATTACATAGTGCGGATTTTATGCCTTCATGTAATTGGAAATTCAGATATTCGAGTGAGGTCTCAAAAATACAGAAATCTTCAACATTCGACCATAAATTTGATCTAGCCTCATTATAATGCACACACAAAGCTCAACTAATTCAATCATAACAATATAAATAATGTTTTCAGGAAATAAGCCCCAATCTAGATGTTATTTATTTATAACAATCACATCAATGTGCATCAAACTGTAAAATAATCATAATTCAAATTTATATTAAAATAGTATTAATATGAGTGCCGCAGTCGCAGGTACGGTCATCGGACTGTCTTTGTTGGCCGCTGGAACCATTTTCACTATTTCAAGTGAGTTTTTTTCAATTTCCATGCTTGCATAGTAATTTTCCAAGTGTTGTAGAAATCTTCGAAGGATCTTCTTCCAACGAAGTAGACATTGGGGGACAAATTGTAATTGATCCAAATGGTCCAGAAGTGCAATTTGTTTTATTCACTAGGTGAGTATAGATCTTATTAGCCATGAATGTTCATATTGCTCCCACAAATAGCTGTGAAGCTTATTCCAGAAATCGACTGGATTTGGATCCCAGACACTTTTGTATACTTAACCTCAAATTTTCCAGGAACAACACTCCATATCTACTAAGTCCAGAAAACAATGCAACATTCAACAATTCCGGTTTCGATTTGGACAACCCGACCAAAATCGTTACTCACGGTTTCATGAGCGGCATCAAAAATGACGTTTTCACCTCAATCAGAGACTCTTATCTAGATTCTGGATATTACAACGTTATCGGCATGGATTGGTCGGCACTGTGCCAGACCGAGTACGTATCGGCGATGCGGGGCGCCAAAATTGCCGGTCAACATTTGGGAGACTTCATTAATTGGTTGTCGTTGAATCAAGTTCAGCTGGAAATGATTCACTTGATTGGACACAGTTTGGGTGCTCACGTCGCCGGTATTGGAGGCGATTTGGTTCGTGGAGGACGAGTTGGGAGAATAACTGGTAAATGGCATTATTGGCGTTCTAATTTGATATGATTTTTTCCAGGTTTGGATCCAGCAGGTCCAGGTTACGGCGACGTTCGCGAAGATCATCTAAAACTGGACCGACAGGATGCGAAACTGGTGGAAGTGGTTCACACTTTTATGAAAGTTATCGGTACGGCTAGGCCTTCTGGGCACGTGGATTTTTATCCGAATGGTGGCCAGTTTCAACCTGGATGTCCGGAATTGACAAGTTGTGAGTAGATTTCAGTCAGTCGGATTCTTAAGAAACTTTTCAATGTTTCTAGTGAAGGTTGCAGGCAGTATTTTTTGTAATCATGGAAGATCGTTCGAGCTCTATGCGGAATCCATTAGGAATCCTTGGGCTTTTAAGAGTTACAAATGTAAATCGCTTGGTGAGGCTTTGCAGGGTGAATGTTTGCAGGAAACTGTTGTTTATATGGGACAAGAGGAAACGTATGAGTAAGTTTTGGGTAATTATTGCTACATAAATCAAAAATTATTGTTTCAGGAATGGGTTGTATTATTTTAAAACCAGGAGTGAAAAACCGTTTTCGTTAGATGGAGTGGAACCCAAATTGAATACTCACAATTGACTTGGTTTTTATTGAAAAGATACATTATATCGTCTTAAATATTAAAAAGATTTATCTATATATTGAAGATTGAAAATAAAAATATCCCTTAAACATCTAAGATCATATTATTGATATGAAAATGCACCGTTTATGTGTATATAATAATAGGAATTTGAATGTAAATTAAAAAAGTCAGCTTTCTGTACAGTTGGCACTAATTGGTAAAATATTTTTTTGGATTAAAATATCAAGAAGAAAAAGTTACACTCGATTACAATAATAATTGTTTTAATATAATATTGTATATTGCTTCTTAAAACTATGTTTGAAACTTTGTAAATTTGTTAAAACAAAATAGATTCTTGTATAGTTGTTTTTAATCTAAATAAATCTAGCCATCGATTTCTAGATTCTACAAACTTATCCACTTAAATATACATATTTTTGGAAGATATTTATTGAAAGTTATATAATGTTTTGTCAGTTAATTTTAGTAAACACTTTGCCCTTGGTGTTTTCAACATCAGATTTAAGCCACTAAAAAATTCAAAACCAACGAAGCACATACAAAAATCTTTTGGACATCGCATACTAAATCCAGCTTACAAAACTATATGTACAATATTATCTAAAGAGTGCTTAAATATAAATAGGTATATTGATGTTTCCTTTAATTATATTGTAAAGAAAAACTGAATGATTGTTGGTATACAAAAAATGAATGGCACACTTTTTCTTAGGAAATACTACAAGAATTCCTTTTGCCGTGTTTATCTCTGATTTGCTGTAGATGTTGCAATTGGACGGCGGAAGGTATCATTGGTGCTGCTGCAACGTGAGACGGAGTTGCAGGTCCAGATGGTCCTGTGGGTAGAGACTGACGTCGACGTCTACGGAGAGCAGGAGACAGATTGTATTTGACCTGAAATATTCATCTACAATAACTTGTTTCAGTCAGAAAGTCTAAAGAATGCGACTTGTAACTTGGGCTTGTACCTACAGAAAATACAGCCAAACTTCATAATTGATTTTTTTTTACTACTAACCTGATGAGTAGTCATTATTCAATCAATTTTCTTGGGAAAAAATTGAATTTCTCTCCCTAGCTTAATAATGAAAATAATGAAAAAAAACCTAGGTCAATAATGAAAATGACGTCATGATATTGTACCAAGTTTCTATTGGTTTAAATTTCAATTTCAAACTGCCAATTTAAGAAAAAACAGGAAATGTTTCCGGATATTTTTTTTTTCATAAACATGAGACCCTATAGTAGTATTGGGCAAGTAATCCAGTAGAAAAATTGAAAAAATGCGCAGTAGATTTTTCGCTAATTAATTTCTTGTAATGACCCAGGAAAAAAGACCCGTAATTTACTGTAGAAGTTAAATGTAATCAAATAATCAAAAATTGAATTTCCGGTATTTCAAATCAGTATCGATAAATTGAAAATTAAACAAATTAGCGTTGACCCCAAATTAATAAAATTTTAACGTATATAAATAATTTTTATTTATTTAGTCACCAAGCGTGATGTCATCTCCTAAATCAAATCAATGATTTTATTAAAAGCGAGGCCAAAGTAATTAAATAGGTGAATTATGGCCCGCACGTGTTTGTCAATTTTCTTTGAGATGTCCTCACATTCTTATACAAAATCTGTTGACCCCGATAAACTAGGAAATTGCGACATAATTATTCGATTTTAAACAAATAAAAGAGGAAGGTTATTGAATGATGAAATTTAAAATTTCTGGGGGAACGAAACATATAAATACAGTGGTTTTAGAAGTGGAGGAGCAGTTATCAGTTCAGTTTGAGTTGTTAATTCAGTCCAGTTTGAGTTTAAGTCTACAGTACCTAATGGGTCAGTGCAGATAAAATTCGCGGAGAGTTTCTTTTATTTTTGCCTCGGGAAAACGCGTTTGATTGAATCTTTGAAAAAGTAACGAAAAATTGTAAAAGAAAGAACATTTTAAGTCGTTCAACATTATATGCGTGCTCTAGAGATTTTTAAAATAAATTTATTAAGTATTTTAACGTGTGAAAATTTGAGTTGGGAAAAATAGAAGTGGCTGTCAGAATAGAAAGATATTTGCTTATTTAAAATTTTCGTTTTAAGTATAATAAAATATAATTTAGTAAACTTAAATAGTTTGTTTCTCTCTTTTGCGAATAGACCCCCTCCACAATTTTACAGGTAGCTGCTCAAGGAAATAAACACCATCAATATACCGCTCGCCATTTACCATCTAACTAATTAAATAGAGTACTTGAGTGCATTTTGCTGCATTCTGATGCACTTAAGTCACGTTTTCAAGAAAAACAGAAACATTGAAATATCTCAAAAACTATTTGAGTTTTACATTAGGCAAGTTACGGTTAAATTTACTCTTTACCTCATCCCCTATCACATCTCCAAAGGAATGTATCGAATCACCAATAACCCTGTATTATCAGAATATAAGAAGTGAATGAAATGAACACTAATATTGCAACTACAGAACACGAAATTATAGCGTTGACCGAAATATGGTTAGATGACAAAACCTTTACACCAAAAATAGTGGGGGGGTTTTACAATGATATCTGGGTTGACAGAGACAAATAGAGAACGGGAAAAAAACTAGGAGGTGGTTCAATGCTACTTATCAGAGATTGCCAACATATAGAATTTAAGGAGAGAACCATAGACTGCAATGTTCCAGATCTAGAAATTCTACTGTGTGACTTTGTTGTGCATGGAGTAATGTTTACAATTTGTGTATTTTACATACTGCCTGGGAAGGCTACAGCAGTGTATGAGGATATTTTTGAAGATAAAATCATATCAAACTATTTCAATAATAACTGTATAATAATTGGTGACTTGAATGTACCGCATCTGGATGATTGTAAACATCCAAAAACAAAAATGTGTAGTGACTACAGAAATTTTAACCAAGAATAACAAGGACTTACCAAACAACCATCCCAGGAGAGACCATCAATCAGGCAGCACAACCAGGAACTTTAATTAAAACTTATCTGAACATCGATATCCAGAAATTATTGAAAGCCGATACCTTTCCTCTCAAAAATGACCAGCCAATAGGAATTAAACAAAATGACCTACATTGGGATGTGAATAAAGCAAAAGTTCATGGACCTTTTTTAACAATTAACATTCCAAAGGAACCAAATTCCTAGAAGGATCCATAAATCAGGCACGAGCCTATATGATGATACCCACTTAACAAACCACTTAGCGACGCCCTGGATAATCAATTAAAAGGGGACCAAATACACTAATTGATCGGATGATTCAACCACGAAAAATCGAGATCAGCAAAAACAAAGAAATTCAAGACAATGGAAGGACCAATGATACTTTGACAGGAGAAAATCAGTGTTCGAGAAAGAGCAAGTAAACGAGTAGAGCTACTTTTGTAAACCAGTGTTCGGTTGAGTAATTAAGAAACAAGTAGTAATCGAGAATCCTGTGTCCAAAAAGTCAGAACTACGGCGTGAAAGAGTTGTCGAATTAGCCGAGAGAAGAAGCACGACGTGAAATATAACAGCGCAAAAATATTCAAGTTTTTTATTAATTGTTCATAATTGAAGTAAATTCCTTTGACCATTAACAATTCCTTGTAATTAGGTATGGCCAGCAATAAATATATTATTGTTAAATATAAGTAGAGTTTTTTTTTTATGTTCAGCCAGAAATTGTGAATGCAAGAGTGTGAGTCGAGTCAAACTGTAAATAAAAATTTAATAACATAAAAAATGCAAATGGTAAAATATCAGATGATTCAGATGTATTAGCCTCAAATGTAAGTTGTAAAGTATAGAAGTCAGAAGAACTTCTTGTATAGGTTGATGAACATCATAATCCACTGCTGGTCGTATTAGACTTGCAGATAATACAGAACAAAATCAAACTTGGAGATAATGCACAATATAATTTCAAAAAAAGCAAATCTCCCAATGATGTATCAACTTTTGCTGGAGATGAATTGGAATATTCTGTATAGGTGTTGTAAAGCAGATGAGGCTTTATGAAATATTTGATATGACTGTTCCTAAGACAATTTTCAGGGTGAATAAATATCCACCATGGTTCAACAGAGAGATCAGTGATATTAAAGCCAAAAATAGAAATTGAAAACGGGTATTATAAATTGTCAGACTGATTATGATAATATAATAGATGCTCTGAAAGTAAAGATTGAACAGGCCAAGCAAGTTAACATTAACGAGTTGGAGGGAAGTATAATAGAGAACAATTCAAACGCGTTCAAATTTATCAACAGCAAAAGAAACTGCTCACGTATACCAGGCAACATGGTGTACAACGACAATGTTGTCAATAACTCAAATATTGCTGAAACATTTGCTATTTTTTTCAAAAGTGTATATGCACCAGCTGACAGCGATGAGAGCATTGAAACACTCTGTATGACTCAGTTGTTAGGCTCCAGATTTGGAGTAAGTGAATAAGAAGTCATGAATGCTTCAAATAATACAAACTATGGGACTAGATAACGTTCCAGCTTTTGTAGTAAAAGACTGCAAGTTTATTTTCGCGCCAATACTTACTACATGAAAGAAGGAAAATATCCAGAAATTTGGAAGTTGAGCAAGGTCTGTTCAATCTTTAAAAAGGGCAATAAGTCTTGATATAGAGAATTATAGAGCAATAAGTATATCGCCCAACTTTTCAAAAGTGTTTGAATCAGTGTTGTACATTCGTATTCTTTCAGAATGCTCAAATGACCTCGCATCAGAGCAGCATGTATTTATGTAAGACAAATCAACATTCACAAACCTGATAACCTTTACCCAATATATATGTCAGATTTCTTGAGTTGTTCAGAGATGTCCATGTGGCTTACCTATGGATTTTAGAAAGGCCTTTGATAGAGTCAATAGAAAAATACTAATTGATAAATTAATATAGGCGAATTTGCTATATGCCTTAATTAGACTGATTAGGTCTATTCTACATAAAAGTCAACAAATTGTTGTTAATGACAATTACAAGTCAAAGCCCTACAAGTCTACATCACGAATACCTCTTGGGTCAAATTTGGGCCCACTGTTATTTATTATATTTATAAACAATAACAACGTAGTGCAAATGGTTGAGCATTCAAACATTTTAATTTATGCGGATGATATTAAAATATATAGAAGCATAAGAAATATCAATGATTGTCAAAATCTACAAAGTGATTTGTGCAAATTGTATCAATGGTTTGTGGATAACAAGTTAGCAGTTAATGTATCAAAGTGTTTTACAATGAAATTTACAGTACAAAATAGACAAAATCAAGTAGAATATGATTACTTTTCAAGTAAGATTATAGGGTTTATCTATTGTAACACAAAAAATATGGGCATTTCTACAGTCTTGTATATGATTCACTAGCTAGGACAAAGCTAGAATATGCATCAGTTGTTTGGGACCCATGTTATCAGAGGTGAATCCATGCAATAGAAAATTGTCAAAAAAAATTTTTGAAAAGATTACACTTTAGGAAATTCGGGATTTACCCAGTTGATGTACCATATGATGTGTTGTGTATCCAACATGGTTACAGTATGTTAGATGTAAGAAGCAAATATTTTAACGTAATGTGTTTGTATAAACTTTTTCCTTATCATGTGAAAGATGAATATCTGTTGAGCCTGATAAATATACCTAAGAGTACCAGATTTGAAAACTAGACAGTCACAGATATTGACTTATGATACACCAAGAACAAATAGGCAGTTTACTTCACCTATAGTAAGAATGTGTAATATAATCAATGAAACAAATTGTGATATTTTTTAAAGTAAAATAATTTTATTTAAGGAGGTACAAAGTAGAATAGGATGTTATGTTAGGGTTGTTGGGTAGATTGTAGTTTTAGACATTCTCTGTAAATGCAAGATGTAGAGGATATTGAATAAATAAATAAATAAAGGACCCTGGCCTAAACTATACGGAGATTGTGTTTATGTCTGAATTAGCTGAATTTTGTATATAATGTAGATCACGCCTTCCTGATTAAAAGTTACCATTGCAAGTATTCTGAAAAATGATTCCTTTTTGAGAAAATTAATTCCATAGTATTCATAGGTAGCAAGTAAAACGCTTGGACATTATAATGAACGTACCATCGCCACCAAAAGTATCTGGGACACAAATAATGCATAATAATCTCCTGGACTAATTCTACTGTCATTCATTTCAATGCATTTAATGCATAGTTTGACAAATATTTGACAATAAAATTCATATAATAGGACAAGAGCTAATGTGATGCTGTCCCAGTTACTTTTGGTGACGATGGTACATACAAATAAGTGGATTATTGCAGAACTTGTGGGTGGACCTCTGCGGGACGAGCGCAGCGAGTTCCGCAGCCATCTACTCACCAATATACTGTTGAACTGTTCAAATAAGACACTCACCTGAAACGTGTAGTTTTTGAACTAATGAGAAAAATTCACAACTGAGTGAATCAGGTTAGTATTGTACTTGAACAACATATTGGTGAATAGATGGTTGACTCCACCCATAAGTTCCGCAACAATCCACTCGTTTGTACTTAAATAACTTCTCACATTATGTTACTATTTTGGTAAAGTAACATTACTAATTCCTGTCGAAAGGCAAATTGACAAAACGTGGATAATCTTACAAATTCTGATTTTATATAATAAGTTATTATTCAAGTACAAATAAGTGGATTCTTGCGGAACTTATGGGTGATCTCTGCGGGACGAGCGCAGCAAGGTCCGCAGCAATCTAATCACCAATATACTGTTGAACTGTTCAAGTGAGACTTTCACCTGAATCGTGCAATTTTTAAACTAATGAGAATAACGCACATTTGAGTGAGTCAGTTTAGTATCGTTATTAAACAACATATTGATGAATAGATGGCTGCGGAACTCGCTGCGCTCGTCCCGCAGAGGTCCACCCATAAGTTCCGCAACAATTCATTCATTTGTACTTGAATAACTTGTCACATTATGTTACTAGTTTGGTAAAGTAACATTACTTATTCCTGTTGACAGGCAAATTGACAAAAAGTGAATAATCATAATCTTACAAATTTTGACTTTACATAATAAGTTATTGTTCAAGTACAAATAGTGGATTATTGTGGAACTTATGGGTGGACCTCTGTCGGACGAGCGCAGCGAGTTCCGCAGCCATCTTCTCACCAGTATACTGGTGAACTATTCAAATAAGACACTCATTTGAAACTTGTAGTTTTTGAAGTAATGGGAATAACTGAAATTTGAGTAAAGCCCGGGACACATCTATCATACAGTCTTCCGATCCGACTCCGATCATACAATCAGGGTCCTCATTCTTGGAACATGGAGCAGCGTTCCCAGGAGAACGAGTGTTCCGCTGCTCCCCTGTTTCAAGAATAAGGACCTTGATTGTATGATCGGAGTCGGATCGGAAGAATGCATGATAAATGTGCCCCTGAACAACGTATTAATGGATAGATGACTGCGGAACTCGCTGTGCTCGTCCCGCAGAGGTCCACTCATAAATTCCGCAACAATCCACTCGTTTGTACTTAAATAACTTGTCACATTATGTTACTACTTTGGTAAAGTAACATTACTAATTCCTGTTGAAAGGCAAATTGACAAAAAGTGGATAATCTTACAAATTCTGACTTTATATAATAAGTTATTCTTCAAGTACATACAATGTAACACAAATAGGTAAAGCTTGTGGCGCGGTGGTGTGCTACGTATAGTAATTTTTCAGGATTGGTGCAGTGATAACTTTTAATCAGAAAGGCGTGATCTACATTACATACAAAATTCAGCCAATTCTGACATAAACACAATCTCCGTATACTTTGGGCAGGGTCCTTTGCATTGGTTTTGTATGCCAGTAAAAATGACAATTTTTCGCACACACACTTCGGTTTTACGTCGTTTTTGCTCGACCAGATTTGCTCGTCGAACAAATCCTAGCAACAAAAACGCAGTCTGTGGAGCCCTTTAGACCCTAAATACGATGCAATCATCCTCCGAGGCCGTCAAACATGACGACTAAATACCACGAGGTAATCATACTCACATATTGTTAATATTACTACTAAATATTAAGATTTAAAGAAAACTTGCTAGAACTGGACAAAAATAAACCGGTTTCTTTGAATTATTTTTTTATTTGGATGCAACTCTCACTTCTTTTACAGACTAACGAAGGTGAAGAGTTTTCCAAAAAAAGTTTCAATTTATTGGGCAATTTTCTCTGGGTAAATTTTAACTGAATAAGTATGGGTACAGAAAAAGCAAAAGAGGTGAATGAAAAGATAGTCATGAATTTAAAATGATCAAAGAATCAGAAATAGTAATGGAAATATCTACAAAGCATCAACTATTGATAATTACCTTTGCTTGCGTCAAAAGTTCCTTGAAAACTTTACTAACATTTACGTTATCTTTCGCCGAAGCCTCAACGAATCCATTTTCCCAATCAACAGTGACCACCGATTCCGTTGTTGCTGTATCAACCTAAAAAAAACAGGAAAAGGGTAAGAATCTATAGAAAGCAATTATGTTGGTTCTATAGCCCTAATAAAATAAATTTTATTGTTTTGTCCAATTCTAAACCAATAAAATAAAGGGCCATTAAAATTAGGGGCCCTTCAAGTTGGAATTGTAAACCAAATTTTTTTTTTGTTATTGGCACTTTGTAACTTTTAATGGAGGACAATTCGTCATAACAATGTAAATTGACAAAAGACTCGAGTTGTTTACAAATACCCCCATCATAATACATCATTCTAATTGCCTTTTAATTAATCAACGTTAATTAATAGTAAAAGGGTTTTTGGCTCTATTGGCAACGTTACAAGGGCCTTATGAATATATTTTTTGAGTAGGTAGTTGAAAACTTTTTCGATTTAAGCAATTCGCCCTATATACCGAAGTAAATATGAAAACTTTTTTGATGTAAGCTTAAATTCAATTTAAGCTCAAAATGAAAATGTGGAAAAACCTAAAAAGATTCAAATTAATCTTGTCAAGGCTATTACCGAAAAAATGTGTTTGGCCCAAAACAGCCTTTGCGACAGAATGATTAATTTACCTGCGGCCCTTTAAAAGAAAAAAAAAAAGGGGAAAAATAACAGCTTTCCTTTGGCAACTCATTCGCCACTAAGAATTACCTCTCGGTCTCCAGTCAAATCGATTTTGTTACCGACAACTACGATGGGCACGTTGGTTGAACATTTCGTCTCGTGAATTTGGTCTCTTAAAGCTCGGGCTTCCTCAAAAGTATTGGAATCAGTTACGTCGTAGACCAGGACGAAAGCGTCCGCCGAAGATATACTCAGGGCCCTCATCGCTGGAAACTCGTATGCACCCGATGTGTCCAAAATGTCCAAGATCAAATGGATCTGGAACAAAATTGGTGTATAAATATTTATGAAATGTACACACAAAATAGAGCGTCTATTTGTCTGCTACCCCTCTGAAAATCGATATACTCTTATGCAAAGTTGGAGTCTGTACTAATTTCAAAACACTGAATCTCGCTTTTTTCTATGGAGGGCACTTGAGCCACTTGACCCTTTTTTTCGAAAGGTGCCCTTTTTAATCAATATCACTTGAATACAAGTGTTTAGAAATAGAGCTTTATCAAATCCCGAGTGAACGAAAAATGTGCCTTACATATATTGAATAATAAAAATGATGTTTTTTGGGTATTTTTTCTTTATACAAATTGATAAAAATCATTTTAAATTTGCCTCTGCGGAGAAATTGCATTTACTTATATAGCAGGAAAATTTGTTTAAAGTAGATTGAAGTTGAGTAGCAAAAGATTCAGTAATCTCATTATCTTACTTCCGTACTTGTTTTAAAATGTTCTCCTATTATATCTGCATCCAACATCAACGAACAAAGGAGAATGGAGTATAAAATTATTAGATTGGATAGTAGAGACAGTAGTGGTAAAGAAAACATGATTTCAAAAACGTGGAAATTATATTTTTCTCACCGCATTCCTTGAGGCTATTTTATCTTCTGGAACAGACTACCAAAATGATGAATTTTAGAATCTTATGTATGATACAATTTTGGATATTTATAAATAATAACTACGTTTATTTAGCAAAAAATAGGCAGTGCTCTGCTAGTTTCTATACCGTGGCCCTTGAAAAAGTTTTCTAGCGCAGGTTGGCCCCTGAGCTCGAACTCCAGAAAAACGGGATAGGTAGCATAGTTTGTTGTGGTACATCTTGCATAACTGCAACCCGGTGCCTGTTATTCGTCTAATTTTCTGGGTATACTCATATTCTGATATAGCCATGTAAAGTATGTTATGCTCTATCGTACAGGTTGGCCCCTCCCATGCATATAAGGACTTGTCAGCAATTCGAACAGCCGCCAATTATGGTTCTTCTACCTTATGGGGATTTTGATGTGTACAGTTAAAATGTTTTTCGAGAAACTACATGCGCTTATAGGTAGCCTATAATATGTGGATACGTCACGAGCTGATATGATTAATTCTTGTTCATGCTCTGCAAAAATGGACTGTAGGTTTTCGAGATTGGCACGGAGTAAATGAGGTTTTATGATGGTTTTTGGCGACAGTTCTAGACCACTCCTTGGTTCTTCATAGATCTGGTAAGTATTATTTCTCATGAATGCTACTAATAGGTTCTGTTGTTCTATACTTTCGGCCACTACCGCGTTGTTTATTGTTTCTGTATAGTTTTGTAGAAGTTTTATTCTATTTTCCGTTATTTTCATAGCTTTGTTGTTGGCACGTTGTACCTCTTCCATTGCCCAGTCGCCACTAATGGTTGTTCTAGAGATTGACCGATTTTACTCAGGCGAGTCTTTAACTCCTCTGACGTCATGTCCATGGAGTCCAACTTTTCTTGTATTGCTAGGCCGCAACAATAGTTCAGATCGTAGATGATAGTGACAGTGCTACCTCTGGACGTCCTCTATTTGGAGGTGAACGAGATCCCAACTGTTGGTGAATAAGGTAATTTTGTTGAAGGTGGGAAATTGTAGCTCCTAATAAAGGCTTCAAAATGGTACTCAGTTGAAGTCGTTGACATTTACGGTTTTTGAAAAAATCGAGTTTGAAGTTTTTGATTAAATTTTAACTAAAGTCCAACTTTGAGGCTCAATTAATTGCTCTAAAAGTATTTGCGTTATCAAACTCAATCTAGCACTGATTTATATAGAATTTAATTCTATTTCCAACCATGTATAATTTATTTTGATTTGCTCAAAATTTAATTGAAATATTGGCAATTGCTCCTAACTTTGTCAGGATTTTAAAAAAATTTAGATCTGAAAATTGAGTTTTTTTTTGATTTTTTTTTTTCTTTTTGAAATCGAGATTTGAAAATGATGTTAGAGTTTTTTTTCTACTAATTTAGATCCGCTCTATCGATTAGAAAAGTCAAAATTCAAAAAATCTGAAAAATAAAAATTTCGATTTTTTCAAAGAGTTAAACCCCTTTGGATTTTAATTTCAAAATTTTCAAACTCAATTTTCTCAAAACCCGTCAAAGATTTTGGATTAGTTTTTTTTTTGAGATTATAGCCCTTGATGAGGGCTTCAAAATGGTATATAGTTGAAGTTGCTGGCATTTACGGTTTTTGGAAAAATCGAGTTTGAAGTTTTTGACTAAATTTTAACTAAAATCCAACTTTGAGGCTCAATTGCTCTAAAGGTATTTGCGTTATCAAACTCAATCTACCACTGATTTATTGAGAATTTAATGCTCTTTCCAACCATATATAATTTATTTTGATTTGCTCAAAATTTAATGGAAATATTGGCAATTGCTCCTAACTTTGTCAGGATTTAAAAAAAAATTAGATCTGAAAATTGAGATTTTCTTTTTGATTTTTTTTTTCCTTTTTGAAATCGAAATTTGGAAATGATGTTCGAGTTTTTTTCGACTAATTTAGATCCGCTCTATCGATTGGAAAAGTCAAAATTCAAAAAATCTGAAAAATAAAAATTTCGATTTTTTCAAAGGGTTGGATTTTAATTTCAAAATTTTCAAACTCAATTTTCTCGAAACCCGTCAAAGATTTTGGATTAGTTTTTTTTTTGAGATTATAGCCCTTGATGAGGGCTTCAAAATGGTATTTACTTGAAGTCGCTGGCATTTACGGTTTTTGAAAAAAATCGAGTTCGAAGTTTCTGACTAAATTTTAACTAAAATCCAACTTTGAGGCCCAATTGCTCTAAAGGTATTTGCGTTATCAAACTCAATCTAGCACTGATTTATTGAGAATTTAATGCTCTTTCCAACCATATATAATTTATTTTGATTTACTCAAAATTTAATGGAAATATTGGCAATTGCTCCTAACTTTGTCAGGATTTTAAAAAAATTTAGAGCTGAAAATTGAGATTTTCTTTTTGATTTTTTTTTCCTTTTTGAAATCGAGATTTGGAAATGATGTTAGAATTTTTTTCGTATAATTTAGACCCGCTCTATCGATTGGAAAAGTCAAAATTCAAAAAATCTGAAAAATAAAAATTTCGATTTTTTCAAAGGGTTAAACCCCTTTGGATTTTAATTTCAAAATTTTCAAACTCAATTTTCTCGAAACCCGTCAAAGATTTTGGATTAGTTTTTTTTGAGATTGTAGCCCTTGATGAGGGCTTCAAAATGGTGTTTAGCTGAAGTCGCTGGCATTTACGGTTTTTGAAAAAATCGAGTTTGAAATTTTTGACTAAAGTTTAACTAAAATCCAACTTTGAGGCGCAATTGCTCTAAAAGTATTCACGTTATCAAACTCAATCGAGCAGTGATTTATAGAGAATTTAATGCTCTTTCCAACCATATTTAATTTATTTTGATTCACTCAAAATTTAATGGAAATATTAGCAATTGCTCCTAACTTTGTCAGGATTTTTAAAAAATTTAGAGCTGAAAATTGAGATTTTCTTTTTGATTTTTTTTTCCTTTTTGAAATCGAGATTTGGAAATGATGTTAGAATTTTTTTCGTATAATTTAGACCCGCTCTATCGATTGGAAAAGTCAAAATTCAAAAAATCTGAAAAATAAAAATTTCGATTTTTTCAAACGGTTAAAACCCCTTTGGATTTTAATTTCAAAATTTTCAAACTCAATTTTCTCGAAACCCGTCAAAGATTTTGGATCAGTTTTTTTTGAGATTGTAGCCCTTGATGAGGGTTTCAAAATGGTATTTGGTTGAAGTCACTGGCATTTACGGTTTTTGAGAAAATCCAGTTTGAAATTTTTAATCAGATTTCAACTAAAATCCAACTTTGAGGCTCAGTTGCTCTAAAAGTATTTCAGTAATCCAACTCAATCTAGCACTGATTTATTGAGAATTTGATGCTCTTTCTAACCATATATAATTTATTTTAATTTGCTCAAAATTTAATGGAAATATTGGCAATTGCTCCTAACCTTGTCAGGATTTAAAAAAAATGAAGATCTGAAAATTGAGATTTTCTTTTTGATTTTTTTTTCCTTTTGAAATCGAGATTTGAAAATGATGTTAGCATTTTTTTCGACTAATTTAGATCTGCTTTATCGATTGGAAAAGTCAAAATTCAAAAAATCTGAAAAATAAAAATTTCGATTTTTTCAAAGGGTTGAAACCCTTTGGATTTTAATTTCAAAATTTTCAAACTCAATTTTCTCGAAACCCGTCGAAGATTTTGGATTAGTTTTTTTTGAGATTGTAGCCCTTGATGAGTGCTTCAAAATGGTATTTAGTTGAAGTCGCTGGCATTTACGGTTTTTGAAAAAATCGAGTTTGAGGTTTTTGACTAAATTTTAACTAAAATCCAACTTTAAGGCTCAATTGCTCTAAAAGTATTTGCGATATCAAACTCAATCTAGCACTGATTTATAGAGAATTTAATGCTCTTTCCAACCATATATAATTTATTTTGATTTGCTCAAAATTTAATGGAAATATTGGCAATTGCTCCTAAGCTTGTCAGGATTTAAAAAAAAATTTAAACCTAAAAATTGAGATTTTCTTCTTAATTTTTCTCCGTGTTGAAATCAAGATTTTGTAAAGATGTTAGAGTTTTTTTCAACTAATTTAGACCCGCTCTATCGATTGGAAAAGTCAAAATTCTATAAATATGATCAATAAAAATTTCGAATTTTTCAAAGGGTTAGGTAGGTACCCCTTTAGATTTTTATTTTGAAATATTTGATCTTGGATATCTTAAAATCTTTTGAATATTTCAAATTAAAATTTGCAGGAAATGTAACTTTCGACAAGGGCTTTAAAATGGTATTTAGTTAAAATCGCTAGCTCTTATGGTTTTCCAGAAAATCGAGTTTGAAATTTTTGATAAAATTTCGACTAAAAGTTTGAGATCCAATTGTCCAGAAAGTATTCCAGTTATCAGAACCAATTTAGCGTGGATGTATAGAGAATTTAATGCTCTTTCCAACCATATATAATTTGTTTTGATTTGTTCAAATTTCTTTGAAGATATTGACCATTATTCCTAATCTTGTCAAGATTTGAAAAAATTTCCAGAACGAAAATTGAGATTTTTTAGTTTTTCGAAATCGCCATTTTGAAAGTGATGTTAGAATTTTTTTTCGACTAATTTAAACCTGCTGAATCAATTGGAAAAGTCAAAATTTCGAAAATATGAAAAATAAAAATTTCGAGTTTCCGATTGGTTTGACTGAAACGCCCCATAAGCAACGCCACTGGCCAAATAAAGATGAAATTTCAAAATCACCAGAAATTGCCATTTTTCAAAAATTCTTTCACCAATCACCAGATTTTTCATAAAATCACCAGATCTGGTAAAATTTCACCAGACCTGGCATCACTGCCATACAATATATTGTACAATACATGTATTGTATACAGGTTTTTCAGAGCTTAATAAGAGCTACAATTCCTGGAAATTTTGATTAAATATTTTCAACGAATTCCAAGATATTGAGGCTCGAATATTTTGAAATTAGAATTCAAAGGCGATAGGTACCTTAGTAAATTAGTCAAAAACTCAATTTTGCCTTTACCAGTGGATAGAGCAAACCCAAATTAGAGGAAAACAACCCTAACATCGTTTTCAAATGGTAATTTTAAAGGAAAACAAATATAAAAGAAAATCACATTCTGACTATGGAAAAATCAAAATTTTGACATGGTCATGAAGAATTACAAATATTTTCAGGGAAATTTGAATAAATTAATAAAAATTATACATCATTGGAAAGAGTATTAAATTCTCTATAAATCTGTACTGAACTAGGTTTGATAGCTTAAATACTTTCTGAGCAATTGAGCCTCAAAGTTGACTCAGAGAAAAATAAAACAAACATTCAACCCTTAAAAAAATCCTCAAAACTCACCCCTTGTACATTAAAATCTCCGTGGTGCATTTCCTCCACCGTCCTCTTATACTTCGAAGAAAACGTCCCGTAAAGAAACTGCGTTATTATCGAAGACTTGCCGACTTTCGCCGCCCCCATCACGACGATTTTGTGTTTGGCGTTATTCAGGGGCGGCACGCAACCGTCTTTATCCAACGACTCCGAATCCTCGCTCTTTTGCGATCTAAGTACCCTGGAACTATAATAACAATTTTGATGGTACTAATTTGAATCCTACGTATACCTGTTGGAATTGTGATGGTGCCGGTCGTCTTCTGGTTCCTCTTTGAGGAACGACGGCTGCAAACTGAACCTCCGTCGGAATTGGTGTCTACCCTTCATTTGGCCTGATGAGGGTAAGGGATGTTTAGAGTCCAGAATTTCCTAGAATTATAAGTAATAAATATTATGTGTAAAAGGAAGTTTCAACGATGCAATTTCAAAACACGCCGTCCCTTTCTACTTCGAAATTAAAAATGTCGCAGCAGCAAAACATAATCCGCTATTCGTATTTTAATCGAGCGATTGAAATTCTGTTCCGGCAGAGATTTTTCCATTGTCATGGAGGTTGTTTTACTTCTAGGAAAATTTTCTAGTTAGTTTTGTGGCTGATATTGTTCTGTAACCTCAGGCTTTAAAAAAAAAAATCGATTTTGTTTGCGCCATCGGAAAATGTTTATTTCAAAATTTATCCGATTAATTATTTCAATAGTAAATATTAAACCAGTTGAAAATTAATAAATATTTATTCATCTACCAGTGGCGGATTTATTATTTATTTGTTGAGTATTGAACTTTGAATTGACTAATAAAAATTCTCTTATATAAAATAAATCAGTAGGTGAATCCGCCACTGACACCAACCCAATTTTGTTTGCCCCACTAAATAACATAATAACTATGGCTTTGTAACCGTTTTCTATCAAAGGTAACGTCGATCATATAGTCACATCAAAAGACAAAATAATGATAAAAGCTCAACTCCGAAATCGCTTTTGCTAAAAGGGGGCCGTATATTATCAAAAGAATGCTAAAAAAGAAAGTATTATGGTCCCCCTATTTTCGTGTTGGCAGATTTATATTATTCGAAATCAGCATAAAAGCCCGAGGCTGACTTGAATTTGGATGCTGAATCATTTTTGTTTGATTTGAAAAAATTGCAAATTGTATAATTTCAATTTAATGCCATCACGTATTCCAATTAAGGTCTCACTCAATGCGGAAACAATATCAGATTAAAGCCTAATTTAATGTTCGAACCTCCTATAACAAGGTTATCGATAGTATCGAGCTTCCTTGTGGGATGCCATTAACTACATAGTCTTAATAGAAAAATAAGGATATTGTTTTCCTGGTATTTGAGACAATAAAGGGATTTTTCTCATTTATGGAAGTTTTTCTTTAAATGTTTGTTTGGTTGGTGGAGCAAAGGAAAATGAAAGATTTTCATTATTTAACTGTGGTGTTTTTGATGTTTTTAACATGATTTTATCTCAGGAACTATAAGTCCAAATGGGTTGAAATTTCCAGGGATTGTAGTCCTCTACTGGAATAAGAATCGCTGAAAATTTTAGCTTTATATCTATAATAGAAAAACAGTTATGCCCTTCCAAAGTTTTCCAAAATCTAAATCATAATCTTTTTACTAAAACGATGAAATTTCAAATTTTTTTTGATTGAGATTTTGTGTCCTAATGGTTAATTAACATCCCCCAAAACTTCATACACTAAATTATTCTCAGATTTGAAGCCGAAATCTATGAAAAAGGCACTCAGAAAAATTGATAAATCACCCCAAATTGCTTAACACGATTTTATCTCAGGAACTATACATGCAAATGAACTGAAATTTTCAGGGATTGTAGTCCTATGAAAGGGATAAAATTCAGTAAAAGTTTCAGCTTTCTACGTATAATAGAAAAAAAGTTATGACCTTTCAAAATTTTCCAAAATCTAAATCATAAGGTAGGTACCTTCTTAATAAAACGATGAAATTTCAAATTTTTTTTTGTCAAGATTTTGTGTCCTAATGGTCAATTAATATCGCCCAAACTCCATACACTAAATTATTCCCAGATTTGAAGCCGAAATCTATGAAAAAAGGCACTCAGAAAAATTGAAAAATTGATAAATCACCCCAAATTGCTTAACGCGATTTTATCTCAGGAACTATACATGCAAATGAACTGAAATTTTCAGGGATTGTAGTCCTTTGAAAGGGATAAAATTCAGTAAAAGTTTCAGCTTCCTACCTATAATAGAAAAAAAATTATGACCTTTCAAAGTTTTCCAAAATCTAAATCATAAGGTAGGTACCTTCTTAATAAAACGATGAAATTTCAATTTTTTTTTTGTCAAGATTTTGTGTCCTAATGGTCAATTAATATCGCCCAAACTCCATACACTAAATTATTCCCAGATTTGAAGCCGAAATCTATGAAAAAAGTTACTCAGAAAAATTGAAAAATTGATAAATCACCCCAAATTGCTTAACACGATTTTATCTCAGGAACTATACATGCAAATGAACTGAAGTTTTCAGGGATTGTATTCCTTTGAAAGGGATAAAATTCAGTAAAAGTTTCAGCTTTCTACCTATAATAGAAAAAAAGTTATGACCTTTCAAAGTTTTCCAAAATCTAAATCATAAGGTAGGTACCTTCTTAATAAAACGATGAAATTTCAAATTTTTTTTTGTCAAGATTTTGTGTCCTAATGGTCAATTAATATCGCCCAAGCTCCATACACTAAATTATTCCCAGATTTGAAGCCGAAATCTATGAAAAAAGGCACTCAGAAAAATTGAAAAATTGATAAATCACCCCAAATTGCTTAACGCGATTTTATCTCAGGAACTATACATGCAAATGAACTGAAATTTTCAGGGATTGTAGTCCTTTGAAAGGGATAAAATTCAGTAAAAGTTTCAGCTTCCTACCTATAATAGAAAAAAAATTATGACCTTTCAAAGTTTTCCAAAATCTAAATCATAAGGTAGGTACCTTCTTAATAAAACGATAAAATTTCAATTTTTTTTTTGTCAAGATTTTGTGTCCTAATGGTCAATTAATATCGCCCAAACTCCATACACTAAATTATTCCCAGATTTGAAGCCGAAATCTATGAAAAAAGTTACTCAGAAAAATTGAAAAATTGATAAATCACCCCAAATTGCTTAACACGATTTTATCTCAGGAACTATACATGCAAATGAACTGAAGTTTTCAGGGATTGTATTCCTTTGAAAGGGATAAAATTCAGTAAAAGTTTCAGCTTTCTACCTATAATAGAAAAAAAGTTATGACCTTTCAAAGTTTTCCAAAATCTAAATCATAAGGTAGGTACCTTCTTAATAAAACGATGAAATTTCAAATTTTTTTTTGTCAAGATTTTGTGTCCTAATGGTCAATTAATATCGCCCAAGCTCCATACACTAAATTATTCCCAGATTTGAAGCCGAAATCTATGAAAAAAGGCACTCAGAAAAATTGAAAAATTTATAAATCACCCCAAATTGCTTAACACGATTTTATCTCAGGAACTATACATGCAAATGAACTGAAATTTTAAGGGATTGTAGTCCTTTGAAAGGGATAAAATTCAGTAAAAGTTTCAGCTTTCTACCTATAATAGAAAAAAAGTTATGACCTTTCAAAGTTTTCCAAAATCTAAATCATAAGGTAGGTACCTTCTTAATAAAACGATGAAATTTCAAATTTTTTTTTGTCAAGATTTTGTGTCCTAATGGTCAATTAATATCGCCCAAGCTCCATACACTAAATTATTCCCAGATTTGAAGCCGAAATCTATGAAAAAAGGCACTCAGAAAAATTGAAAAATTTATAAATCACCCCAAATTGCTTAACACGATTTTATCTCAGGAACTATACATGCAAATGAACTGAAGTTTTCAGGGATTGTATTCCTTTGAAAGGGATAAAATTCAGTAAAAGTTTCAGCTTTCTACCTATAATAGAAAAAAAGTTATGACCTTTCAAAGTTTTCCAAAATCTAAATCATAAGGTAGGTACCTTCTTAATAAAACGATGAAATTTCAAATTTTTTTTTGTCAAGATTTTGTGTCCTAATGGTCAATTAATATCGCCCAAGCTCCATACACTAAATTATTCCCAGATTTGAAGCCGAAATCTATGAAAAAAGGCACTCAGAAAAATTGAAAAATTTATAAATCACCCCAAATTGCTTAACACGATTTTATCTCAGGAACTATACATGCAAATGAACTGAAGTTTTCAGGGATTGTATTCCTTTGAAAGGGATAAAATTCAGTAAAAGTTTCAGCTTTCTACCTATAATAGAAAAAAAGTTATGACCTTTCAAAGTTTTCCAAAATCTAAATCATAAGGTAGGTACCTTCTTAATAAAACGATGAAATTTCAAATTTTTTTTTGTCAAGATTTTGTGTCCTAATGGTCAATTAATATCGCCCAAGCTCCATACACTAAATTATTCCCAGATTTGAAGCCGAAATCTATGAAAAAAGGCACTCAGAAAAATTGAAAAATTTATAAATCACCCCAAATTGCTTAACACGATTTTATCTCAGGAACTATACATGCAAATGAACTGAAGTTTTCAGGGATTGTATTCCTTTGAAAGGGATAAAATTCAGTAAAAGTTTCAGCTTTCTACCTATAATAGAAAAAAAGTTATGACCTTTCAAAGTTTTCCAAAATCTAAATCATAAGGTAGGTACCTTCTTAATAAAACGATGAAATTTCAAATTTTTTTTTGTCAAGATTTTGTGTCCTAATGGTCAATTAATATCGCCCAAGCTCCATACACTAAATTATTCCCAGATTTGAAGCCGAAATCTATGAAAAAAGGCACTCAGAAAAATTGAAAAATTTATAAATCACCCCAAATTGCTTAACACGATTTTATCTCAGGAACTATACATGCAAATGAACTGAAGTTTTCAGGGATTGTATTCCTTTGAAAGGGATAAAATTCAGTAAAAGTTTCAGCTTTCTACCTATAATAGAAAAAAAGTTATGACCTTTCAAAGTTTTCCAAAATCTAAATCATAAGGTAGGTACCTTCTTAATAAAACGATGAAATTTCAAATTTTTTTTTGTCAAGATTTTGTGTCCTAATGGTCAATTAATATCGCCCAAGCTCCATACACTAAATTATTCCCAGATTTGAAGCCGAAATCTATGAAAAAAGGCACTCAGAAAAATTGAAAAATTTATAAATCACCCCAATTTGCTTAACACGATTTTATCTCAGGAACTATACATGCAAATGAACTGAAGTTTTCAGGGATTGTAGTCCTTTGAAAGGGATAAAATTCAGTAAAAGTTTCAGCTTTCTACCTATAATAGAAAAAAAGTTATGACCTTTCAAAGTTTTCCAAAATC